AAAATTGATGAAACGAATTAATCTATCTCTTCGCGCTTTTTTTTTTTTTTTTTTTTTTTTTTTTTTTCTTCATTTGCCGGACGTTTTATTTTTTCTTATCTGATCGCGTCACGGTATCTCCAACCGGATATTTCTGCAAATCAAAATCATGCAAATATCTGAGAATATATATGTGTATAGTTGTACCAATTCGGTTAACTTTTGTAACTTACTTAATTACGTAAGTTTTGTAAGCACATTTATACATGTATAAAATAATGTATTATGTAACGTATAGTCAATCACGAAAATCTACATGCATTTAACGATATTTCTTGTATAAATGAACTTCATATCATGTCAGTATTTCTAACTTCAATCGATAAACGTTGGAATATCTATAAAATTTTTAGAATTTCCAAACTTTTGTAATATATTAAATTTAATTAATTTATTGGCTCATGTATATTTATATGGTTCATGTAGACCTTTGCGCTTGTGTGACTATATGCACGTGTAAGAGAAATATAATGAATGAATAGAAATAATTAATTATAATAAATTCAATTCCATCCATTCTGTTTTAAACTCTGTTTTATTCAAGCGTTTACAGTTTAATCAATCCATTAAATCCACTGTATTGTATACAAAATTGTTCAATATATGAATTTCTCCGCGTATATATTTTTTTATAATCTTAATAAAGTGACACACGGATAAAATTTGCTATCTGTCTCTAATTTGAAATTGTATATCGACGTGTTTATTAATTTCTCACTGATTGATTGTATAAATACGGCGTTGTTAACACACTTGGAAAAAAAAAATAAATAAAAATAACAAAAAAACTTTCGAAAAGCATTAAATACCGCAATACATTTAAATTACATCGGAGAAGAAAATATTGCCTTTGTAAAAAATTGTTTTATGTATATATTGTTATAACGCAAAATGCGCGATTTCTGAAATGGAAAAAAGGGAACGAAACCGCGGCAAATGTGTAGATTAGCGGGTCACCTGTGTTTCACTGTCAAAATCAAGAGAATTGCTTCGGTTCTCTCTCAAGAAGATATATTTCGTAATCATTCGAAATTGCCGAAGTCGCCCCCTAATGTACAGATTTACCGGGAGAACACACACACATCTTTACACAGATGTGTACGAACAATACAATTTTCCTTAATCTAACGCCATGCCCTCGTCGTCATCGTCTTTCTTATCAGGACCGGTGGTCGATGAGGATTGCTTTTTGTCTTCCTGTCCCTGTTGCGCTTGCTGTCCCTGACCGCTCTTCGCTTCGGATTCCAGCGCGCTGACAAATTCTTCGATGTTACCAGTGGCCGCGGCATTGACGGCGTCCGATCCCAAGCCGAATTGACGGATGACTGGGCCCGCCTGGCCCGACTGCAAAGCAGACCAGAACATTGATAGCGCCTGGGAGAACTGGGGAGACGAGAGCGTTGTAGACAGGTTGTCCCCTGGCGGCAAGTGCATGTTCATGGCACTCTCCAAACTCTCCGTTGCGGTAACCGCGCTCGGGATGGCGTTGGTCAGTTCTGTCGCTACTCCCCTCTGCCGGACAATAAGCTGCGCTGTAGCTGGACGAAAACAACAGACATACCCGAAGAAACTCCCCCAACTGCTCAGCAGAGCCAGAGTCTCCGACAGCCAGGAAAAGTTCAGACGGAAGATAGTATTGCACAGAGAGAAAACCATGCTTCTCTAATACTATTTGACTTTCTATGTGTTACTTTGTCACAGTATATATTATATATATTGCGCTTCTCAACAATTATTTGGTATGATTGAGTTGACTGACCGTCAAGTCTTGAAATTTTTTATTGTCGCGCATATTTCGTACGTACTTTGTTATTAAACAAGAATGACACAATTTCACGAAGGAATATCACGTTATACAAACCCGGGCGTGATTATGCGGCATTGAGAGTGCAATATATATAATAGCTCTTTTATAGATTAGTAAAGCCTTGAGTCTTTAAAAGCAAGCAGACACCGTAGCAACCGCTTTATCCGCGTCGTTATCAGCGAGTTCCCACTTTATAAAAGAAAGCCGAGGTTCGATGCTTTTTTTTTTATGTCAGCCGGATCATTCGGCTTGTCCATTGGAAAAAAAAAACCAAATCCGTAGTTCACGACACACTTCCGAATCGCACTCACATGCAAGCGGTCATCACAATTCTTCAAACATTTTACGATTTTTACCAGTATTGTAATTTACATGCACATAAACAGAGAACACAAACGTTAACTACCGAGCGAGTTAAAATTTTGATTCTGATTTAATCACAGTTGTGTTAATTAAAGTGCGCGTTATACATTTTAAATATCACAATTTGTTTTTGTTTGTTTTTTTTTTTTTTTAGTGTAGCAATGTACTATGTGATTATATGTTACTGAGATTACATACAATTAACGAAACAAAATTATGCTCATTTCTGTTCACTCAGAAACAAATTTAGTAGACACTTGCTAAAACATTCTGTCTGAATGTACTCGAAAGCTATTTCCACAACTTCTGGAATTCTGTTATCAAGACTAACACTTTTATATCCTTTGATAGCAGCTGTAAAAAATATATAATTAGTAACACAGTAGATACAATCTGATAAAAAAAAAAACGTTTTTTGCAAAAATTTCTGTACTTTGATTTAAAACTTTTCGTATGTAAATTTTCTTCTCTTAGTAAATATTTTGATACATATTCTCTGTGGAAATACATATTTCTATCTTCTATTTCTTTCTTGTCGTTGACCGTTTTGTATATTATTCTGTAGTAATAATTTTAAAAAGGTCTACATTTAATTTTTCTTTAGCTGGTGTAAGAAATTCTATAGAGCAAGTTAATTTATCGATTCAATACGTCAAACGTTTGAGATAAACTTTAGTCTATTTTAAGACAAAATATATCTCCGAAGACAACTTCGAAGGTGTGGTCTTGCACACTCGTAATCGTTGCGAAGTATCGGTGGGGATTTAATCTTATCGGTTCTCAAGAAAACCAGTTACATATTTAATACAAACAGAAATTTTTTGAGTGATTTGATACACTAACTCCAATAATATCGTTCCCGTTATTTTATTTAAATAAATATCTATGATAATTTAAATGTATATCTACGATAATTTTTCTTCAAAACAAGCATCTATTTAATATCAGATATTAAAGCATTCATTAATAACTATAAACAAGCTAAGCATTATGCAAAATATATTATTCTCCAAAAAATCCATTAACCTTTAATTTATTAATGTACTCTTGTAAAGATACGTGTATATAAAAGTGTGTGTTCATATAACACTCGTATAAAACATTTATGTCAGAGAGATATAATCTAATAAAAGTTAGTCTTTTTTTATTAGCTGCTATCATATTTAGTTATTTTATAGTAATTTCTTATTTAAAAAAATAGTACATTGCATCATATTTTGCATCATATCATATGTTTTATGTAGTAATTTAAAATATTCAGAAATTTGTTAGCAAATCCAATTACTCTTCAATCAAAGTAAATCTACGTAGGTAGGCAAGTTCAGAAGTAATTCAGATGTATGAAATAGTGATATTACCTGCACAGCTGGTTCTGCTCGATTAGATGTTGGAATTTCTGACAGAAAATTCTGCAAATCACTAAGCTGTATTCTGTTGTTTGAGCTTGTTGTTGTCGCTGTTGTGGTCGGCGTGGACGGAGTTGCTGTTCTTGCTGGCAATTAATGTTATTATAAGTACGTCATCAAGTAAAGCACATGCACATTCATCTTATTCAATTGAATGAATTTGACTCACGTGAAGACTTTGAATCCGTGTTAGATCCAGGAGTTAGAGAATGGGGTGATCTAGTTACATTTGTAGTGGCTGAAGGTGTGGATGAAGTCGTAGTGGACGTTCTGGTACTTTGAATACCTTGCGGTCTACTCATAGTGCCCAACAAATTGCCCAAACCTCCGATTTGACCGACACCGCCAAACAACTGTATCAGCTGTTGCTGCGACATGTTATTCAGCAAATTTTGAAGATCACCCTCCGCATTAGCACCACCGCTTCTCTGAGATCCCGGAGTTGGCGGATTGTTAAGTACATCGTTAATCTTTCTACAATGTTCTTCATCCTTGTCTGTTTTCAGATCCTGGATCAAGAAATTACTTGTATGAAATTCTGTTTTAGCAAAATTTGATTGATGAAACAACAAAGTTTTTAACTATTCCTCTACCTATTCCTCCATGTACAATTTTCATATTTTTTTTCTATGATAATATATTACGTGTCAAATTGTAATTTTGTTTTACCTGTAGCCAGAAAAAGAACTTCTTGCTGGAAGATTTAAACCGTAACAAATACACTCTGCCTGTTTTGCACTGAGGAACGTGTTTAAATTCACAGTCATCAGGGAAGATGATCAGGTCCTGAAAAAGAAAAATACAACAAATAAACAAACAGACAAGTATATCTTGTGTATCGTACGTTTCACAGCAAATCAAGATATGACAGAAAGGAACAGAGAGAGAGAGAGAGAGAGAGAGAGAGAGAGAGAGAGAGAGAAAGGAGCAATTTTTTTACGAGATCGAACGAGAAGCGTACATTCTCGCAGGTTTTGCAAAAATTTGTTTTAGAGCTCCGTTTAAAGAATAAGGAGATTGTGTTCCTACATCTTCAACCACCCCGGTCGTGCGGTCCTTCCAACAAAAGTGCATTAAGGAGTCGTCGGACTGGTAGACGTACAGCTGGCCCTTTCGCGTGTCCGGATAGACCATTTTCCCTTTCACGGTCATTTTGCCGGCCTTGAACTCTACTAGATTTTTCGAGGCGCCGCGCGAGGCATTGCCGAAAAGCGCTCCGCTTGACATGATTGTTAATGTAGAAAAATATCGTTGCACCGAACAAGAAAACTTCCGTCTCACTCGCAACTGCTCTGTTCACACTCCTACGGGCACACGAGGCGCGCCGACGATGACACTGCATTTCAAGATGGCGACGTGGCGCTAAATTGATGCAAGAGGGAGGGAGTGGGAAGATGCTCGACGAGACGAAAACGAGGAAGAAGGCGAAATGAGTCAAGAATTTTTCTACTTGAACAATATCTTTGTGTGATGCACACACAGAAAGGACGGGGAACATCATCGTTTGTGTATCTCGCAAATCGTTCGCTATTTTGGCGCATTCTCATCGAGATGGAGAATGTGCGAGGTTTTGCGAGTGTAACTTTTGACGTTATTTTTTATATTTACAGCAACTTTTTCAATATTTTCTTCCTGAATTGTGCTAATTCAACTGAAAAAAAAAATGTATGCACATGTATAAGAGTCAAACACAACGTTGTTAAACACTTTTAAACCTGTCTATATATCATTACGTAATATATATACTATTATATATATATATATATATATATATATATATATAGAGCAATTATAAAGTAAAGGGAGAAGGGGTTAATGTGGAATAATTATAAAGTAACGCAATTCCCGCGCGAAGATGTGCGATTCTGCGAGACCTTAATTTTGAACTTGGTCTCGAGATCGATTTAGATTCGTTTCGTTTTATTTGCGTATCGATGCCGGGAAGGTGGCGCTAATTTCACAATTTCGCATCAGCTGATGACATATGACACGACTGTCCAAAGGGTGATCGTAGCAGATATGATCATAGAGCGAAATCTAACCGATTCCAGTATCTTCCGCGGTCATGAACGGTGCCGCTCGATGAAACGCACGTCCTTCCGTTTTGTTAATTAATTTTTGTTTATATCATTTGGTTTATCGCGATTGTTGTTACTTTGCGCGACAGCAACAAGTAACAGGATCGGTACGAATCTGCACGTCATATCGATTTGATCGAATCGCATCAAAAATGAGCAATCAAAAGACGGTGCCGAACGCCGTTAAGTTCCTAATTGGAGGCACTTCTGGGTTTGTGTTTTTCTTTATAAAGTGTTGTTTCATTATTGAACTTAGATTTGTAAGCAAACAATCGTCAATCAACTGTTTGAACAAATAAATTTGTATGTACATTGTTTTTCATTAGAGTTTCACGAAACATAAATTTATATAATTGTTGAACAAAGGAGAAGACAAGTAGCTGGAACATTTTGAGTTTTATAAAGAGTATTTCTCGCGAATTGTTTAATTAGTATTATTTGTTAGTTACAAAAAAATTGACCAAGAATTGTTTCCCCAGTGACGCAATATATACATGTATAGACAGATATACATAGAGATGCTAATAGAATATATATACACACAAAGTTATAAATAACTGTAACCCTGGACAACTGGCAACTTTGTTGACTCTGCTAGATTTCACGAAAAAAAGTTTTTAGCTATCTTATGACTGACAAATATTTGCAATATTTTATTGAGAAATTCTTACAATGCTCTAAGATTAATATTGACACGTTTTAAAATGTAATTTGTACTTGTATATTGAACGCACAAGATACTATAATACTTTTACATATCATTTATAAGTTTGATTATATATTTTGCAAAATCTTTAATTATTTTTATGAAAAATAATAAATATCATTACGTTTACAGCATGGCAGCTACATGTTTTGTACAGCCATTAGATTTAATAAAAAATCGCATGCAATTAAGTGGCACAAAAACATCCACGTTTAGCGTTACATCGGGAATTCTGAAGAACGAAGGCGCTTTGGCATTATATTCCGGTTTGTCTGCTGGTTTAATGCGACAAGCCACATACACTACCACTAGACTCGGTATATACACCTGGCTTATGGAAATTGCTTCGTAAGTGCAACTGGTACAGACACATAAGAATTATATTGACAAGTTATATGTGTTAAAAAATATACATGTTTCTTATTCAGGAAAGATAGCCAACCAAGTTTTATCACGAAAGCGGCACTTGGCATGACTGCTGGTTGTGTCGGAGCATTTGTAGGTACACCTGCGGAAGTAGCTTTAATTAGGATGACTGCTGATGGAAGATTACCGATAGGTATATAATCACGTTTATATTTTTGTACACGATTGCTGTACGATATTTGCGATTTTTTAATCACGTTATTATCGTAGAATTTATATATGTTTTCAGCCGATAGACGCAATTACAAAAATGTGTTTGATGCATTATTCCGTATAATTAGAGAAGAGGGTCTCTTCATGTTATGGCGTGGCGCCATTCCCACGATGGGACGTGCCATGGTTGTAAACGCAGCACAATTGGCATCTTATTCCCAAGCCAAACAGGCACTGTTGAATACAGGTAGGAATATTATAAATCTGTCAAATGTTTTATTAAGATTTGTGTATTGGAAATATTTATTTATTTTATTACCTGTTGAGTGACAAATTGTATATTTTTTTCTTGAAACTAGGATATTTCGAGGAAAATATTGTGTTACACTTTGCGAGCTCTATGATTTCTGGTTTGGTCACTACTACTGCTTCCATGCCTGTGGATATAGCCAAGACGAGGTAAGTTTCTGCAATAAGTTTGGAATTCAATTCAAAAATCGTTTGAAGTCTTTTTTTGGTTTTTTTAATATACGGATTCTCTGTTGATTTGTTAATCGTTTTCTTTCAGAATTCAAAACATGAAAACTATAAACGGCAAACCAGAATTTACAGGCGCGATTGACGTTCTGAGCAAAGTCATAAGAAACGAGGGTTTGTTTGCATTGTGGAAAGGCTTCTTCCCGTATTACGCGCGTCTAGGTCCACATACAGTGTTGACGTTCATCTTTTTGGAACAAATGACCGCTTCGTACAAAACGTATTTAGCATAACAACAGGTATACATTGTCAAACAAAGTGTTATCAATGTTATCAGTCTTCTGAATATTTTTTTGTAACTTTTCTCGTATTTTTACAAGTGTTATTTTTTTGACAAATCTATTTTGTTAGTGTATTATATCCTTTTATGTCAAAGGTCACGCACACAATTGCAATATGTCGATATGTATATACACCCATAGAATTTATTTTCTTATACCTGTAATAAAAATTACATAGACATGTATAGCGAATTAAAGAAACCTAGTAGTCGTACGTGTATTAGAATTTTCGATATATTTTTCATAAGAAACAAAAAAAAATATTCCTATCTTAGTTAGGAACAATTGTGTTCTTATATATGGCATTTTATATTCCACCAGTCGTACAGTTCACATTTAGGTATAGAAAAACAAAAAGCGTACATTCTATATACACAAATATAAATAAACACGTTAGCTTTTCTTCCTCTGCTAACGATCGTTCAATTCATCTACATGTAATTCTTTGTTATTTTGTGTATTATACTACTTGCGGCATGAAGGTCAGCGTTTTTTGTGTAAGATGTATATTGCCATTTGTGTTAATAAGAATATAAATTTAACAAAAGTGGAAAATGGGAAAATATGTATATATGTTATTAATAATATTATAATATGTAATATATGTTATTAATAATATTATAATCAGTGAAATATTGAGCGTACATATTTGTGCGCATAGTCTACTAAAATACTGAGGACATAGCAAATGTAACAAAAGAAATATATATTTTAAATGTAAAATGCTTTTGATTGTATTTTATTGTCTAATCGAAATAATATTTTGCACAACAAAACGCATCTGATTGCAATACATAAGAGGCAATAATGACAGTTTGTTTTTTCCCACATTCTATTATAACTCGACTTTTTGGACCGACTACTACGCTCTGATAGATCGAGTAAACTGAAAGAGAGAAAAGAAGAAAATGTAGGTAAATAAGAAAAAAAATTTGTTATATAAGCATTTTATCTTTATTTTTCTTCATTCATGATGGCCTCTATTGTGTAGCTACATAATTTCTTATTTTTAAATCTTTATTTTAGTAGTTTTTAAATATTTGTGTATATCTTTTTTACTCTCTTTGAGATAAGGATAGATTTGGACATATGTAATTTGTTGATATTTCTTTTTTTATAATAAAAACATAAGTATATAACAAAATTAGGCTACAAGAGCGCTAGCTGTCGAGCTTTCGTATTTCCAGTTCGGTGGCAGCGATCCTTTTGTTTTATAATAACGCGCCAATCTGTGAATTCTAGACTCGACCAGAATTAAACGGAATTTGCTGTCCTTGTCCTTCCTGTTCCGCTCCAAGTGTTTACGCACAGCAACAGCTTTCTTGATCAAATAATACAGATCTTCTGGTAGATCCGGAGCCAAGCCCATACTCTTCACAATACGCAGAATCTTGTTTCCTGTACGAAATCGCACCTGAGCCACACCATGAGAATCTCGAAGTATAACACCTGCAAATGTAATACTTTATAATTTTCCTAATTTATGAAATTGATGACGATCTGTGACAACACTCTTAACTGATTGCTAAAAAAAAACTTATACATATATAAATATTCAACAAGCTGAAAACATATAATTATACATATATATTTTACTAGTAAAACAACTACAATAATTTTACCAATTTGTGAAGGTGTACGTCCCTTTTTCGCTTCCTTGTAAATAAGTTCTTTGCAATCTTCTGGTGTCAATTTCAACCAAGTTGGTACACTTCGTCGATAGGGGAGGGCAGACTGGGATATACCTTTTCTGAAAAACTAATATGTTACTGAAATACAGTATTCTTAATTTTATCACACACACACACATATTGAATTTAACATACTTAAAATTATATGCACTAATTAAACGATCGCGCATGTACGTCAAACGAAATTTACGATAATAAAAAAAAAATCAAATAATTAAGACGATTGCAAGTAGTAGATTAATTAATAACTTAAGAGATGACATATATTTCAATAGAAAAAAGAGAATAGAGACACAATCACGAGGGTGACGAATATCGAGAATTATCGACATTGTTACAAAGTTTTCGAGATACTGATGCATTGACACAAGTTTACTGATATAACAAATATCGTTGTGTTACCCATGTGAGTGCATACGACCCATTTTGACAGAATTTCTTTCACAGAAATGTCCAGAAACAACGTTTAGTCCACGCGATGTCAGGTAAGAGAAATACACTACTATTTTCGCGCATGCGCAGCGAAATTCCACTTTGGAACCAGTTTGACCAACTCTGATTACCTTGGTGAAATCTCCATCCGATAGCCAATCGAACGAGAATCTTCAATCACTAAGGCTGCCTTACATTTCTCTGGACAAAATAGGATTTGAAAACGCAGCCCTAACACGGCGTGACACGGCGATTGCCGATGATAGTCGGGAACTACCGATCATCTCTGTCTGAATTTCTTAAGTCTGTCACCGGCTTGTTTCCGATTATCGTGTTAATTTTTTAGACGCGATGGCGCAAAATAAATTTAGCGAGATGGCCTCGCGTTTCGGCAAGGGCACGAACGGAGTGCCGATGAGCGTAAAAGTCCTCGCTGCCGCCGGTGTCGCGGCTTACAGCGTCTCGAAATCCATGTACACAGGTTAACCTCAATTTTTTGTTCATTCTCCTTTTCTCTTTAACGACAATCGCGCCCTACGTCCTAATTGTTGTTTTTTGTCTTTGAATAAATAATAATAGATCTAAATGCGTTCAGTGAATTGCCCAAATCTATAGTTTTTTTTTTTTCATGTATCTTGTGTTCCAGGATTACTGGAAGTTTGTGTGGTTATGTAATTTTTTAATCGACTGATGCAATTCAGTAGACAAACGTAGTAATATAATGAAACTTTTACACAAAATTTCTTTCAAGATTTTGTTATTACTAGTCTACAAAAAAGTGTCATGTTTTCTGAAACATTTCTCTCATATTTTTTAGGAAAGTTCTGATAAAAAAAAAAAGTTATTTATTTGTTATATAAATTATATAAGTTAAAGATATCACAACAGATAAGTTTTTGTACAAAACTGTCAATTAACTTTGTATATTTCAGTGGAAGCAGGTCACAGAGCTATTATATTCTCTCGACTGGGAGGTATCCAGAAAGATATTATGACCGAGGGTCTGCACTTTCGTATTCCATGGTTCCATTATCCGATAATTTACGATATTAGAAGCAGGCCTAGGAAAATCTCTTCGCCTACGGGTTCCAAAGACTTGCAAATGGTTAACATTTCCTTGCGTGTTCTCTCGCGTCCTGACGCGGCTACTTTGCCGGCTATGTATCGACAACTTGGTCTTGATTATGATGAAAAAGTAATCAACATATAAATGCAAACGTTTAAAAATTGGTTTTATGTATAAAAAATTTATACATAAAATTGATTAATTTTTCAGGTATTACCAAGCATCTGTAACGAAGTGTTGAAGTCTGTTGTTGCTAAGTTTAACGCCTCGCAATTGATCACGCAAAGACAACAGGTTTCCAATTTGGTGCGCAAGGAATTGACCGAGCGCGCTCGGGACTTCAATATTGTTTTGGACGATGTATCGATAACAGAGCTTAGTTTCGGCAAGGAATATACCGCTGCGGTAGAAGCCAAGCAAGTAGCTCACCAGGAAGCTCAACGAGCTGCTTTCGTAGTGGAAAGAGCCAAGCAAGAAAAACAGCAAAAGATTGTGCAGGCTGAGGGAGAAGCCGAAGCAGCCAAAATGATATCCTTTAGAGAACTAATCGATTTTCTAGCTACTTTGCGATATAAGCAATTTTTCTTTTGTTTTACATGATTTTTTACTTGCGCAAATAGATTGTGGAAAGATATAGTCCAACTTTAACTTTTTTTTTTTTAAATTATTAAAAGCTGGAACTTTGCAATTTTAGCAAGTTTGTGAGCAATTATATTAATATTTAAAATAAATTTATAATTGCCTTAACTGCAGTGCACCTTGGTTTAGCTGTCGGCCAGAACCCTGGCTATCTGAAACTGCGTAAGATACGAGCCGCGCAGACAATCTCGCGCACGGTAAGCATCGTAACGCTAAAATTTGCTATCTCAAAGTTTAAAATCAAAAGACAAGAAGTTGCGTCACTTTGCGTATAAATTTTAAAGAGATATCTCGCACGCTTAATTAAATATCTAAAATTAATCGCTAAAAACGATTCGGTTGTTTTAGATCGCCAACTCTCAGAACAGAATATTCCTCAGTGGCAATAGTTTGATGTTGAATATTCAAGATCCGACTTTCGACGAAGGCAGTGACAAGCTGAAAAGTAAGAAGTAAAACACTCGTCAAAACGTGCGCCATTCTTTTTCTTTGATTTTCTTTTTGTAAAGTTGTATTTTTACTCAGCTCAAAGCATCAAATTGTTATTGTACAATTATGTGTCGAAATATTACGAATAAGAGTCATCAAAGGGTTTTCCAAATTTATGATTAATCTATGTATACGACGTGTATATCCCCATCACTGACTTCATTCATCTCCTTGTTACTTTCCTCACGACCATGCTCGCTCGCAGATAATTTTATATGTGATCAATTATGTAACTGTTCTTATCGAATGTTTTCTCGCAATTGGTCTTTGTATAGGCAGCACACTGTAGACTGTAGTTGCTTACGCGTAGACGTCCAATACTGGATTTTTCAGATCACAAAGCATGGAGAAACTGGAATGAGGCAGCTGACAATGTCGCTCGGAGTTTAAGTAGTTCCCAACAAGCGCTGTTAATTGACGAAACGCTCGGCATCGAGGCTCGATCAGACAGAGCAGACGTCTCATCCTCGTCCTCTCTACTAGAACTGGCCGACGACGGTGCTAAGCGAATAGTACCGTGATGAAAATAATTCTGCGACGCGAGCATGTCTCTAACACAGATCCTTCTTTGTTCCGCTATCCTGTCCAAGAACATGTCCCGTGCATATTATTTTTGATGATAAGTAGTGTAAGATTCGTTTTTTTTATCGCGCACTTGTGTTTTACATTGTAATTTTATATTTTGTACTTGGGTAAATAGAAGTTACGGAGAAATTTTAAAAGAAAACAAAAAAGAAATATAAGATATTAATTACTAAAATAAAAATCAAAATAATATTGAAAAAGTGATAAGTATAACATTGGCGATAATAAAAAATATTTAATAGACTATATGTACAAATTATTTTGGTATATTATAAAAGGCTACTTATTTGCGATATATAAAACATTATAGTAAATTTGATGTAAAAGAGAATATTATATATGTGTAATATTTTATATCTATATATAATACACACACATACGCATATATGTATATAATATATATATATATATACCGTAATCACGTGACCGAAGTCAGTAACATCGCCGCGGTCAGTGACCCCTCCCCCACCAAGACTGCGGGGCCGAGGTCAATGCCCCGCCAAGGCCGCGCGGCCGTGGTCAGTGACCCTTCCCCCCACCAAGGCCGCGCGGCCGAGGTCAATGCCCCGTCAAGGCCGCACGGCCGAGGTCAGTGACCCCGCCAAGGCCGCGCGGCCGAGGTCAGTAACCCCGCCAAAGTCGCGCGGCGGGGGTCAGTGACATTACTCTGTAGTATGTATATAATACATATAATACAATATAAATTATAATATTATAAATATATAATAAATTATATGTATAATATGTATTATTTAATGTTATATATAATATATCTCTCTGGTAGGAACGTAGCAATAACGCGGTGGCCAATCAACACGTCTCGCATTTCTAAATAATAAAAGTCTCTAGAGAACTCTATCCGATAGCCAATCAAATCTTTATGTTGTACGGAAACGCAGTAATGAAATGGATTAAAAACACTGCGCCGTACAGTGTTTATAATAGCACATGCGCTAGAAATCCAACCTATAACCTAACCTAATTACATTTCTTTTGTATCAACCTTGTGCTCGCCAGTGCTCGCAAAGATCGCTGCGGCGGTTATTGGGCACGTGAAAAAGACTACATAAAAAAAAAAAAAAACTTTTGTATCAACTTTTATCGCATTGATTTTATCACTAACGTATCGATCAGAAGATGTTAGAGATTTTAATAAATACAAAAATAAATTTGATACGTTAATTTATGTGGAAACACAATCCTGACTGATCAAGAAAGGAGAAACAAAATCAGTCAGGATTTCATAGAATCGTCATTTATTTATTTATTCTAAGTTGACATATGGGTGTACTTTAAATATATTTATTGAATCAATTATCCGATGAAATGGATTTGTTATATACTGTCAATAGGAGAAATTCTCCTAAGTCGAATCAAGAATGGTATGTTTGAAAAAATACATGTCTTTTGCAACATTTGTGTATTAACTGTAAAATATACCTAACACAATTCTGTTAATTTGTTTCAGTTTATATGTTGGTCAGTCCTTGTGTTCCTTGTCCAGTCGAAATATAGCAGCATTTACTACAATGATAGAGTTAGATGATAATAGTGGCAAAACACGTGGTTGTCATGTTTATGTGGAAGATTTAAATATGCCGTGGCATGCTCACAAGTACAATATTTTATATCATTTAAAGTGTCTAATATTTTTTGTTTATAACAGTATTAGATAAAAGATCTCTTGTTAGTCAATAAATTGTTTTAATAACTTGAATTCTCTAAATTGTCAAAAATTCAGAGATTAAACATGAAATTCTTTTATATCTTCAGAGTGCTTTCAAATAAACACAATATCACTGCACTAGAGTGGGATTTGCCTGGTGACAAGTTGGTGGTAGCAGATACAGCTGGAAATGTGCAGTTGTGGATGTTTAAAGATCATGTTTTAAGTGACTGGATGTTGATAGGTTCCACATATTTTTCTGGTGAACACATATTGGGTGCAGCTTGGTTCCATAATGGCAAAAAGGTATTGTACATACTAACTTGCTAAGTAACAACAGTTATTTTCATATTTTTTTCAAGAACAATTCTTGTATACTAAAATACTTTTTTACTTAGTTTACATTGTTATTTTATATTATTATAATTTACAAGAATATATTAAAAATATTTATGTCATACTTAAAATTTTTTTCATATACAATGTGTTACCTTTTATTTTTTTACAATAATTTTTCAGACAGGGCTAGTAACTGAAAAGAAAGACAGCATGCATTACAGTGAAAAATTCAATCATTTATTGTTTGCACCTTCAGTAAGACAATTTGGTAACAGAGCAGCTGAAGGTGTGCTGGTTGTGTCAACTACTGGCATGGTTGGTGCAGTCATGATCACAAAAGATCTTCAGGTTCCGATTTGTTACTCAACAGAGAGTCTTGGCAACGCAAGACACAGAATAACCGCGGTGGATTTGTGTTATGGAAAAAGTAGGATTGAAACACATATGAAACATAATTCACGAATATTATATATGGACATGTGTTGCAAAAATTTGTCTGAATTTTAGACGGTCACTTTCTCGTCGCAGTCAGCAGCGGCAGTACTTGCTTGCCAATAAGATGTTACAGGGTATTGGTACGAAAAAACGATGATAAATGTACTATCACGTCGCAAGCTCTACCGAGTTTCTTCCTGCAAGACGGAGCACCCAAGGATAATTTATGTAAGCTTAATAATATTACAAGAAGTTTGGAAACATTAATTTATTCTGTGATTGTGCATTTGTTTCATTTTTTCCAGGTACAAATGTGACGCATTTAAAGTTTGTGGTCAGAGAAGATGCGGATTCTCTTGTAATCGCGGCGAATAGCGAAACTAGTGGATTCGTGGAAGTTTGGGAGTTGCGAGAAAAGTCGCAACCGGTTCACAAATTATTTCAGCCAAAGAGTCTAGAACCTTTTAAGACTGTTGTAGGTATTTTATTCATACGTACATATAGAAGTCGTTTTAATAATATTATAAATATTTTATTGCCATGCTTTGCCCACAATCATAGGTTTGGCAGTATCAGTCGCAGTACCGCTGTCAGTCACCGGTTACGGCAATAGCGACTACGAAGCTGTCTATAGTGACAACGTTACCGCCTCCGAGCTACGTTATAATTGCGTTGGCAGACTCGTCAGTGCATTGCCTTAATCGCCTTGACTGCCTCAAAGAAGTAGCGTACTCGTCATTGAACATGGGCTGGCGTCAAGATGAGCCAAGCAGCAAACACTTTAAGAGCTCGGTATCCGTTGCTCATATGGATCTCTCGTGGCTGGGCTGTGTACTCCTCGCGTGCGACACTCACGGCAATCTGTATCTCTACAAATTGTTGCCGGACGGCACCACAGGTATGAGATAGGCATAAAATTTTCTTTATCGTGTGAAGAAATTGCAGTGAAAAATCGAATAATTATAAAAATCCTGATGTTGCATATTCGAGATGTGATTTTTTATTTCGCAGGCTCATCGATGTCTTTGAGCTACGCTTGCACTTTATTGGAGTATTGTTTAGTGACGGGACTAGATTGGCTGGACATACTTTTGTGCTTGAGATCGTCCATGATCGAAGCGTTGTGCGAGCGATTAGACGTTTCCTTCAACCGGCAATCGCAACCCACGCAGCAATATCACTATATTCAATTTTTATGCATCAAGACGTCATTGTACAGGTAAATGTGTTAAATTTCTCATAGTAAAATAAGCAAATGTCTCAAAAGTAAGATGCAATTATAAAGTCGACGTTTACAGAATGCTTATATCGGGGCAAAATAAGGCAGCGGATTTATCGTCGCTGCTAATGATACACTCTGTAGCCACGGCATTCAAGTCTCTGTTAAGACCGTCGGACTTGATAACCCACGACAAAGGGCCGGCAGAGAGTTTGGCCGCAGTGCTCACAGATGTTATTACCGATAACATTGACAAAGTAATACAATCCATATACTTTGAACTTTCAATTAACGTTTTGTTTTTCTTATGCTACAAAAAACCAGAGAGCCTGTGGTCTATCTTTACCTTGGACTACAGGCACTCTGATTTTTTTTCTAAAAGTTTGATAATCAATGATGGCAGTTTTAGTTAAACTGTTTTATTTAAGTTTAATATTTTGTATTAGGTACTGTTGCATCTCGATCCGAAAGAATTTACAGTGGAACCGAGCACGCTGCAGTCGTTGCAGCAACTCATTCAGTGGGTCGCTGACTTAGCTTTGAACTTGCTCGCCAGGCTACCCGAGCAAAGGATGCAAATGAAAACTGGCGGTGTGAGTATATCGTTGAGGTTAGATTAATTAACATTTAAAATTGTTCCAACGGTCTCGGAATTATTGTCTGTCTTTAAATCTTTTGTTTCTTTTAATTTATTTTCTTACATTTTTTTGCAGTACGAACTTCTCAAGGATCACAAGGCTTTAAATACAATACGAGAGCTGCTGGTCATGATACGTATTTGGGGATTACTTCGTCCTTCGTGTCTCCCGGTGTTTCTTCGCAGCGCAGACTCGTTGGATGTTCTAGCCTTGTTGTTTCGCTTGTTATCAAAATTGGTGCAACCCAATGGAGACGCGCAGCAGCAACAACAGGTGGATGACGGTTTAATTGGTATATATATTTGCTAAATTTGGTTAAATTTTGGTAGTATAACACATAGAGAGTATAACAGATAGTTTATTAAATGTATTTAGTTTTTATTATAATTTATTTATTTTTCGAAGAGTATACATTGAGAGTATACTGTTTTTATTATTCTTTAGTAAATTTAAAGTATTTACACACCATTTATCAAAATAAGGGAATCACTTTTAATTGTGCGAAAAATATCCAGTGTATAATCAAATTTATAATATAATGTAAAGTATATTCGTAAACAAGAAAGCAGATGCAAATCAAACTTCTTATCGTGTACATTTCGTACTTGGTTACTTCGCGTTCCGGAAGTTTGATAATAACCACATCCTGAATAGTTATTATTATCAAACTAGATAAAATAAACTCGCGTTCGGCAACATTTTAACACACTTCATATCGCGCGTAACGTAATTGCATACCGTATTGCATAATACGCAGCACAGACTCAATAGCGGTACAAGTAGACATTAGAACGCGTAAACAACAAAAAAGTGTATTACAAGTAATGCACAATATACAATTTATTGTGTAACAAAATTAATTTATATACTTTTTATGTGTATATGATGTACGAATAAGTACACAAGTCTGATAAAAAAATATAATACAGAGGAAGAAGCGACGTTGCCAGCGAAGAAACAAGAAAGATGAGTAGCAAACTCGCGCTCAAACACAAAGATTCTCTCGCGTTGAAAGAGAATAAATCGAAACACGGAGAAAAACAAGAAGTTTGCAAGATGAAATACAGATATCTGTCGCTGCCTTGTCTTACTTTGAGCATGTTCCTGGTCTATTGGCTTATCATATGTCCTATAATGTTTGCTGTGTGTTTCTCCTTGTTCAGCTTTCCGCACGAGTCTTTAATCTTCTGGATTGTCTCGTTTTTAATCTGGTTCGTTATTATGATTTTGATACTAATTTGTTGGAGATGTTTGCAAGTGAAACAAAATTCCGAGATCAGCGTGATTTCTAAGTACGGCTCGGACAGCGTGGGCAGACCTCTCGGCGTCTTGCAGACGTCGTCCGAAGATGCGGAGTCTCTGGGAACGAAGATCGATTTAGAGCGTGATCCAGAATCACAGAAGAACGATCGAGAAAGCAAGAAGCTGTTGCCTTTGATGATACACAAACGAATATCTGGTGAAAATATTGAGGATACTGCAGTCGTTCACGGTGAACGAAATGGGGAAACTCGCTCGGACGTTGCCAGTGATTACGTTGCGAAAAATCCTTTGCAGGATTATCTGCAATTGGTGACGATATCACCGACAAAGGAAGAAGAGGTGGCTCCCAAAACGCCGATGTCACCACGAGATCTATTCTTCATCGATTTGATTCGCGGAGCCGAAGAAGCCGAGAAGGCGAACTCGTCGAAATCGAGAACGTATTTCTTTCCGAATGAAACAAGCGAGAATGATACGAAGAATGAAACAAATGCGGAAGAAGGAAAGAACGAGGACACGGAAGACAGAAAGGATGTGAAAGATGAGGACTCGAGAGACGAGAAGAATAGGACGAGCGAGTCGAGTTATTTCATAGCGAATGTGGATAGTCCGGTCAGTGAGAAAACGGAGGTCTTCCTTCATATCGATCCGGACATGAGTGCCGATCCAACGGAAGTGATTGTGGAGAAACCAGTGCTACTATTGCAATCGAACGAAGACAATTCAACAAGCTAATTAAATTACTAAAAAGACACGAATCACTAAGATAATTAATTAAACAACATAAAATATGAACTGAGAACAGAAATCGAGATTTTATTTAAAAAAATTAATGTGTTCAAATAAAAGATTTTATATTAACACACAGTATGAACGTGTTTTTTGTATCTACTTTCTTGCTTTATGAAAATTAATTGCTATTGTGTGTCCAAAAGATATGTATTTTTTAATTATTAATCTTTTTGATGGTTTAATCAAAATTGTTACGAAATTTTTTATCGAGAACTTACGTGCAATTTTGTTAATACAAACTCTTTTTCAGATGACTGCTGCTTGTTGCCAAATCAAATCATGATCCCGCAGTTGCATCAAGGCAACAGCATAACTGCCATAGTATCACCGCTTTTATTTTATCAAAACTTGCCGCTACAGGTAAGTTCTAATTATTAAAGCTTAAGTAATTATTTTAACGAAGAAGAATAAAATGATAGTAGATTAATTTTCTTGACAAATATTCAATTTTATATATATATATATATTTGTTATTACAATACCTATTGATCATTACAATTTACGATTGCAGTTGGAGTACGGAGTCGAGCCTGAACAATTAGTTTTTACACCTGAAATAAACGCCATCGAAGGTTGTATGCACAGCGGACAGATCGTGGACACGATACGACATTTATACTTGGGAAAGCAGCCGCTTTTAGTGAAGCAATGCACAAGGTATTCTATTGATTCATTGCTTATAATAATTAACAATGTTGAAAAGAAGAAAATAATAAAATACACACGGTCTTATAATTGTCTTCGTCATGTTGTAGATGCGGAGGTAAAGCACAAGTACAAAACATGACGAGAACAGCTGCGATCAGAGCTTGGGACCAAAGATGGACACGTGCTTGTCGGTGTGGTGGCGTTTGGCGGATTCACAAAGCCTGCTAACGACTCGAGAATCGAATTAGAAATCACCGTGTTTCTAACTATTAACTTTTATATCAAAGTTTACGCGAGCCATCCATCGAACAAAATCCAACTTACGATTGAGAGAGTTGGTTCGCTTGTCAAGCTGTAATTTTTATATTTAAGGTTTTTTAGACACTTTACAGCAATTGTTTTATTTTATAACGTACATGTGAAAAAAATTAAAAACGAAATTTTTTTATACACGTTCACACGAAGAAGATAATTACAGAAAACAAAGTTATTTATAATAATCAAACGTATTGTTGCGTAGATTGTTTTCCTAGACATGAAAAAGAAGTGAATGTACTCAGGAATAATTGCGAGTGCTCAAAAAGGTAAATGGAAACTCTACCTCAGAACAAACTTATTCGTGACACGTGAAAACATACATACGCATGCAGTAAATTTATTGAATTTATTGCTTTTGCGTGATAATTAATAATAAATGTTAGTTTTACACTATCAATTCATATTTTATTATCTTTTATTTGTTTAGTCTTACAACGTCGGATTTTGCCAAGAGAAGAAAACGATTTGAGGAATGTGCAAATCGAAATTTTCAATTATTCCTGATAATATCGTTGCAAAAAGAAATCGCTCAGTGACTCTCTCCTTTCTTGCCGGACACTCTCTTGAACTCGCCCATGTTGGTTGTTGAAATTGGTCGACCGATTATAACTAAATGGTCGATTCTCGTGGTTTCCGAACCGTTCTGATTGTCTATCACGAAGATCTGAAGATTCTGCACATTTTGAAATTTAACGTAGCGAAGTAAAATCGGATTCTCTTCTTCAAGGTCCTTGGCCGACAACCTAGGTTACAAAATTAACATATTAATTTCTCATGTTTGAAGATCATTTCGTGAAAAAATGTGTATTCTCTTCAGATAATTAAATATATAAATTTTTGTTTTTTCTTTTTTTTTTTTAGAAATCTGCACATAAAGTATATTTATTTCACTTACGCTAGATCTTGAGTACTCGTGTTGGAGCTTGCCATTTCGAAATCGATTGTCCTGGGTTGGTTGATAAATAATTTGATATTTTTCGGTCCGTTCTCCGCGGGCGCTTTGATCTTAAGCGAATGAACTTTAACGGGCTGCGAGAACGTAATGGACATTATCAACTGCTCGTCCGTGTCGCTCTGAAGATACCCGCTATCCGAATTTAAACACTGAGAGAACGTATGATAATCCGACTCGTTCAAACACTCGCACTGCTGTTTCATTATGAATCTCGTCAGGTCCATCTGTAAGACAAGATTTTACCACGAAATCCGTTAAACTAGAAAAGTAAATCAAATCTATGTTGATTGACATTAACTTTAAAAATTCTAACGTTAGTTTTTTGAGAGCAATTTTAAAAATAATTATTTTTATTTGTGTAAGAATGCAAATAGGACAATTAATAAAAAGCAAATTTTTATTTTTGAAAAACATGTATTTAAATGTATGATAATTTATCTAATTAATATTGAATTGTTTCTCATCAAGTAAATAAGTTTTTATTGCTACTTGTTTCGTATTGCATGCATAATTTCTTTTCATTAAATAATCTAAATGATATTAATAAACCACTTTACAATACTTTCGTTGCTTATATTTGTTTGTGAATACAAACCTAAAAGATTTATTCGATTTAGACAAGGTAAGGGATTTCGACGAATAAATCTCGAAAAGTACAAAAATGTATACAACACCTTGGTTGTACAATTTATTGAAAAAAGAAATATATATATATATATATATATAATATATAATTTATATATACGGAATAAACTTCTGTGTGTGAGTCAAGTAAAATTCAAAATCCAAGAAGACAAGAATTAAATTTTTTGTGGAAAACAATTGTAACGTATGTAAAGTATTTAACAAAGCTGTCTGTCAAATCAAAATAATGCAATAAGAGCGATAGACCACTGATAAACGTGAGAAAAATTAATCAAGTAATTAACAACAATAAGTCACGAGATGTTTTAATTCTTTAATTTTTTAATTTTAAAAACATTCATTGTTTTTTTTTTTTTTGAGTTTATCAGCGATCTGTTAGTCTTATCATATTATTTTGCTGAAAAAAAAACAAACAGTTTAGTCTTTTTCATTTTGGTACTTATTCCAGAAGTACAAAATCGTGACGAGAAGAATCATTCCTAAAATATGTTGATAGGCATTCTCGTTATTTCGTACATGACCAGACACGGAATCCGCGGCCGAGTCGTCGTCGTCGTCGCCGTCGCCACTGCCGTAGAACTGCTGGATCTTCGATTCCAGGCTCACCGGATCTGCGCCCTGACACTGGCCCAGTTTCGTGCGTCTACGGTAGAAGATGAAAGTGGGCATCGCGTTGACATTCTGTACCGTCGCTGTGACCGTACACTTGTCCACGTCGACTTTCAGAAACACCGCCTTAGGATACTTTAGCGACAGTTGCTCGAACACCGGAGCAATTCTTTGACACGGTCCGCACCTGCGACACACACAATCATATTTGTCATTGTAACGATGAAAGAAAAAATTAGAATTCTTGGAACTTTGCTCATAGAATCAGTTTTATTCATTTCCAATTAATTTTCATTCAATCAATTATTTCGTTAGAAATTTATTAATTTGGTTATAATTTAGTTATTTATCAAAATTGATCAATTTATTAATTTACTTATTAATTGATTACTTGGCAAAATTGAGTATATCACAGCTGATGTTAAATCAGCTGATCAACTTAATCGGATATGACATAACTGACCTTTGGAATTAAACTAATTTGTGATTTCCTATTACATTGGGAAAAACATTGATCTTTTAATGAAAACCAGTGAACTCTATTCTATTTGAATGTTTATTTAATTTAAAAATATAAATACAATTTTAAGCCTCACTTCAAAACTGATTAATTAAAATTCTAAGAAATAAAAATAATAAAATAATTTAAAATAGTAAAATAGTTTCCACTCTTCTGGTCACTCGTCCTATTGACTCAAATAATGCACTTTATAAATTGAAAACAAAAGACAAAGTTTCCAAATTAATTGTTCACATTGTACATGTATCCAAACACTTTACAACACACTTTGAGAGTGCCACGTCATTCTTAGATAGCGTAGAGTTCACTGACAAAGACAAATCGAACATCAAGCGAAACATGTCAAAACATCACTCCCGAACAAACGAGAAGATTCTGACAGTTTTACGTCCCACTGTGACAGTTCGTATTCTACTTGCAAACAATCTGTCTCGATTTTTTTCTCATCTCGAAATGTTTCTACGAACTGAAAAAAAATCAATGCAGGAATCAATGAAATCGCGTTAAGATGTATATCGCTCTTTTTCCGAAAACCGGTACATCAAATATAAATACGCAAACGGGGGGGGAAGTAATATGAGAAATATAACCTAAATCGGAGGCTCACCAACTCGCTGTAAAATCTACGACGACGAGCTTCTGTCCGGCATTGGCCAGCTCACCGTTAAAGTGAGAATCGTCGTTAATTACTCGTACCGCTCCCATTATTTTGGAATATTTGGATTACACACTGCACCGACTAACACCCCGCAAACGATATATATACAAATTACAAAACTACTCGCGCTAATTGAAACCGCCTTATCCAGCTTTAGCCGAGAGAATGACTCGCAGTTTGCTTCTGTACCAACAGAGGTGACCAACTCGATGCCAACTTGATTCCGAAGACCTCGCGCGGTAAAGTCGCAAAGTTCTCCGCATACGAGGTTGTCATTGGCTCGACCGTCGCCGTCCAGCGCAATCGATCTATCGCGTTGATCAATTTGTTTCGAACGCGATTGATCGATTGTGAACAATCGATCAATGCAATTGTTTAATCTCAAACCGGACACGAGGTGCTGAGGTGAAAAGGTTATGATAGTCTGACAGATTGTTGTAAATTGTATATTTATAAAAAAGAATTTATTTGTTGTCGCTGCAGATCAAGTTATTGAAGAAACAAAGGTATATTTCTCTTAAATTGATTTTGCGTTTAAGTTTTGTAAAATTTATTTGTTGTTTTTTTTTTTTTTTTTTTAACTTCTGAGGTTAAACATCTGACTTATAAAAAGAACACGTTACTTGATAACTATGTATAAGTGCGCATGTATTCCTACATATGAAGTCATTCACGTTTGCTTACACATTCATATCTAAACAAAGTAAAAAAAAATAGAAGTAATAAAATAACATCTTTTGTAATAAGGTTTGCAAGTACTGTAGTTTTTAAACAACAAATAGAATGATGTAATCTATTCTCTTATTGCTACTAAAGTTGCATTACATCATTCTTTACAGATGGTTGTAGACAATTCAGAGGAATGTTCTCCTGCAGGGTAAGAGAACAGAGATATGTAACTTGCAAATTTAAGTTTTTATATATATTGTTCATTGAACTTTTTATTTTATTAGTTTCAACAACTTTTTCTTATTTTCTGAAACCTAACAGTAAGTCAGTCAGATAATAACGCAACAATTTATTATTTCTTTATGTAAAGAGACAAGATGTCTAAGAAAGCACTAAAAAAACAACAGAAAGAAGCAGAAAAAGCAGCAAAGAAAGTAGAAAAAACTGTAAGTGTGTGTTTACATGTAAATTTTTAGTTTTTACTCATTAATCACAAGAATGTTATAGTTGAACAATTATATATTTAATTTTCAAAAATTGAATAAATATTGTTTTCAGTCATCTCAGTCAGAATCTGCAAGTGAAGCTGAGGATGTGTCTCTGGGAAAATATGGACAAATGGACATGATTCAGAGCAAGGAGAAATTTTCAGATAGGAAATTTATATCAATCAACGAGCTAAATAAAAATCTAGAGAATCAAACAGTTTGGTTAAGAGGTCGCTTACATACTAGTCGTGCAAAGGGTAAATATCTTGTAGAGAAAAAATAATTTTCCATCGATACATGCTAGATCTTATTAATTTTATAATTTATTTAAGGCAAGCAGTGCTTCATTGTGTTGAGACAACAATCCTACACTGTGCAAGGATTAGCTGCTGTAAATGATCAGATTAGCAAACAAATGATTAAATTTATATCCAAGTAAATTCTACAAACTTAAAAAAAAATTTGAAATTATGTTATATGTTTTACATAGAATTTGACACAATACTGTTATATTTTTAGCATCACGAAAGAGTCTATAGTCGATGTCAAGGCTGTGGTGAAGTCTGTACCAAAACAAATCGAATCGTGCTCGCAAAAAGATGTGGAAGTCCATCTGGAAGAAGTCTTTGTGGCAAGCGCGGCGAAACCGCAGCTTCCTTTGCAGATAGAAGACGCCGCGAGATCCGTTAACGAAGCGGATGAATCGACGTTGAATATCCGAGTGAATCAGGACACCAGACTGGACAACAGAGTGCTGGATCTGCGTACTCCAGCTAATCAGGCAATTTTCAGAGTAGAAGCTGCTATTTGTAAACTGTTCAGAGACATTTTGACGGAAAAAGTGAGTCTAACAATGTTCGTTTCTAAACAAAACAATTTTATTGCATACTTTTCATCGAAGCGTTTGCTCTTCAGGGCTTTGTTGAAATCCACACTCCCAAGATCATCTCCGCAGCTAGCGAGGGTGGTGCGAATGTTTTTACGGTATCTTATTTCAAGAGCAATGCTTACTTGGCTCAATCGCCGCAGTTATACAAGCAGATGGCGATTGCTGCTGACTTCGACAAAGTTTTCACCGTTGGAGCAGGTACTTAAAACAACTCAAATTTATTGAATAGAAATAAAAAAGTGGTTCTTTCAATAATTGAAAGGTCCATTAGGTACTAAACTCTGATAAAACGCGTGTTACATTTATTGTATACCTTTAATAGTAGCTTATTAAGATTTGTCTTAAAATTAGTTTTCAGAGCGGAAGATTCTAATACGCACAGACATTTGACGGAGTTCGTAGGACTCGATTTGGAGATGGCGTTCAAGTATCATTATCACGAAGTCGTTGACACCATTGGGCAAATGTTTACCGAGCTATTCAAAGGCTTGCGTGACAAGTTAATAATACTTAAATATTCTTGTATTAAATATTCAATACACATAATATTTAACAGTTGTTATAGCAATCGGTCTCAATAGGTATGCGGATGATATAGCAGCAGTCAGTCAGCAATATCCGGTGGAGCCGTTCAAGTTTCTCGAACCAGCTCTGAGACTGGAGTATTCGCAGGCGATCGAGTTGCTGGCGGAAGCGGGTGTGACGCTTGGAGAGGAGGACGATCTGTCGACACCGGATGAAAAACTCTTGGGAAAAATCGTCAAAGCCAAAGTAAGACGATGAAAACTTTCAGAACAAGTAAAATCTAACAACTCTAAAATTTTAATGCAGTAAAAAAAAACAAAAATTGATGTATGGTAAGGTGTTAAAAGTTTTTTTTACTAGAATTTTAATTTGTTATCATTTTTCTCACTCGATGATATAACTGTTTTAAAACGTGACTTGTCATCTTTCATTCCAATTTGTTTTTTAATCAAAGAATGTTTGTTTTTTTTTTTTTCAGTACGATACAGATTTTTACATTTTGGACAAGTATCCTCTTGCTGTGAGACCGTTTTACACTATGCCGGACCCGAATAATCCTGTAAAGTATTCTCATTATCATTCAATAGAGAATTCATTGGTTTCCTTCGTGCTAATAGTCGGTCTTGCATTATAGAAAATATCTAACTCTTATGACATGTTCATGCGAGGAGAAGAGATCATATCCGGCGCGCAACGTATTCACGACCCGGACTTCCTCACCGAACGAGCTAAGCATCATGGAATCGGTAACGTTCCTGAAGAGAAACTTTTGTTTATATCGTGGAAACATTTCTGTTTCAATTTTGTTGAAACTTATAAGCCCCATTCACACCGCTTTCTCTCTGTTCCTCAATCATTAATCATATCAGATGTCGTGGGAACGAAAATAACGGAGACTTTTGTTTCAGATATCGAGAAGATCAAGGCGTACATCGACGCCTTCAGATACGGCTGTCCGCCGCACGCCGGTGGCGGCATTGGCATGGAACGTGTGGTGATGCTGTATCTCGGCCTGGACAATATCCGGAAGGTGTCCATGTTCCCGCGTGATCCTAAGCGTCTCACTCCTTAAAGAATTCGAGGAGAACTGAATTTCTTCGAGAACTTAGGAAAAGAGAGAAATTGTGATTTCTATACATATATATATATATTTCGGTATACATTACAGTATAGTTATACCGAAGACGGAGTATATAAAAATATCTTTTAAATTGAATATATACACTTTATACAGGCGTTCAACGTGTTCTGTTATTTTCCTTTTGATTTTCTCCTGAGCTACAAGAGTATCTCCCGTTCGTGCAGTTTCGTCTGTTGCTGCTGGATGGCGACAATGTTGCATCGTCGGCTACAACCTAACCGTAACCTCTACTGGCTTCCGACACAACACAATGTTAACGTATCAGCTGATCAACAACACGTTTTGTTGTAAAGAGAGTTTGAAAGATACCAAATAAAACCTGTTCCTTCTTGTTTCTTATAAATTTATTGATTATTACGTGATGCAATTATTTGCATTATTTGTATTACGAAGTATTTAGCATATAGTTCAAGGTTCAAGATGAATTTACTCGTGACGACTACTTTGAGTTGTGTCATCGATACTATTTTGCCATTTTTAGTCAGATATGTAAGTATTTTTTGTCTCGAATATTTAAATTGCGTAGGTTTTGTTCATAGGTTCTGTATTAAATGTCAAAATCTTTTTATATTATTGTATAAAAAAGTTTCTTTGAGTCGTATGCCCAATTTTTGTGACATTTAAATATTCAGACGTCTATAATTCATTAATAATCGATTTTTTCTATACACGTAGATTTCAACATTTTTCTTTACAAAACTGCGATATTCATACACGGCAGATGATATCAAAATGAGAGATGAATTAAAGAATATGAAAAAGGAAATGTCGCACATCTCGGTTCACGATGAGTTTGCGAAATACGCCAGGCTTCAACGCAAATTCAATCAAGTAAACAATACTTTCAATGAAAAGAGTAAGTTTCTATATTTCTTCTCTGTCCTATCAAAATGTGAGACACATTTATTTCAATAAAATTATATAGCTTTACAGTTTTTTTTTTACCATCTACAAAGTGTGATAAATTATATGTTGTTTTTTTATCATATTACGAAATTTATAATTTAATATAATTTATTGTTACAGTAAGGAACAAGCTGAACAGAAAGGCAGCATACGAGACGATATTAATTCGCATCTTAAGTGCATTAAATGTATGTAACCATTGCTTGAGATTTCTGGTCTCTTGTATAAAAATATTTTGTTTTTAGTAACATATTTTTCATGATTTCTCTGCTCAACTATCTAAACTATTCTACTCAACTAACTAAATAATTTCTTTCAGGGTATTTATATGGCATACCTTTTATATATGTATAGGAAACAGCCAATAATCATTCTCCCAGAAGGTGCTTTGTGGCCATTCCAGAACTATTTCAGTTGGCCATCCGAACACGAGAATGCCATTTCTTTGTTATCATGGATTGTAATCGCTCGATTGGGGGTGTCTGGATTCAAAGAACTCTTACTTTTTAATGACTTGTATCACGTAAGTACATATAAAATTGTAAGTTTGTGACAACAATCACAATACTTATTGTGCATTTTTTTTTTTTTTTTTATTGAAATTTCTCAAAATTTAATTTTACAAATAGAAATCACTACTTTTATATTGTACTATGACCAGAACCAACTTAAGTTTGCGAAGTTTAGCTGTAAGTTGTCGTGTTTGACGGAGCTTAATCTTCTAACGTATATCTTACGATAACCGATGTCTTGCAGATGTCTGAAATTGTCGCCTAGTGTTTCCTCGCCGCTGGAGAGCGTCCGAAACATGTTCATCTGAAAAGGCGAATTTTGATGAAAAGTAAAGAACAAATATTCTGATTTATTAATAAAAGATCGTTTTTCTGTAATTGTTACAAAAATAATTCGTAAAAACTTCACAACTGACGTACTTGGCGAAAAGATATTGGGACCGGATTGGCGAATATTATCCAAGTGACCGCTTCGCTGCAAGGCGGGGTCGTGAGCGATCCTTTGTACGTGTAAAAAATGTCGGTGTTCGAAGGTATCAGAGATGTCAGAGTTACATTTATATTAATCGACACTTCTGTATACGCCCATTGCACGTCCGCTAATTTTTTCACGAAAGACTGTAGAAACTCGTTATTTTCATCTTGCAACTAAAAAAAAACGTAATTACGTTCAGATGTACATGTTTTTAGACTTACAAAGATTTGAAAAACAAATGTTTTAGTTTTTGTTGTTAAGATGAAAGAGAGAAATGATTAATTATATACAAAGTTAAAAAACTATTCTTTATGTAAGATTGAGAAAAAATTGATTTCAAAACAGACACACTTGGATCGCGACCCGGTCTCGTATCTTTTTGTATATTGTTGGATTTTTATTTAAAAAAAAAAAAGTATGTTAATACTGACAACGCGATTTCAAACTTAGGAATTGTTGAATTACCTGGAAGAAAGCAGCTACTACGACCACACCGTCTTCGTGCCATAACGCGTCGGAGAAGTTCGAATATGCCATGTTGCGATGTACAATATGTACTTCCATTGGGTATCTACTTACGTTGTTTTTTTTTTTTTATAATGTGTTGTTAATATATTATCTTCTTGGTTTATCGTAAAAATAAAACGAGGATGTGTCACCTTATACCGTTCAAAACGTGTTCGGCACCCCTGTTATTTTTCGTGCCCCAGTGAAAGTGCAATTGTTCTATCTCGTACCGTTGATTTTCCTTCAACACGGCACCGAATATGTACGGCAATCGTTTTGCGGTCTTGTTCACGATCAGCTTGACTATAAAGAGAGAGAGAGAGCAACTTTAGTAAGTGATAGATATCCCATCAAAATTTTGCAACTCGGGAATGCTTGCCGGTGTGTCCAGTATTCTCCAGTATCTGCGGTGTCGGGAGGAAGTCATGGTAACCGATCATTTCGAGCGCCGGAAGAGACAGAGGAACCGCTTTGGACGTCGATATAGCTACTGGCGATTGCAGCTTCCCCGCGCAAAGTTTCTCTTTCTTTGGCCACAAATGTTGCTCTAATACAAGGGTGTTAGTAATGTACAACTTGCTTTTCAAGTTTGTAAATATATCTTTTTTCGTATGATGTCAAGAGCAATATGTGTAAAAAAGATGTGTAAAAAAATTTATTTTTACCTTTCTTACTGTAGCCATAGCCTTTGATGCTTGGTATAGTGTTGAAAACAAGCCAGGTCATTGCAATTTGTATGATATGCATTTCTAAATTTGTGAGTAAAAGTTATTCCAATATATAAGTAAAAATATAAATAACAAATATAGAAATATATTAACAAATATATAAATTACATAAATCGCGTTATCCCAATATGTATTATTATACATTCAATTAAAATAATATACGAGTAAATTTTATTTATTTTTTATCACACATACAACTACCACTTTTTAATTTTATGTTATAGCTTTTTTACATAATCTTTAAATTGTTCTTTGCATTACTTTTGATATTAAAACGATAACTGGAACGTTCACACTGCACAAGACATTGAGAACAAGTGTCTTAAATAGCAGTGTATATCATTGTCAGTTGCATATGGCAGCCTTTTAAATTAACACAAAAAACACAAAGGTAGGCAGAGTGCTGTTTCCGTTATGTAGGACAATTCATTGTTGTCTTTCGAAAAAAAAAAAAAAAAAAAAAAAAAGAAAAACTAGGACTGTAGGTGAGTGGAAGAAAAATATGTGCATCTTGAGGTTGTAGCACGTATATACTTCGTTACAAAACAAAATTACATGTGTATCTTCGTTGAATATATACAATGTGTCTATGATAATTTTTCTTTTTTTTTTTTCGGTATTTATTGTAAATCTCGAAATATACATATCACAGTCAAACAGTTACAATCAGAAGTTGATCAACTCGAATGTCGGATTCGCGAGAAATTAAATATCTCAATTTCTCTCAACTCCACAAAATATATATTGCACTGCGCTGAATATCATAAAAGAAAGATCTTGAGATGTAGAAAAGAGTCATCACGTGTGAAAGAAAGAATCTCCAATTGGAAATATTATAATGCCTGAGATAGCACCATACGATTTTACTACGCTACACTATATCGATAGTCTGTATACATGATATTCGATGCTTTCGCGGTATGTTGCAAAAATTCATGCGCACAATTTCCGGATTGGAGCCGCGTTTGCGTCACTGAACTTGTGTCATTGAACTGAAATGTCCACAAAACATAAAAAAAATAAGCGACACGAACGCGGTTTCAATTCGCAAACCGTGCACAAAAAAAGTCTATATACATATATAAATATATTTACATATTGTATATAGAATATTAATTATAATATATATACATATTTCTCTATAGTCTACTATTCTATATCTTTGTATTTGTGTGATGTGAATTCGTGGACTTGGTTTAAAATATCAAACATTACACAAAAGATGTATCACGAATCAAAATCCAACGATATACAGACTGCTGTTTTACACGATTCGATTTTGCAAATCGGAGGCGTTTAAGCACCTGAACGCAAACACAGCCGCTCAATCAAATAAATCGAACAAATCTTCGAAGTGAAAAAGCACATGCCTTCGATTTGCAATACCGAGCGTATATAGCAATATTACTTACAACGTATTGGCAGTAATACTGTAATTACAGTAGTGTGTATACTTATATAATGTGTATAATGATATATATTAAACAGTATATAAAATATTCGAATTATACGTAAAAAGTGTAAAATAGAAACACATAGAATGCCTCTTAGATAGATTTTTCTAATCTGTTTTCTTTTTTGAACTTGAGTATATAATTTTATGCTCAAAAAAGATTAACTAAAGATTTGATTTGCGCACCGTTTACATCTTCTCCGCATTGTTATCCTGTGAAACGCATTTGGTCACTTGCAGAGGTATCGAGAACAACTCTTCCCACGGAGACTGCACAGAACTGATTACAGCTTCCACAGCACCGGGAGAAACGAATGAAAGATTCCATTTCTCTTCAAGTCCTGCGACTTCATCCAAAAAATTTAAAGTCAATGTAGAGTCACAGTGTTCCTAAAAAATACGTCATTAATCTGTTACTTCGCGTGCATAAAATACATATTTCATATATAATACCATTTTTATTTTTTTGGTCACAATAAATAAAGAAACTATCGCAAATTACTCACTATTGAGAGCAAGTTGCTCATTGCTTGCTCTCTGGCAACTACAGGCACTTGATTGCTTCTTGGTATGAGCCACTGAACGTTATCTTTCAAAATCACCAGTGCCGAAGTTGTCAGTATAAGTCCGGACAGTTTCAGCTTAGTGGTGACGTTTTGATACTTCAGAATCGCGGAGGAAAATATCGCCAGCAATCTCACGACGTCTCCATTTTGATAATTGGCAGTATTTGTTAACAGGTTTTGCATCAAGGGATTGCAGTGCTCCGGAACGGAGAACTCCACTTCGCAACTCGGAGGCAAGTGTAGATCTATCAATATAACACATACCGTGAACAGAGAACTTGGTAAGTTAATCTATTTTATTCTATCCGTTATAAACACTTTACCTGTGAGATAAAATAAGAAATTCGACGTTCTCTGGAAGTCTTGCAAGATGCAAAGTAACGGGATAGTAAGATGTTCCTCGCCTATCTTACTGGATTGTTGCAACTCGATCAGAACGCCTTGCTTAAACGGCAACGGAACGAAGGATCTCAGTCTGTCCATCGTCCAGCTGATTTCCTTGTGAAGCCAACGCTGTGGATCTTCTCTGTTATCAAGTTTTTAATTATTCAATTTTTTGTCTTCCTATTCTAATGAATATCTCACAAGATTTTCTTATATCAAGCAACTTACCCTTCCGGACCGTCAATTCTGAGAACATAAACCTTAGACGTGGACAAAACCAAGCATCCAGGAAACGTCTCTTGCGTAGAATTCATCAAGATTTCTGCCTACGCGTGAGAGTAATAAAAGAAAATAAAATCGTCAATTCTATGACTGTCAAACTCAGTGTAAATTATATTGAATGAAATTTATACCCTCAGAAGAAGCACCAGCTCTTCGTTTTCATATTCGAACACATTTAGAATGATATGTAGTTTGATTCTGTGATCTACACTGCTAAAATCGGTATACGAATACTGCACACTGGTGCCAAAAAGACTAGAGGTCTCCTCGTCTTTCAGCATTTTGTTACTGCCAACTTTGATGCTCTGTAGCAAGCCTGCGAATGGTAACGTGCGAGTAAAGCGTGATTTATCTTATTCGTATGTACAATCAAACGTTTATTATAACACGCAATAGCGTAACGACTGTTGATTTTTACCTCCCAGCATCGACGTTAAGTTCGTCACAGTAGGGAGCCCACTTTCTTTCTCGCCATCGCTGCTGTGAGATTTTGTATCAATGTTCATCGACTTGCTCATCTTGTTTTCGTACGCTGTGCATATGCTATCTGTCAGCGAGCCTGTGTAATACGAATTCTTGTTAAGTGACAATTAAACAAAAGATATTCAATACACAAACCTGAAGAACTGCTCTCTGTTAAGCCTGTTAGGACTGGCGTGGTATCTGGAATTGTTATCAAGGAAGAAGCGATCGCGGCGCGTTTTTCCTCCGTTGAACACTTCCGAATCGGCGTCACATTTGTTCTGCAATAAATATCATGATCCAAACAATTAATACAAACACGTATGACGAACGATTGATAAGATAATATATATAATTATTATTTTATTGTGTAATTTTTTCTATTTGTTATTATGTTGCAAGCAATGGACAAAAAAGGATATAAAGTCTAAACGTTGAGTATCACTAACTTTTGGGTTTCGTCCAAAACCTCGATGCTGCTCTGACTTGGATTACTGAGAATTTCTATGTCGCTCTCGTATTTCTTCGTTATGGCATTCGCAGACGGCGTGGATTCCCTCGACTCATCCAAACTCGTCGCTGAACCTGTGACGACGACAAAAACATTTGATAAAAATCAAAGATTCGTAACATTTCGTAGTTACATGTTTTTTTAGAAATTAAGAGAGAGAGAGAGAGAACAGTTAATTCGAAAAGATTTTAAATCAAAATAGTTGTTTTAAACATGTCGCGTTATACTTACAAGTGCAACTTAAAAATTACCGTCGCTACTTTAAGCGCCGGCGAAAAAAATGTATATGTAAAAAAAAGTATAAACTATTTTTATAAATGTTCGATTGTGTTGCAGACTTTTAATCGTGTTTGTTTGCAAGTATTTTCCAGAAAAAAAAAAAGAAAGTCAATTTTCATTTTCAGACGGCTGTATATAAATTTACAAAGAGAGAAAGAAAGAAAAAAGATGAGGGAAAGGAGAGAAGGAAAGGAAAGGAAAGAGAAAGAGAAAGAAAGAGAGAGAGAAAGATATAGAAGGAATGCTGTAACATAAATTAGTGTTTGCTAAAGCTTACAGCAGACTTGAGCTTGGGTGTGAGAGTCGGAGTGCAGAGAAGTGGTGACAGATTTAGCTCCACCCTCCATTCCACCTGCACCTTGGGATTAGTATTGTTGGTAGTTCCCATCAAATGTGTGACGAAAACGCACAGACACGCGTGCGTACGCATCGGTCAGTGTATATATTCATACACATTAACATATACATGAACCATTATTAGAGCGCATTCGCAATCATTCGATTAATTAATCAGAGTTTTGCCAAGAATCAAGAATTTCACTGATCCTTCTCAAGATAAAAAAGTTAAGTAAACTCCTAAGCTAATTTCAACATTACTTCGCACGGGCCACGCAAAGTCGGTTAGTTTTTAAATTAAACACACAAAAGAAAACGACTAATTATCGTACATGTATATGATCTACTTATTAAGATCCAATGTTTTTATTTTTTTTTCAAGGACGGATTGTATCTGCGTGACCCGTGCAGTTTTCAAAAAATTCACTCCGTTCTCGTTTAAAAATCATCCTGCATGCTGCAAGCACAGAGAGACTTACCGATACTGGAAATTGATTCAGAATGTTTCAAGTTACTCTTCACGGTACTTTCCGCTGATTGAGTTTTCGCAGTTTCGGCGTCCGCGTTAGAAGGAGCGTCGATTTCGATGACCAGAGTGCTGTTGCAAGTGGGACATTTGAGCTGTTTTACACCTGAAAAAGAAATTAGGTAAATTTTACACACAAAGTTATAAATTATCAAATCAATGAAAAGACGCCGTTTCATCGCGATGCGAACCTGCCAGCGACTTAACGACGCGCGTCTCGTATTCCTCCTCCTGCGAGAATTGTGTCGAACACTTCATACATTTGAAAATCTTCAACAGTATCGGTCGCATTTCAATCTGCGCGTTAAGCGTCGCCACGATTTTCTGAAAACAGAATTACGTTTTCTAAATTTGTGAACGGTACAATTATAAATCTTTTCATTTGTACCTTCGCGTCTTCCAGTTCTACGAAGTACCGCCTGTTCTCCCGATCCTTTCGAGTGGTATCGAAAATTATGTCGACTGTCGGTGGATCGCTTCTGCCGAGGACGCAAGACAGTACGGAGTTCGTTGACCAACAGTACATCACTTTTCCATTAAGCGTATTTTTTTCCTTAATATCTCTAAAACAAACATCTTTTTCAATAATATAACACAAAACGTAGCAAATATAAGACGATTCTTTTAAAAATAAAAAAAATACGTGTATTTTATGCTGTGAAAGACTAGAAGAGCGACTTACTCGGGAGTTATCGCTAAGAAGATGTCCTCCATTTCTTCATCGTTTTTCCTCTTCCGAACAAAATACAAATCTCCAACTTCTAAACGATAAAACAAACTGTTCTGCTTAATTGCGTAGCTAATATTAAATGTAAAACACATCTTGCGAACAAATCACCTTCATCAGAATCAGGAAGTTCGTTCGGCATAGAAAGTTCCAGATTAGGAAGTTCGTCCGGCACGATTCCTTCGTCCTGAGCAACATTTTCATCTTCCACCGCATATTCCGTGGTTTCGTTCAACTTGGACGCGTCGGATGAGTTTTCGTTATTCATTGTATAAATCAGAGTATCGTAAAGAGTCGGTGCGGTGGTAATATCAGTCCAAGTCTTTATCTTGGGAATTGGTGGTGTTGACGGTTGCGGGGAAGAATGCAGACCCATAATGTTCTGGACGAAAGTTCCTCCCTGACTGCTCAGCCAATTGTCCTCGCCGAACTTCTCTCGCAGCGCTTTAATGCGTTCTTTCATCTCCAAATGAGTTTTCGACGAGTCTAAAAAGATAAGTGTTGACATCGTAGAAACATCATTATTTTTTGTTGTATCAATTAATTTGAGTAATATCGACACTATAATGTTAATCTCTAAAAAAGACCGTTATTATCCGAGTGAAACTTGCAGATTCTCTAAAAAGAGAAAGTAACGTTCTGCAACGTCTTGTGCAACGCTTGCCGAAACATTGTCAGAAAACATGAAATATTGTTACACGCAATATATTCTGATTGATTTCTGGTTTTCTACTGATATTCGCATTATTTATCGAGTTTTTCAATAATTACTCATATGAGAAGACGCAACCACATCCGGTAGTTTCTTAAATTCTTCCTTATCCTGATCGATCTCAGCGATAATCACTTTCTTCAATTTTTTTTTGCTCTTCGGTACACTATTCGGCACACTGTTATCATCTAAAGTCTCGCACGAAGCCGACTGAAGATTCGATGCATCCTCGGTGAACTCGGACGTGTCCGTCATGTACGTCGATATCGAGCTGTTCAGAGATTTGGATAGATTCGCGCGTATCGTGAAGACTCTGTTTTCCGCGATCAGTGACTTCTCCAACTTCGAAAGTGGCAAATGATCTAAAACAAACTGCGAGAGTTTACTCAAATCTGCGCCATGTTACGCACAATACACGCATTAAATGCCGTTCCGTAAATTTGTGTAAATTTTAAAAATACGATTATTCAGTGCGCAAATACCTTGCTATCCGACAGACTCGGATGCAAGTGTATTATAGACAGCGCTCGATGCTGCGGATGATACGACAAAGGATTTCCCTCCAAAGACATCCACATCAGAGTAGACATTGTTTGAAGTGGCCAGAGCATTGAATGTTCCATTAAACAATTGTACGATAAATCCAATTCCGTCAGACATTCTAGGCCTTCGAGTCCTGGCAGAAATCAATATGTAAAAACTTGTATAAATAAATCACAATGTCAAAAAGTTATCGAATATAGCACACGAATTACTCAATGATGTGTCATTACTGATGTGTCACTATGGTCAGGAGTGCTAATTGACTCACCAATCAGGTTCTCAATGTAATTGTTCTTCAAAACCAACACTTGTAATAAATGTAACGCTGTCTTATTGAACACAGGAACTTCCTCCAATTTGTTGTAGCCCAAATTAACATACTTCAGGTTTGATAAGCAGGATATCTCTTTAGCACTAGTGATCATATTGTGACTCAGGTCTAATATCTGAAGCCAAGGTGCTAATTCCAATGATTCATCCAAATGTTCCAGAGCATTGTGTGGCAATATCAATTGTTTCAGAGATGCCCACACAAATCCAATACCAACAGTGTCACCTCCGCATTCAGCTACAAATAATGCAAACAAGTTGCCAAATAATAACAACAAAATATTATTTTTGTTAAAAATCTAAAAATCAGCTTTTAAAGCTATTACACTACCTAGCAATTGACTAATTGTAGACACTCCCTTTCTACCAGTACACAAAATGCTTTCCAATTGACCTCTGACACTTTGCAGACCCTTGACCCACTCAATTGACACCTTTCTCAGTTCCAGATATTTCAGATGTTTGAACTTGGAAATGTCAATGATGACTCTAACGTCAGAGGAACAATGCGTCACTTTCAGACCAACGATCTTCTGCACAAAGTCGTGTAGGAACTTCACATCGTGGAATATATCTATCTTGGAACTGTTGCACACGTGGAACGAAGTGTCGAGCTCCTCGGACTCCACCACGATCAGCGAGAACGCCTCGTTGAGGCTGTTGAGGAGCTTCGTGGACAGCGAGAGCTTGCTGGAGGCGCTCAGAAGTTCGTCGCCGTTTTGCCGAAGGATCTTTGCCAATTCCACTACTCCCTGCATGCTGACTGTGTCTTGCAAACGGCTGGCCATGTCTCAGGATGTCTTATTCAAGGAATTTACTACTTCGCTCGTTCACTATAATCGTCAAAATGAACTTTGTGCCCCGCGGCTTTCCACCACGTCGTACTCATACAAAAATATACATCCCTGCCAAAGTTTCATGGTTCATATTTAACTATCTTTCTCTTTCTGAAATAGAAAACTAGATATATGTACATGCACACAGCGTGACAATGCGTGTTTTCTTTCTCGTTGATTATTTAAAAATCATAATAATTGTTAAAAAATACTTTAATACACGCGTCGCGACTGGAACTTTTAAATTTAAAAAAAAATTGAACTTTCTTCGTCGGTATCATCGCGAAAACGTTTCTGATATGTAATTGCAATAATATTATTGTTTACACACACGCACAAATACATACTACGCAATTAATTAATCACGACGTATTGTCAAAATCAGGCTGCCATTTTGACAGCACGGAATTTGGAACATGACAGATGGAGTGCGAGACCAGAAAAAAGATCAGACAGTCTTCAACGACCCCGTGCGGCAAACTCGAGAGACGCAGGTTCGCCAATATTAAAAAAAAAAAAACAGAAATTCTCTATTGTGCGGATGAAGTAGCGGGGGTTCAGTTACTTTCCAATTCTCATATTAACCAAACTGGAGACTCAAATGTTTTTTCTTCGAAACGCAAAACGGTAAAAAAGTCGCGTATTTCAGGTATACCGCAATTTCTCTTATTTAATTCTTTTGATAATTTTCCTTGAATACAAACAATTTTATTGATGATAGCAGAATATTATTTATGTTAAATTATTTCGTCAAATAGAAACATAAATTTTTCGAAAACTTATTTGCGCCATCTTTTAAAAATAAATTTGTTATTTAATTCGAGCGTAATTATATTTCTTCAAGCAAAAAGATGTAATTAGATAATTGTAGAACGATAATCTTCCTCTGGTCGTAGTTTGTTATTTTCTTGGATTTTGACACAATTTTTATTTGTTTTTTTCCAAGTACGAATCGCAATCGGCAAAACGTCACGCACGCGATAGGGATCTTGACCTTTGTTTTGTTTTACTTCTGTTTGTATCTAAACTTGAAATTCGCGGTCGCAAAAAGGCAAAATTGTTTTGACAAAACAAAATCGTAGAAACTGTCGCTTTTCGCGGATATTTCGATTCTTGGAAGAACGCCATGTGTGTGTGGAATTTCGGTGCGCGCTCTTTCTGAGAATCTAATGTGCGGCGCACACACAACGCGCGGTTCATTATGTGTGTTATTCTTGAAGTATATAAAGAGAAAGAGAGAGACCAAGAACATAGTAATATTATTAATATTATAGTAATAAAAAATTATAAGTAGTCGTTTTATATATATATATATATATATAAAATTCAAAAAGTAAATATTATTTTTAAAAATATGTAAATTTTTTTCATATCAAAAGTGTTGCGGTACTACCACATAAGATTCAAGAAGATTAAAGGTCTCGATTCGTTTATTTACTTACAGGACAAGATCGCGCTCTCATTAATGCGCCGCGAAGATGCGGGAACTTCGGGTGGCTTCGCGAACGAGTTTGATTGCCAAAAGTTTGACGCAAGTCACGGTATTGAGGCTGCTATTTCGAGAATGGCGCGAGATAGCGCATGGATCATTGTTTGCTCCCAACCGAGAGAACGGCCGCCGACATTCTGTCGCACTCGTCGTAATCGCCGTCGTCGAGTCGCATCCGTTCGTCGATTGTGTCGCATGTATATAACGTAGAAACAAGAGCGCATTCTAATTTGAATCTTCTTTATTTTCCTTACACTGTACATTGAGCGTATATATCGCGTTGTGTATATATGTACAAAGGTACAAAAGTCAAAATCACTTCGCGCTCCGTAGCTGGAAGAAACCTGGATGTTCGATCGATCGACGACAGAAGCTTTAAAGTCGTAAACTCGAAATTTTCAAACGTGTCCGTTTTTGTTTTTTTTTTTTTTTTGCATTAAGCGCAAAAAAAAAAATTGTCGCCGCTACGTCCACGTTCGGACGTTTGAGCAAACGGACGAGGTTCGTCTTCTGTCGCGAACGAGCTTTCTTCCGCACACGCGCGCGGAAAAAGAGGAAATACAAAATGTGTAAATTTGGCGACTAAAATACGAGTATAGCAAGTAGGTAAAATATACATTTCTCGTGTTCACGCAGGCGGTTACAAATCACGTTGTTCGCCCTTACGCGTGTAAAAAGTAGAATACTAAGTAGAAATATATATAAGAGGGTGGCGCCTCAAACAGCCTTGTCATTGTACTCATCGAGTAGCACATGGAGGACGACGTGACTCTCACAGTGTTTCCTTTACGCCGAGTATACAAATTTGATACCAAACCAAAACTTCAAGATACAAAGTAAGATGAGATTAACAAACGTTCTTGACGTTCAGGTTCAAGTTGTATAATTGCAAAAAATATATTTTGCGCGCGCAACATTAATAAATCCTCTTCAAAATAAAAAAAAACTACAAGATTTTTTTTCAATACTTGTTTGTATCTCGGAGTTTGCAGTTTTGTATTCCCAAGCGTCGGCCTAAGCAAATGGAATATAAGATCTTTGCAATTTTCACCAAAAATATACAGGAAAGACGAGCATATATAACGTTTTTCTCGTCGAGCGAATATTTCGCTAATAAAAATCGTAGAGGAGATAACGATGTAACGACTGCGGGAGCTGCAGCTTCTTGACGATCTTCGGCAGCCGAGTGCCGCAGAGCCTGCGGACTATCAGCCTCGCCTGATGCGTCAACGGCAACGGGGTTCTCGCGGCCTCCATCACCAGCGCCTTCTGCGCGTCCGTCAGACTGCTGGACCGTCGTATCATGCAGGGGTCGAAGCTCTCGGCGGCCTCCAGCAGCGCGCGCAACAGCCGCGGTTTGTCCGCCGTGTTCTGCAAGGAATTGAGGATCCCGTGCGGATCGCGAAACTGCGTCTTGATCACCACTCGCGCTCCGTACTTCAGCAGCAAGGCAACCACCTCCACCGCCGGATTCTCGTTCGAGGCCACGTACTCGGCGAGGACCGGTCGCAACGCCGGCCCGTCGTCGCTGCGTATCACCAGATTCGGATCGGCTCCGCGTTCCAACAACATGCGCAGGATCTCCAGCCGATTCGGAATGTTGTCCGCGCACGCCACATGCAACGGCGAGCCGATAATCGGCGACGTAGCGTTCACGTCTGCACCTAAACGCGCCATTGTTGTTGTTACTTTATTTTGTATTAAATCTAGAGGCTATAACATTATAATTAACATTACCGTAATATATTTTGGAACAATATTTTTAGGATAATAGTTTAGATTGTTTGTCTCTATATGTCGAGAGAAGAAATGATTAAATTGACGTGATCGTATTCGGCACGCGACGACCTTCGAATACCGCGCGATTCGGCCGTATGCCAATTAGATGTTATCTTGATATCATCACGTAATCGTTTGTAACGTACCTGACACGAGCAGCATCTCGACGATCGACGGGTCTCCCTTGAGAATGGCCAAGTCCAAGGCCGTTGGTTTCTGGTAGTCGGGCCCGAGATCCAATCGGGCGCCCTGTTTTAACAGCAGATTGATCACCGCTGGATCGCCACCAAGGATCGCGTAATGCAACACCGTCCGATAATCGTGCCTGGCGTCCGCCATCGAGTTCACGTCCGCGCCGTAGCTCAGCAACAAAAGCACCGAAGCTATACCCTGTGACAGAAAAGTTTTAGTTAAAAAACTAAGGCCCTTTTTTTAAGAATTAAAAAAATACAAGAAGTAGTACATGTGAAGTAAATAAAAACGCTTTTCCGGCGTGTGTTTTGCGAAAGAGTAATTTGTTCTTCTATTTTTTTACCTGTGGCAGTCTAGCAGCCTTCATGAGAGGCGTTAACCCGGCGCGATCACGTGTGTTCGGCTGAGCACCAAAGGCCAACAGCAGCTCCATGCACTCCATATCTAAGGGAGACACCAGATTAATCTCAGAGCCGAAGAAATATCTCTTGTTTGGATTGGCACCGGCCTCGAGCAAAGTTCTTGCAACATCCACGTGACGGTTCCGTAAAGCCAGACGCAGCGGCTCGTCGCACAACATGGTTCTAAGTCGAAACGAACATTACAACAATGAAACATACGTAGGTAATACGAATTTTGTAAAATCTTTTTTTTTTTTGATATCAACTTTTATCCACAAATCTTGAACAAGAAATAAATGTAATACACATGTTCTATATGTCACCACCTGGGAAACAGTTCTCCCGTGTCCTGTCGATGGTCCACCTTGGCGCCATACTTAAGCAGCAGTTTCACCAGGTCCAAATAGCCGTGTTCGGCGGCGAGATGGAGCGCCGAGTAGCCGCACTCGTCGGTGGCGTCGATGTCGGCGCCGCGCACCAGCAACAGTTGCGCGGCCTCGGTGTAACGCTGCCAGACGGCGTAGTGCAGGGGCCTGAGGCCCTGGGTAACCGGCTCGTTGGGTTTGGCGCCGCACGCAAGCAGGATGCGGATCTCGTCGAGCGGCTGCAACCGTATTATCGCGTCGGCCAGCTCCCGCTGCAACGGGTTGGCGATGCACTCGGTCGGCATCTACTCGGTGGCGCAACACCGGTAAAAGAGACACAAAATCAGAGACAAAAGGAGACGGAAAGATTACATAACGGCCGCGCGCATTCGGCAGAGAAAATTTATAGCGAGACAATAGACAGGAGAATTTATCGGTACGTAACTTGTCAACGTTGCGAGAAATCGCTCTCGTTGAATTTTGTTATTTTATTATTATTCGTAGCAACGGGAAAAGAGACGAAGATCCGTAAATTTAAGAACTGTACTTCCCGAATGATTGTTGCAAGCACTAAAATTTCCGAAGAAGCTAAAACTTCGTAACACGAACTTTTTATATACATTATGTGTATATATCGATCGCTCAGTTCTTAATATACTCATGCATAAATTTATCTTTTTTACTAAAACATCACCAATCATTTTTGTCATCATCGACAAATGTATCGATTGAAAGGAATTTTAAATCGAACTGGTTTTTGCGCGCGCGTTTTTGATACTTCAAAAAATTCAAAGTCAGAGAAAAATCTTTGAGGACGAACCACCTGACATGCATTACAAACATGCATTCTGTTACGTGTGTGTGTGTCAATACGCACTTTAAATTTAATTTCGAGTCTGATTTCGTCCCGTATGTGCCTTAAACGACGAGCGTGAAAACCTGAGAAATCTGCAATACAAGAAAATAGAAAAAATTAATGAGAGTCAATGAACCGCGTGACAACTCTCAAAAAGTTTCACTGTTACAAAACAGGATACTGCATGTTTTGCTGTACGTGATAATTGACGAACAGATGAAGTATAATAAAATTGTATTATAAGTGGCGTGTAAAAAGATTGGGTGCGAAATGTTGTGTATTTTCTTGCAATGTGTACGTGAAAGTAAAATTTCTTCTGTCATGTTTTTCTGTAGTGTATTTGCGTAAGAGACAAAGACATTAACAGAAGACCTCGATTCCCGATTCCGGACATAGTTGACAGTGCGTCTTCGTCAAACGCGCTCGTAAAGATTTTCCTCCAACGGTGATAACTCTGCGACGATCGCTTCGCGCGATTTGGCTGACGATGAACGAGCAACGCGATCATCTGCTCCCGCCCCGGGAACTTCACTGACACGCGCGTCACGAGCTTTTAGAAACCTTGCCAAGAGGACGGCGCAATTTTGGCGATGATGCCGGAAGTCACGTGGCATCATCGTCGATCGGGAAATCACGCAGTCTGCGTCTCCTCCGCGAATACAACGCACGAGATACCGGGTGCATCTGTCTTACGCACTCAGCATCCTCTCAGCAAATGTCTTTGTTGCACAATAATTTAGGAATTCAATGCGAAGAACTCCTTTAACTTTATGTTCTTTTTTTTTCTTCAGAACTTGACAAAATCAATCTAAATGCAGATTTATGACAACATTGTTTAATTTAATATATTTTAACAAATTTAAAAATTGCTCCATTAACACTTGATCTGCGGGTTGGTTGTGGGCGCGACTTTTGCGTAACGCGTGGGCGAAGCTTTTCGCGCTTAGAAGAAAGTTAATATAGTGTTTTTCAATAAAATATTTATAAATTATCAAATTTTCAACAAAGGTCGCAGAGAACGGAAAATTCCGTGAGCCGCAGATAACGCATAGGTCGCAGAGAACAGAATATTCCATGACCCGCAGATTAAGTGTGTTAATCAACATGAAAACCATTCTACTCAGTATTATTTTTTTCTATAAAAAAATTCTCGAACTATTAATTAGTAAAAGCGTGTATAGATCATTCTATTTCACCATCAAGAAATCTAGAAACTACGTAAGATTCAGATCGATCGGATTGGTTGGCGTAACGGCGCAGAAAAGTCAATATTCAATGCCAATTTTCTGTTGCTTTATAGCTGTGCGTCATAAATATTTAGTTACCGGATTAATGCAAGATCTCGATAACATTGCGCAATTGGCGAAACACAATGGCAAAGCGGAAATAAGATGTTTCGGATTAACCGTCAGAGAACAAATTTGACACCTGTCGCGCGAAGGTGATGAGATTCTGCCGCGGAACTGTCAAACAAGCAGGGTTTAGAATATTAATTTTTTCTTGTTGATGTAAAAAAGTTAGAGTGATTTATAACAGTCGGCACTTAGTAGTTTAAAACAATTGTTAGATCATTAAAGAGGAAATATAACTCACTCTCTCTGATTCTCTTGATATAATCATTCTCAGTAATTTCCATTCTATATTTTCTTTACAATAAATTTCCCTTTGTTAATATTCAAATGGAAAATTTGATTTAATTCGAGTAGTAAAGAACTTTTTAAGACCTTGTGATACACGAAAAAATTTCTCAATAACTTTTCTCTCGATCTTGCATTAATCAAAAATTTCTCACCGCACCACAGAGATTCGTACTGCGCGAACATCCGTCAGACAACTTGTCACTAATATCTTCTTTCTGTTTGGCAGATTATTTGATCACGCAAAACTGATGATGACGACGACGACGATGTCGATGATGAATACATCCGCATGTTGAATTTGACATTTCCTTGTTTACTCACTTGAAAAACTGTGCGATGCTCCAGCATGTAGGAACGATGTCACGTACTATCTTCTTCGTCGAACAGCCCGGTCCTATTTAAAGTCTCCGACGAAGTCGACGTGATTCGCTATCCGAAAATAACACAAAGGGACGACGGCGCGCGGGAGTTTGCGCATGTGTCTTCTGGCTGCTACGCAATTTTTTCTTTTCATCGCCGTAGACTCGACACGGTCCGAGTTTGAAAAGTAAAAAGAAGCGTTTTCTTTCTCACGTGTCAATTTTACCGACCTTCGAACCCCGCGACATCATCCGCTCGTATCTGGGAAGGGAGAATCAATCTTATTCCGCGATCCTTCAAGATCCGAATTCTCGCGCGCGAACTATTAATTAAAAATTGATAATTCTTTATCCTATTGGTTTTTTTCTTTCGCACGCGTTTGCTTTGAAAATAGTTTATGATTTGTTTTGACGCGCGCGTGAGAAAATCGCGGCAAAAACGCATTTGGCAAAATTGCAACAATAATATACGCAGTGCGTCGTGCAAAAATCTTCCGCTCGAGTAACCCCCGAAAAGTCTATAATCACACCGTGTATTAGCGCCGCTTGAAAGTTTGCAAAAATAATGATCCTAATAGCAGAAATCGTGAACGTTGTAAGAGAATTAACTAAAATCGTAAATCAATCGCTAGATCTGTGCGGGAAATAGTGATAGAGAAAAACAAGAAACAGTGACGTCAATGACAAATGTCGCACGTTGTTACACTACGCGCGTGGGAATCTCTACGACACTCGAATCGAGAATCGCTCTGTTATTGGAGCGAGCAGTTAATCGCGAACGATTTAAATCATTAAATTTTTGCTTCCGATAGGGTATAGACTTTCTTTTTTCAAATCAAATTTCCAAATTCTGCGATCTCGAGTGACACAAAATAATTCGAGAAATTTAGTTTCTAGATGGAATTGCTGTTTGCGTTTCATCTGCTCATCGAAAGTTGCGTTTTCAATTTGTGATCTGACAATGTGATTTATATTTGTCTTATACTTACCTTTGTTGTTTCGTATATAATTCTTTTTAACGCGGCTGCGACGCACAAAGAGATTCTCCCACCGGGTATGTAATAGTCCCGGCGCGCGGCGTTTGTCTACAACTACGTCTTTCGGAAAGTTCAGTGATCCTTCCCGATCCGAAATTAAACCAAACCACTCGATTTCTCTGTACTTACAGATCCAAATGCAGTCGAGCGTTTCATTCGCGGCCGGGTGACACTTAAAATTCACGCGCTCTTGGGTGCAATCGTCTTACTTGCCGACGATCGAGAAACAAGCCTGCAAAGAGTCAATCAAATGATTGTGAACAAATCCGTAGAGTTTTGCATGTAAGAAACCGGTATATAAAATTCACACACACGCACGTTTCCATTATTTATAAAATAAAACTATTTTCTAAAAAAAAAAAAAAAAAAAACCAATCTAATATAACGTAATTGATCACATACAAGTTTCTTTTCGCAAGAAAAACATTAAATCGGATTATAAATAAATATTCGGTTTTCCTTCCCTTACATTTATTTCGGGAGTTTCGCGGCGAAGTTATTTATGACTCAATTAATATTAGGAACGTCAAGTTGTTACTCCAAACATATTTATAGGTCCTGTACGTGAGTTTTTGTAACGCGTTAATTACATGATTAATAGCGCGATCCGACTAAACCGCGTACCACGTACACGCAGAGATGAAAAGAGTTGCACTAGTTGTGAAAATTTCATTGCCGGGCCTTGAGAAGTGCGCGAAAACAAAGTCGACAACCGGGTGACGACGATGACGCGCGCGACAAATGTACGGGGCGCGTCTTAGACACAAAGAGAAAGACTCTTTCTTGTTCGCGTTCTTGTCTAAAAACGCGAAGAATCGTCGTTCTCTCGGAAAGAGTGATGATGACAATAAAAGAGCCACAGAGCATCTTGGTTTTTTTTTTCAGTAGCACTTTTATTAGGAAATACTCTGCACTTAATAAATGCCTTATAATCCTAATTAACTTTAATCTTTATATAATATTTAGTTGTTATTCAGTTGTTATATAGCACTGTCCTATCACTCTATGAAGCATGCTTTCACTAACACATTGTTACACGATCTTAAAATTATATGCAAAAATTCTCTTTCTCTTCGAGACTCTTCTTAAAATACAGATTGTTTGTTTGTCATACAAAAAAAAAAAAAAAAAAAAAACTCAAACAACGACATATATTCGATGAAAAAAATGCAACGACGAGGGAAACGCCGAGTTTTTCTGCAGATTTACCAGAGATATCGCTTATGATACGCGGCTCTTTTTCGACGAAAAAAAGAAGCCACGCAATATAAAATTCTAAATGCCGCGAAGTTTTTACAAAACTGAAAGTTTACATGAATAGAGCAAAAAGGAAGACGGGTGTATACACACTGGTGGGCGGGCGGTGTGGGGAGGGCGTAGACAGTCGCCGCACAATCGTGACAGAATCGGACTGACCCACGAAATTACAATTACAGTGTCTAATTAAGTCTAATAAAGTCGCTTCGCTATAAAGATCTCATAATCGAGAATACGAGCTACGATCTCTCGCCGGGCGTTAATAAGTATAAAATAAAATAAAGTAATTTATAAATGACACTTCCTTTTCCCAACTTGCTTACAATCTAGTTCGCGGCGCGATTCCCGTCGGAAATAAACATGAATCTCGATATATCGAATATTCCCTACGGGCGCGCGCGCACGTTTCTCTTCTTCTTCTTTTTTTTTTTATTTTTTTTATTTTTTTACCGTTTATAAACTCCCTTACGACTGAGAATCAGGGTTTTTACTTTCACAAACGTTCGCATTGAGATACACACACGCTCACACATGATCCATGATCCACGACAGCGGGTATATCACCCACCTCGTCGAAAAACAAAACCATCTTTTTTTGTTCCTCGACGTGCTTGCCAATATATATATCTCCGTGTGTTCGCTCAAATACAAAACCCTCTCCGATACACAACACTTAACACTAAAAGTCGCTAAGTTTTTCTTTTTTGTATATTCATTTTTTCCGTTTCTCCCGTGCGTACACAGTCACATCGCTTTGCATTTGTTTTTCTCTCTCTCTCTTTCTCTCTCTCTTTCTGTTTTGCTTCCGTGTGACATACACTCCTTGTGAAAATGTACCCCGCAATGTACACTTGTGTATAATATTTATATAATATGTAACCAACGTAATTAAGACCACACTCTAACGGTAACGCGGACCTTACCCGCGCAATTACAAAAATTTCTTTCTCTGGTAGTTTATTGCGATCAGCAAATACCCGGGAACAATACAATTATTTCTTTGCGAGTTAATACGGTCACAAGACGACGAGATACAGTTTTTCGAAACCTTCGTTAGTTCGTTTTTTTTATGTGTCTCGTTTTTTTCCGTTTATTATTAATTCATTTTTGTATTACATATATATATATATATATATATATATTTATGTGCGCGTTTTCGTCGTACACACATTCGTCTCTCCCCGTTGTGTATATTACACTGAATCCGCACGCTTGGGAAATCCCGTATTCAGAACGCGTTTACGACGACGCTTAACCAGTGCGTTCTAACAACCGAGCCGACATCATCTTGGTTCCCTTGATCGCTCTCGCGCCAACGGATCGCAAGATGACGGATCGCTCTATTTTTTTTTTTTTTTTTTTCGCTTCATCTCTTCCCCTTCGCTCACCCAAAACAGAATCAGCTTCGATCAATCTGAGAGAGTAGTCGCGCAAGATGTGCATCATCTCAATTAAAAGCCATCGTTATAAACGAGGCTATTAAGAATTGCTGTTTGTTTCATTCAGTAACACTCTCGATGCAGATTTTGTTACAAAGACCGGATAAAAAAACAATGAAAAATGTTTTTATCAAACACAGACATGTTGCTTGCGAAAACGGCTTTCACTTTCATAGGATAACATGTAACTCACTCGACTACTCTTTGGATTAATCGTGAAACGTATGAATATTAATAGAGAACGCGCTGTACACATGAGTAATTCAGTGTTTGTTAATTCAGTCGTCACATTACGTTATCTCGGGTGCGTTCAAGATTTTTAAACTCGTTTGGAAGAAAGAATTTGGAGAATTGCGTTATTTTTTGTTGTTGATAATGCAGCAAAGAATGCAAAAATGTAAAATATTTTTAAACATTATACATAATATATATGTACATATATACTATACACATATATTTATGTATATATATATTGTATATATATGTATATATATACACATATATATATATATGTAAATACACACAAACAAATATACGTATAGTATACACGTGTATTTATCTTTGTGTAATTATACGTATAATATATATTACAGCTTCATTGCACTAACCATAATTTTTGGATGTGTAGGACAGAGAATATAACTCTACTTCTATATAATATATATTATCTAGTATATAAGTGTGTTTATATATAAGTTTTAAAAATATTTTACATTTATATCGATTATGTAATGTGTACGCGTCGGTGATTCTGAGCGCGATCTTGTTACCGAGTTTTCCTCTCATCGATGTTTTTCCTCATCCAACGTCGCCGCAATTCTCTGCCTAAAGAGAACGTCTCGCTCACTCCTCCAGCGCGCTGTCCACTTGTTGTTTCTCGATCGAGAAAGATTGAGAATAAACAAGTACACCACACGGACGAGATAACTTCCCAGAATCACTGACACGTGCATTATCGTCATGTTATACGCAGTTTTAAAGAATTATAATGGATTTCTCTGAGATAAAAAGTGGAAAGAGAGAGAAAACGTGAATTGCGCGCGTAGAGCGTCTTGAATACGGTTTTGACAACGCAAACATTTGTGTAGTAACAATAAGTGTAACTATATCTTATCTTACAGGACGCTTACAGGATCTAACCGTGAAACGGATTGCAGTCAAAGGCTTTCGCACGCGATGTGTTATTTAATATAATACTGAATAACCCCGCGCGCGCAAGTGCGCCGCGAAGCGAGGAGGTGAGTCTTCGGAGAAATTGTGTGAAATCGGAAGCGTCGGCGGTGATTCAGCGCAATATCGCAAGTACTTTGTTTTTTTTTTTTTTTCGCATATATCATATAAAGCCATTTTGTATAGATCGTACTAGATCCGGTCGATCAAGAAGACAATTTTTTATTTCATTACGGTTCTTTTTTTTTTTTTTTTTTTATCTACAATTAAAAATTAAAATTTACAAAACCAGTTTGTCTGATCGTTTCTCGCGCAACACAACTTACTTAGAAAGAAAACAAACATCAAAGCACGCAACCTCTGTAGTAAATAGGCAAGCAACTCTACATGCAATCGGAGGGGAGGGAAAGGTGGCTATCGATGCGAACTATTTGGAATCAATTTCTCGATTGGAATGATGTCGATTTGTCGTTCTTTTTTTTTCGTTTCAATGAAAAAGGAATAATAGTAAAAATGTCGGTATTATTCCGATCGAAATCGATTCCGAAAAGTTACATAATAGCTACCCAGAGATCGATCGGTGATCAATATTTTATTTTCCTGTAGTTTAGAGAAGACTAACGTATTTAGAATATAGACCTACATTTAAAGCGGATATATCTCTTAGCTCTTAGTTTCTTGTGTTTTTTTCGCATTTAACGATTTCCGATGTAACGCGAAAGTTTATTCGGTTCCTCTCGGTTGTAATCTCGCGAAAATCGTCGCGCAGAAACACATTGACGTTTCCGTTTTTTTGTTTTTTTCTGTGCGACGCAGTCTCTTTGTTTTTACTCGAGTCTCCTCTAAACTTCCTTATGCTATGCGTTACATTGAAAAGTTTAACGCGAACCTCACACTTTCTACCAAGAATCGCTCTCTACTATATAATAAAAACTTAAGTTCTAGTAAAATGATATAAAAAATACTACTTTAAAGTGAGTTCACTTACTTCGCAGACTCATTACATCCGAACTTACAGCGTTCTCGTCACATCTCACCTAAGAACGGAGGCACACTTGCGTTAAAACAACGCCTATGTTACAATGAACGTTGTTGTATCTTAATTGTTTACGGATTGTATACGTGCGTGTGACTAAGTCGCGTTTGTTTTCAGTATTTGTACAACATCGGATGTAAAATAAACGTCCGTTATTTTAACGCAAAGTGCAACCCCCGTCTAAACTTACTCACATGTGTAAAGGCATTAACGCTGTTGCCTGTATAATAGAAGTCACGTCGTATACACACTAATCGAAAATCCAAAGACAAAACACAATCGCGTCGATTGCGAAACGAAAAAAAAAAAAAAACAGATCTCATAATGTGTGTCTGTATGTGTGTGTGTGTTTGTGTTTGTGCGTGTATGTCACGTGTAAAGGTATATAAGTGTGTACATATACATATGTGTTTAATTGCATTGCCTATTTAATTCCATTACATACTCGGTAACTGTAAAAAAAGACTTAAACGTTACGCTGATACATCTCAATCAAGTTTTTCTAGGTATTACAATTCTATCTACAAGTAATAATACCGTCGTAAAAGTATATAGAAACAAAAGAGAAAAGCAATATAAGGGTAATATATAATTAAATATAATATAAACTGCCTCCAAGTGGCTACCTATTTTACTGCTACAAATAGTGGCTATTTACGATAGTAGTCATTAAGTATCGTTTCACACGTCTTTGATTGTGGGTTCTTTTTTTTTTTTTTTTAGTTACATACTTTAAAGACATTATGATACACTGTGAGTATGACACGGATTTTTCACTAAAAATATGTTATAGCGTTTACGCTGAGCATTTACTGACTTAAGCGCGGTACTAAATTCGCAATAAAAGGTATTGTATTTATTATTAGAAAACTAATTATTCTTCATTGGTTTGAAATACTGGTTTTTTTTTTTTTTTTTTTTTTTTTGTTTTTCAGTAGATCCGTATAAAATCCTTTATCAACTGGAACTTGTTTTAAGAACAATGATTTACACGATACTGATTCCTCACCGGAAAGAATGCTATGTACGAGTAAGTCATTTCAGTTCAACTGTCACTGAAGACATTACAACAGGCAACAATTGTAAGTCATGTTTGTTTGTGTTTCTCTTCTTCTCAGTTCGCATTAACATTATAATATCGATTACGCGACTAATGTTTTCTTCTCTTTTTTTTCTCTCGATATACATATATATATATATATGTATATATATATATATATATTTCATATTGAGACGTTAATCGTTATCGTACTGGGAAATGAAAAATGAGAATAAATACGGTTTATGTAAGATCTGTGACATGTATGCTTCGATCAAAAATGTTCAACTTCTTGAGAACGTGTTTCATCAGTCGGATGACAGCAGTCTTACTGCGATAAAAAGCTCTCTAACAAGCCTTCTAAGAGTTAGATTTGTGGTTTTTTTTTTTTTTTTTTTTTTTATCATCCTTTAAATGTATCTCTCTTCTCTCGTATATATTGTCTAATATAAATAAATTAATAATCCAGTTATTAAGAGGCCAGAGAAAGGCAGTTACACTCTAAGTGATAGATAAACTTTACTTTATCCTCTATGTGTTTATTTATTTATTGTTCATGTCGTCCACTTTTTCTTGTTTTGTAATAAATCTGGCACTCTTTCCTATTTTTAGGCTGCTTCTCAGTTTAACTGTAATTTATTCTGCTGGATTATTGCGTTGCATGGAAAAATATGGCTTTTATCCAAACGCTATTTAACAAAGGCAATATACCGTTTTACAATTACATTGTATATGCGCGCCACGGCTGTCGTACAATTAAACTTCTTTGAAAAGGCAGAACCAGCGCGCGTAAAAATCACGAAAAAAATCATCACCGTCGCCGGCGTTGGAAGCCGGGACAATCGGCGACGACGTTTCGCCGATTTTTACAGACACCGGATTGATTCTTATCATCGATTACAATGTTGTTTTTTTTTCTTTATATTTTGTACACTAGCATGTAAAAAGCATTTTCACTACGCACGTCATGTTTCATTCAATCTCTTGTGATGTTCAACAAAGCTAAATGGTGAACTTCGAATAAATACCGGTTCTTTTTTTTTCCCTCTTACACTGTATAAGTTATCAAGGTATTATTATAGAATAAAGGCAGAAAGAAGAAACCTTCCTCGACAAAGTGTGCCTACAAAAATATCTGTATAATAGATTGAGGATTGCTGTGTCTAAGACCTTAAATCTTGTTGTTTTTTTTATTTTTTGTTTTTGTTTTTAGCCACGTATTACCAGTCTTAAACATAGTGACTACTAATTCGACGTTTTACACGGACAAATCCAGTTGTCTTTCTACAATTGTATACACTTTGTTTTTTTTTCTTTTTGATCTTTAAGCATCACTCTGGTGCGGGATATATAAAGGGATATTCGGAATTGCTTTTTCTCTCAATCAATCCCGTTACTTTTTTTTTTTATATAGGACTTATTTAAAATATCTGAAAGATAAATACTCGCTAAATATTATTACATTAACATGTGTCGTACGGATGTCACAGATAACTTAACTCGAGAGATAAGACGGACTGAGTCATGCGCGTTAATTGTATGGTACAATTAAAAAATAACTTATACACTCTTGGGGAAATTTCTTCTCCGTCGAAAAACATTTCGAGGTCACATTAAAAAAATATTATTGATTACCTTGAATAGTTTATCAATCTCCTTTCTTTTCTTTTTCTTTCTCGTGCTTTCTCTTGTCTTTTTTTTTTTTTTTCATTTTTTTTTGTTTTTGTTTTGAACTGTACTTTGTAAATCTTCTCTGTCTCGCTACGGTTCGGAGCGATAATGATGCATAATACAAAAATTCATTCCTCCCACATTTATATCTTTCGTATGCAAAGCTAACTACACCGGTCACTAAGTAGAAGAACGGAACACGGCTGAGAATCGACCAACCATACGTGTTTAGCGTTCGTCCACAGCATAAAGGAATTGTCATTTACATCATTTGTGATTATCTTTATATGTTTCTACTTTACATCGCGTGGTTACTTCATTAAAGTGTGCTTACATATAGAAATCCTGCGGATAAAACGACTCGAAACGATAAAGATTCAAATTTGTGAAATGCTCGTTTTTTTTCTTTTTTTTTTTTTTTTCGTAATATTTAGATGGACTTTGATCTTTCAGCCTTACAATATAGGCACTCTTAAAAATACAGTAACAAAATGAAAAACGCTCGTAAAAACAAATTAAAATGAAGAGGTCAGTACCGAGCAAAGAGAAATTTTAATGGTAATATTAAAAAAAGATTTTAATGGTATATCGTAGTCAGAATCACAAAACGGAGTTACAAAACGCGAGTACTGGCATCGTTCTTGATACAATTGTCTTTTTGTTCGAAGTGTACTGTTTTCTTGGCGAAAGTGAGCAATATGGTTTATTGATCACTCCAAAATTTCTCATTTGGAGGGTGGTTTTGCCATGTTTTCTTTTCTCTTCAAAAACCTTAGATATAGCCTGTCACGCTCCATCTCATTGTATATTTTCTTTTTTTGTTGAATGTCATATTGAGTGAGTTGTGCAGAAAAAACACTATTCAATGATGGGTTGTAATCGAAAGAGATTAATTCTGGAGGGATCAATAAAATTATATTGCTCACCTCAACCAAGAAAATAGTACACTTCGAACAATTGTATCAAGAACGATGCCAGATATTCGCGTTTTGTAACTCTGTTTTGTGATTCTGATTGCACGATATACTATTAAAATTTGGTTTTGCTTGATACTGACCTTTTCATTTTAATTTGTTTAAAAATACAGATTACAGGTATAATTTATTTCGACGTATAATTTATAAATGAATGCGAGACTTAGGGAACGATGTCGCTGAATTTGATCTGATCGACGAAGTATCGAGGAAATAATTTCCGCTTCCAAGCGGAGGCTCGAAATGCGCGCACGACAAAAAAAAACCGTTCGAACTGTTCGATCGAATACGTGAAATTTAGAATAAGCATTTGCAGTGAGAGGCAAACACATTTTGCTCAATGTTGTTCTTCGGTCTGACTGAATTCGAGCTCTGTGCGAAAAGATTTAAAGTATTTACGAACGTTCGAACTTGAGATTCGATTCGTTAAAATCTCCGGGCGTTGAAATGCGTCAAATGCGCGCGAGAATAAGCGTACTATCGATTTAATGAGATTGAGATCGCGCGTGCAAGCAGTCTGTTTCCTCGATATCGTTTCATTTTGTTTTTGTGTACACTCGGTGTTAAACATACCTTAACAAATAAAGCTGTGTTCCATCGATACTTGTTTATTTAAAAAAAATGCGTGCGCATCGCTTCTAAAAAAGAGATTCATGCGTTATGATTACATTATAGAAAACCAATAAAATTCTTTATGGAAAAGATACCATTCGAAAAGTTTTGCTTCAAGCTCGACTGATGATTTTAAAGCTCTACGGGGAAAAGAAACGTTTTTTCCAACGCTTGTCCAACTTTCTACTTTATATGTTAAGGCACATCTTCTGCGGAATGTACAAATGAATAATGAGAGAAGTACACAAGTGTTCTGTAAGTTTGTGATGAAAAAAAATTTTTTATAATAATATATACTAATTATATGCACACATAAGAGATATACATTAATATATATTATTACGTGTGTGTGGATCTCTCTTAAATGTATTTAAATAGGCATGATAGTGTGTACTCTTTACAATATATTTAATATGTATCTTTGTACTTAAAAAAGAAAATATCTGGGCTCTTTTTTGTCTCCTTTAGGCAGTCTTATTGAGGTCACTGTAGTCAACGTAAACATGATACAATTATACGCGTGCACACTCGCACACTCTGCGAACTTCTTAGCTTAATGCTGTGTCCGAACTGTGTACATATGGTATTCTTTTATTTTTTATATATACATGGAGCGCGGAGCTGTTCGAGACACAAATCATATCTCTACATGTCTATTTTTCTTTTTATCGTCTATCGCGCGATTATATAAAGAGAGAGAGATGTATAATGAAACGAAATGACAAGAATGATTTAGTTTCTTCTTTCTCACTACTTTTCACGTCGTGAACATAGTAGTAGTCTTATAAACCAGCGCGCAGAGCACGCCGCGAGCGAAATGATATGAAGCGCATTATTTAAACTGAAAGCAAAAAGAAAAAAAAATAAAATATGAATATGTGAAACCGAGAAATGTGAAAGAGAAGGCTAAAAGTGTCGAGCGAGACATCTTGTCTGGAACAGCTCTATATAAGGCGACGATAAAAAATTTGTTCGATCGAAAACTGAAGTCTAAAAACTCACTACTTCTTCATACAGCACTACGGTAGACTGGAATTTAGGCTCTCAGGCAGGCGATAACTCATCATATGATACGGCGGACTACCAGGGCTGCTCGGTTGGCTATTCATACCGAGATTGCTCGAACCGCGTCCGCGTTTCCTCCTCTGCAGAATGCCCTTTCTAACCATGTAAAATCGAATAGTGCTGATCGGTATATTGTACTTCTCCGAGGCTACCTGAAATGTCATTCCACGTGCGACCATGTCCGATGCCTGTTTCAGTTCTTCTTCCGAACGTCTTTGTCTTCTTTGATATCCTACGGAGATATATTCAGGTAGAAACGATGTCAACGATGTTGTGGCTCAAACGTGCTGTATATCGATGTTTGGAAAGTATATACAGTATTATTCACCTTCGATCGCCGGAAACGGGCTGCTGGGATTGCTGCAGTTACTGCTGCTTCGCACCATACTGATGGAGTACGGCTTGACTTCCTGCTGCGAGAACTGTTCGTCTGGTTCCATCTTCACCATACCTTGCGTCTCGGTAAGAGTCGCCTCACAAGCGCTGAGAGCCTTTTCGAGATTTTGCAGTGCCTCATTTTGCTCTATATTGACGAAATTAGATGATGAATTGGGATTTTGTGAGATGGGCGTAATAGTGGTTGTAGAGTTGTTCCCTGTGCTGGTCGCAGCCATTGCAGAACAGGGGAGAAAATCAGATGTGTTCTCGTCATGGTTGGAAGAGTTTTCTGTTTTGAAAATACTGGCGTCGTCCCCGATATGAGTAGGGGTTGATGGAGGTACAGGTGGATTCGAGTCGACTTGAGTGTTCTCGCTTGAGTTGTCACATCCCTGAGTGGATAAGCCACGTATCTATCGAGAAATATACATCGAGAAATATACAGTGTACAATAATTTGTGCGAATCTCTATAAGATTCAATAGAGTTTAATTACAATAATACAAACTATAAAAAGAAAATTCACAAGAGAAAGTCAAAAATTTCATAAAACTCAAGAAAACGAACAAAGAAAATCAACCGTTAAATATAGGTGCACGTCAATAATATACCTGCAAAACTTCTGCTGCTTGCATTAATGTAGCTAGTTGTTGTTGCTCGACATATACTTCTCCACGATACATAAATTCGACCAGAGCTTGTAGTTCCCACATTTTCATGTCTCTCAAAAAGATGACGGGATGAGAGCATGGTATGTCCAGCAGTAAACGTTCCAAATAGTCACTGCAGGCGGACAGTACAACTTTGTGACATTTTATTGAACCTCCGTCACAGGCTAGAGTAACGTCAACAAACTGTTCTGAACTCAGCAACTTTGGAAACGCACTATGCATGTTTGATTGGTGGGAATTCCAAGAGACACAGAATTGCTGCCGGTCTCCTGGATAATTTCCTGTACTGGGAATTCCTGTATTGCTCGTGTCCATTTTAGCGGTCTAGTCCAATGTGCCTGTCAAATATAAGAATGTCATTAGACTTCAATCAATTTTGTTTTTTTTTTATCTCTTAAGAAAGTGTTTTATTCTATATATACTGTTTTAATTGTAAAAAAATAATATATAATTATATTTAATAATAGAAAATTATTTAAAATATAATACATACTTTGTGTATTATATTTTTAAAAATGTTACATCTATACAATTACATAAAATCACAACTTTTTTACAATTACATGTATAGAAATTTGTTATTTACTCTGTAACTAAAAAAAAAAAACAAAAATTTTACACGTGCAACAAGCTGCAAAACCAGATAATATAAAATGCTTTCAAGCTATTTTATATTTTACAATAAAACGGGAAATTCTTCCTTTTTCGATATTGCTCATTACTTAAAAAAAATTATTAACATCGAACGAAATATTCCAGTACGTGAAGTCGTATTGATAGCGTAAACTGATACACAAGTACATAACGAAGACAAAATGGTTTTTCAACGAAGACGCCACCAATAATTTAGAAGATATTCAAAAAAAAAAAAGCGTTCTTAGCTGTGTAGCCATGCTTGGGTTTCTCCCTCCACGACTATTTTTGTACGTTATGGAAAAAAAAACATAATCGTAAATTTGACAAAAACCGACGTTAAATTTACTAAAGCTTACCCTAGCTTATTCCTAAATATAACGGAAAGGCGGACGAATAAACGCTCTCGTCTTGGGCTAGTAAAAAAAAAAAAAAAAAAAAAAACCAACAAAGCGACGCATTACTTTTTAGTAAAGGAAGCATCCAAACTCCAATAGGGAACGTCATTTGAACAAAGACAAAGAACGGTCTTCTGCGTGGAGCAATCCGATCTCTCGAAATATGATCGAGAATTGTCCGCAATTTGAAAAATGCACATCATTTTTAGTCGAACGGGCCTGATCGCTGTACAAATAAAAGATACGTCGGTGATTTTCGAGCCGCGCTAATGAACAAACATGAGCGGTTGAGTTAAAAAAAAAAAAAAATGTACAATATGGCTGTCTGGCATAGGTCTAGTAACAACAATATCCGCGCGCGTATATACGTACGTACGCACTCACACACATTCGGTTACGTACCATATATATATGCGTTCACATATTCACATACGCGCGCACACACACGCACATACATACACGCCACCACACACACACACGTATACACATATACACAGCGCACATACATGTGAGAATAATATATATTGCAATTATGTATGAAACGAAGCCTGCAACCGATATGAACGTTACCGCGATCGAGAGTAGCGTCGTGAGATCGATCAGCAATCCGGATGCAGACGGGCGCTGTCACGCCGAAAAGACGATCGGGCTCGTCGTCGGCGGCGGCGGCGGCGGCGATCCGAGGTCGTGGCGACGCGATGCGCGTACAATGTGTTACTTCGCGTTCACACGCACCGCATGCAAGAAAGAAACACACGCACGAAGAGGAGAGAAAAGAAAGAAACGTTGCCGGCGACCGTACGCGTCCCGTCTATAAAATCACGTGCCGGCACACACGATGACCGCTTCGACTATGTTTCCCGATCAGAAGATCGAACAGAACAAAAGAGGTTAAGAAGCGTCGTCGTTCACGCGCGCGCGACACCGGACGACTGGTCGGCCCGCTTCTCGGCGTCGCCGTCGTCTCCGGGAATAAAAACAAGATCTTTGTGGGAGAGACGGGAGCGCACGTCACCCCATATAGAAACGCCACGGCGAGGCGGTTCGCACTCCGTGCTTTATCCGGCGCATTTCTCGTTTTGCACACGTTTTCGTTTATGCACCCACGAGACGCTCCAACGTTTTTCGGCAAAAGAGATGTTTGAAAAAACGTTGCGTTGTCGTCGTTGTCGTCGTCGTCTTCGTCGTCGTCGTCGCCGCCGCGCACACCTCCGTCGTGCAAAGGGAGCCGCGACACACGCACGCGAACGTCAAGTTTGAAATGCACGCACTCTCGGAAAGAGGAGAGGAAGAGGAAACTCTAATCACGATAAAAATTGCACAGTATACCTTTCTGAGATTAGAATGCGTCCGTGTTTTGTCGCTCAAACGTTGCAAAAGAAAGTTCCTTAATAAAACATTCGACAGTCGAGATTTGCAGATCTCCGATTCCCCCGACTAGGGGCAACTAGGGGAGCTAGCGGCCGGAAGGGGTGGGGAGACAGTATAGAGAACACGAAGAACCGAGAGAGCGAGAATACCGAGAAGAGAACGAAGGGGTCGGGGACAGGAGGCGGATGCTCCGAGGTAGATTGGTCGCGTTGGTCGTCGGCGGCGGCGGCTCCTTTTTCCAATGTTGTGTGTGTATGCATGTGCATGTGCATGTGCGTGCGTGTGTTTGTGTGCGTGCGCGCGCGCGCGCGCGTGCATGCGTCTGTGTGGTCGCTCTCACGACACATAGAAGGGGAAAGGGGAGGGACACTAGCGCGCGCGGCTCTTGCGTCGCGCGAACTTGCTATATATACGACGCTAGAGATTCCGAACCCGCCGAGAGGGTACCGGGTAAGCTGTCACACGAAGAGGAACAGGCGAAAAATCAATCCGCACCCCGGTCGCTACCCCGTTGATCGATACTTACGCGGGCCAAGTCAAGGAGATATATTCGCGTCGTCGCCCCGACACCGCCTTTTGATCGTCTCGAAACACGCCACTCTATTTGTTAAAATATCGCTAGAACTCAGCCTAGCGTCGTGCACCTTTATAGCACGCATCCGCGCCAGGCCGTCCAACTTTACCGATCGTGTCTCATCTCCCGTCATCACGGACCGCGTTTCTTAGACGGGCTTCTTACTGCCTTTTTTTCGGCACGCCGCCGCGGTCGATCGACCGCGCGCGCTCAAAGCCGTCGCTTATTACGGCGCCCTTGCGCGCGTAATTTGCAATTTTTCGCGTGCAATTACGCGGATGATATCAACGGGGGAGAGAACGTCTTTTTTCGCATCTAAAACGCGAAAGCAACAGCGCGAGGAGAGAGTCTGACGTTCGTCGACCGCGATCTCCCCCTCCCCCCCTCCATGGAAACCGCCCGAAGGAAATTTACACGCACGATTGCGAAGTGCCCTTCTGTGTAATTTACATCTCCCGTGCTCCGTTTACGTTTTTGTCTTTCGGTTTGAGGAGGATAAACAAGCGCGTCTCGCTTCTTCTCCCTCGTCCGCGCAAAAACGTTCGAGGAAACGATAATCGAGGAAAAATTAAAAGCCTAGAAAATTTTGCACGAAGCAAATACAAGTAAAATTGAGACTTTTTTTGTTTCACGCGGGAGGTAAGTAAAAGAAGTAACCGAGAGAAGTACGGTTTTTCAATTGTTCGAATGAGAAATTCTCTCTACAGAGCGTTTCACTTGTGGAGGGAAGTCTTTTGATTTGTTGAAGTTTCGTCACGTGTTGCAATCGTATGAAAAAAAAAAAAAAAAAAAACAGAATAACGAAATGATTCTTCAGGTCGGTTATGTTTTTTTTTCTTTTGTAAATTTCGACTGATTCTCATTTGAGAGCACTGCGAAAGACAAGGGTGCTCTTCAGGTTAGATCGGTGCTTTTCAGGTTGGAGATCAGTAATTCGTCGTGTGTGTATAGCAATTGAATCTGATTGGTTGAATCTGTGACTTGACGCTTGCGAACAATAAAGCTCGGTTCACGGTTGTGAATGAGGATTTGTAAGGACTAAGTTTTATTATTCACTCCGGTTGAACTTGAACAAAGGGGTTATAAAGAAACAAACAGCAAGTGGAATGACCGATTGCAATTGCTCGATCAAAATTGCTCGATTATTGGTCACTTTGCTTGGTTTTTTTTATTTTGGAGGAGATCACTGATTAATCGATTGCTCTGTTGAAATTGATCACTCGTATTAATCAAATTGACCAATCGCGGTTGACGCTCGATCGACCGTAATCAGATGATTCTCACAAAACGGCGAATCGCAAAAGGTTGGCCAAATGTGTCGAAAATATTTAAAACCAATTATTTTTTGTATAAATTATATTTATTACGTCTGTGATGAAATGTAGCTTTTTAATTTTGCACAAAAATAATTTTTACAAATCGCTGCGAATCGAGGAGGTTTCATAACCACTGGATTAAATTAAACCGGAGTTGGAACACCGATGTGCATTTCATACACATTTGTATGAAATGAATTCGAATTTCTCAAAGTACTTGTCGCGCCCTCTGATCTGTACGTTGTATCGCCCTACGACTCCTCCATTGTTATTGTCATCGTATGGTCGCGTCCATTGACTGACAGCGTTTAATTTGCAGGCGACTCGACGATTAATTTACGTCTGATTGAAGCGAGCTTAGAAAAAAAAAAAAAAACAACAACGCGCTGTCATGTCGAAGATAACCGGCTACGACACACACGACGACGGTCCGGGATTCGTCGGTATTCGATTTTGTCAGGAATGCAACAACATGTTGTATCCGAAAGAGGATAAGGAGAACAAGGTGCTCATGTACGCGGTAAGTACATCTTGCTTTTTTTTTTTTTTTTTGTGACAAGCGGTTAGTGCGCCGTTGATACCCACCGGAAGGAAAATTAAATACAAATTTGAATTGCGAAAGAAAAAGGAACAAGAATTCAAGAATAACAAGGCAATATTTTTTATGACGGAAGTGTTTTTTGTTTTACAGTGCAGAAACTGTGACTTCAAGCAACTGGCGGACAGTAACTGCATCTATGTGAACAAGATCATGCACGAAATAGAGTAAGTGTTGAGAATATAAGTAGATAAAAATATTAGTAAAACATTAGTAAAACAACACACTTATGTGTGTGTGTGCGTGTGAAATGTGTTACAACAAATTTCTCTCTTTTAAAAATTTCTAACACGTGCGAAGGAAGGAACGTATCATTTTGTGCGCTGATCTGTTATACAAAATGATGCGCTTTCACAAATTCAAGGAACTTTGCTGTAAAATTCAAACTTGTGAAAAGAGAAAGAGAGAATGTGTGCGCTAATCGCACACTTTTGAGAAACTTTCGTGTCTTGTGCTCACCATTGATTTATTTAATCATTTTTCTGTGTTTTTTTTTTGTTTTTAGCGAGCTGACGCACATTGTCGCCGACGTAATATCGGATCCTACATTGCCGAGAACCGAGGAACATCCATGCCCGAAGTGCAGTCACAGAGAAGCTGTATTTTTCCAGGCACAAACTAGGCGAGCTGAAGAAGAAATGAGACTGTATTACGTGTGCACAAATCAACATTGCTCCCACAGATGGACGGAGTGAAAGAATTATCTCTCCGTGGGATTCGTGTTGCTTCTTCTCTTGCTACTTTTGTATATAAACAATCAAATAGTTAAAATTATATGTAAACGCTATTATAGAAAAAAAAAAAACTGTAAAATTGTATGGAAGATTGTGAATGCATGTTGTAAGGGGTATTATATATATATATATATATAGAATAAAATAGTAAAAAAACACTCGTGCAAGAGACTGAATAAATTACCGTAAGGCTTAAAGCACGGCTCGCAACGTCTGCACTCGCGCCGTGCATTTATATTCTCGTTCACTATGTAAGTTCGCGATTACGATCACCGTGGGATTTTTTTTTTTTTTTTTTTTTTGTGATCAGCGTTACGAAAAATTTTGTATTATGTTGTGCGATCGCGACACATCCCGCTAGAGGTGCGAACTGTTATCGTGATCTCTCGCGGAACCGAGAAATTTCGCAATGCCTGAGAGCTCTCATTGGCACACGGAAGTGATTAATTGTTGAAATTCTTATTTCGCCAATTGGTCGAGCGTGAAAAAACGTCGCGTTGACGACTTTTGCGATGATAATATGAAGCTATGTTTTTGGAAGACACTCTGGGACTACACCCAGCTGTTTATCTGGGCCATGCTCAGCCATACTGATTCAATCGCTCTAGCTTGGGTTCGCCCGGTAATTCTTCCCGCGTCACGTGATTGCTATACATATGTCATATAAATGTATAGTACGCTATATCAACCTTTGATAACCCGCATGCTCCTGGCAAATCAACGCCAAGACGCTCTGGTGCGATTTTAGCGAAGTGTTTTTTGTTATCTGTGTTACGAGCGCACGAGATAATTTTTGTGCAAGACAAGTCAGACGAGCTCACAGAAATTGAATAAAGTGCAACTTCTCATTTTTTTTGCAATCATGAGAAGGAACGTTGTATTGTTGGTGTCGACGTTACTGATATTTAATTATGTCGCATCTTCGAAAGTACCACGGGTTGGTAAGAAAATTGCTATATTTTTATTTAAAAAAATATTTGAATAAATTTTTTAACATACGGAGATCCTTTCTTAACACACCAGGAATAATATATAGGCTGCTTTTCGAATCTCTTCACATTTCTTTCAACTTTGTGCATTGAGATATTTTTTAATTTCTGTCATGTAATTCTTTTTTCCAGAACTCATAAAATTATAAAGTCTCATAATGTTAGCAACTGTCTAGGAAACATATGACTATTTTATTCTACGTAAAATCAGTAACATATTTAGTACAGTTGCTAGTATTTACAAAACTACTTTTGTGAAATGGACTTCTGAAAACTTCAATTTAAAGATTATGCGATAATTATTTACTTTAATTTTTATTCGAGAGTGCCGAGCATTTTTTAAATATATAGTATCAAAAGTCAGAAGCAGACAACTCTGAATTTTCTCATGCAATTATCTCACAATTAATCTTTTTTTAGCTATTATTGGAGGTGGCATCGGTGGTGCTTCGACGTCACATTTCCTGACGGAACTCCTGAACAACAGTTTGAAAATTGACCTGTACGATGCAAAAACCGTCGGCGGACGATTGGCGACCGTAAGAATCAATAATTATGACTTCGAAGCCGGCGGTTCAATCATACACGCTAAAAACATGTACATGCAAAAGTTTATCGAAATGCTGGGTAAATATGTTTCAGCATTTTTGATTGTTCAGCAAAAAACAACATTAATAAGCAATTTTTATTTTGAATGTATAGGTTTAGAGCAAATTGATGCCATTGGCGACGGAAGTATGGGTGTGTGGACGGGAGATGAGTTCATATGTAAAGGAAGCGGCTTGGCGATCAAGGCACAACTATTTCTCAGATATGGCACTCAAGTGCCTAAACTTATAGAGTATTAAAACCTTGTATTATAAAAATATAGCGGACACTATAGAAGTGCAAAAAATTATTTTACGTTATATTTTTCAACAGACATGTAAACAAAATACTGGAAGATTTCATGAGAATATACGACCTGCAGGACGCTGGCAGATCTTTTAACAATGTCACCGCACTGCTGGCAGCTATAAATAAAGATTTTCCACAATTACTGCAGATATCCGCGAAAGATCATCTTCTGCATATGGGTTTCAGTGAGAAATTGATTGACGAATTGGTGCAAGCTGCTATTTTGGCCAATTTTGGTGAGGATGTCAACATTCAGAGTTTCGTTAGTTTGGTATCGCTTGCTGCTACAATACCAACCGATGGTAGTCTTTGGTCAGTTAAAGGTGGAAATAATCTGGTAATATATTACAATAAATTTTTATTACATATATGTACATATATGTGTCAAAAATTATATATTTTATAATTTTTAATTTAGGTACCGAAACGTCTCATTTATAAGAATAAAAATGTAAATGTATTGTCAAGTCGTGTTACAAAGATTCGTTATCTGGCGGACAATAGCGACTCGAGTCAATACGAATTAACTTACGTGGACAAAGGTATAACCAGTGAAGATTTAATTAACTAAATATCGAGACTGTAATGTGTTTGATTTAATTATGTCGTATTGTAGATTCAGATAACACGGATCCAACGACGTCCAACTACGACATTGTGATTATTGCCACACCGCTCACTCAGGATCAGGCGTTCCCGATAGAGTTTGTGGGATTTCCGGAATCCTTGAGTTTTCCGGGAACCTTTCGAACGACGCACGTGACATTCGTCAATGCGGATTTAAAACCAAAATATTTCGGGCTCTCTCACGCTTTAGATGATATCATATCCTGCAAATGCGACAAAACGAAATTCTCCGCGATTGGAAAACAGAGTCCCGTTGATGGATCGACTAAGAAGGACCTGCGAGTTTGGAAAATCTTCAGCAGAAATCCCATAGACAATCTTATAAACAAGATGTTTTCTAATGTATGTATATTTTTTTGTTTGATACTTTATTTGGATTTGATTTTTTAGACCAGATATTAAAAATTTATGTTGATTACTACGTTAATTAATAATGTTTTCTTTTTTATCAAGATCGACGAAAAGAAGGAAGTTGTTTGGAAAATGTCTCCACACTATTCAACGGACGAACGTCACGACAAGTTCAAGCTTCACGACGCGTTGTATCACGTCAATGCGATCGAATGGGCGGCAAGCGCGATGGAAATGAGCTCGATAGCTGGGAAAAATGTCGCTCTTTTGGCGAGCAATGATTTTCTTCAAAAACACGATTCCACATTGTCAGAAAATCACGTACACGTGTCTCACGAGTTGTAACATATTCGTTTGTTGGGAATGATTTACGTAAGAACGTTGTTACGTATAACGAGTTTTATTTTTAACGACGTATTTTAGTTAGACTACCTGTACAATAAAAAAAATCTAAAACCACATTAGTCTAGGTATAAAAGCGGTTGGAAAAACAGGACAAGAAAAAACGGTTAGAACAGAGAAATAAAATGTATTTTTTTTTTAATGCTTATAACGTTTTCATATCTTTAGAGACTGAATTTTTTATTCATATATGTGCTTTTTTTGGTATACAGGTAATTTTTATTTTTTTAACGACATGTTTGCACAACTGTGGATATTTGTACGAGCTATAAACGTGATACCATATATATGTATACACGATATCACTAAGATAAGAGAATGTTTGTACTCACATTTTAACGTAAGAAGTATCGTAAAAATAGCAACTAATTTCTTACGAATCACTGCTCTTGCGTTTGACGCAATAAATTGAAAATTGAATATGACATCTTGAGCAACTGTAAAAAAAGAAAAAAAACAATCGCATACAGTTATTAACAAAGTTGTTATATTACATTTTTACTGACTGATACTAACTATCACGAACGAATCAAGATTCATCGTGATGATGTAAGCGCTATTGAATTCTATGGGATTCATCGAGCGTCTCATAAACAACAAGAGAGCTTTTCTATCACCGTTATCAAGCGCCAGCCAGTTCATTTCGTAAATACTGTTCATCAAGTATAAACTCTACAAGAAAAGCCAAATGTACAATTTGAACTGTCGGTCTATTCGTTATTTAGTGATACAACAGATATATACACATATAATTCTCTAGTTTTTTAATATATTTGAACTATGTAAAACAGAACAAATATATAATTTATGTAAATAAAAGTATAAACTTTTAGCTTGACTTCGTTTCCAAACCAGCAGTAAATGAAGATCTGCACCAATATGGCACTCGTGTACATCAGTAACGGAACGAAGCTTAGATAGTTCGTCGCCATGGCTATTCGATATAGATTCGAGCATACCACCAGCATACTGACCGCAAATTGGATACCAATTATTTTCGCGAATGTGTTGTTTACCGTGTACGCGTACCTGCGATTAGAACAGAAGTTTCTTCTAAGTCCGGCAAGTAAATAACGTCTAAAATATGATTTAGAAAGTAACTATTTTGAAAATATATACGTATATGAAAATTGACTGACTCAAAAATGCAGTTGTGATGCTCGACGCAGTCCCGCACAATGTTCTTGCAATGCGTGATTTTTGTCAATCGATGCTCCAGAATTTCAATTTGGCCGCAGATGTGCAGCAACAGTCCGAAAATTAAGCTCTCGCAAGCGACGTTCACTATACCGGAAGTGGACATCGCTATCAATTGATGAAAATACACCAGATTGTAAAGAGCAAAAGATGAATAATTGAACGGCACCCATGCCTTGTACGTGAGTCTTTGTTTTGTAAAGTCCATCAAAACCGACGTCGAAATTATCGACATAACGGACATTGTGACAATAATTAAATACCGCGTTGTATTGTTCCTAAGAAATAATCGCTCGTGAAATTAGATCAATTTTGAAATTATTTTTATTTTTTTTTAATATATCGCGAGATTGATCATTATTTTATTTGAAAAAAAGAGAGAACTTCGAGAAATAAGTGCATTTTAAAAAATCGTCAATCAGGGATAGTTTTTTTTTTTTTTTATGTGCGATATACTGACCGTATACTTTTTTCAAACTTTTCTTGAATCATTAGTTCGTGTGTTTCGTACGGCGCGAAAGGCTTCTCGACGAACACGTTTATCAGAGTTTTCATATTCTCGCGATCTATCCACATGTAAATTTGTTTGTAGCCCGCGACGAACACGGTCAGCATCATGTACAGGGCGTCGGTGAATTCGTCGGAATTGTCAACGTTCAGCGCTATGTGAACACATTGCGACATTAGAAACGCGTGCAATGAGGAGACGAGAAATACCGCGTAAGCTTTGTAAGTTGCGCGTTTCAGCAACGACGTCCACGAGAGCGGTTGCCACAATCCAGCGAGCGCGCAAATCACGAGCGTGAATTTCAGCACGCCCATGTTTCGAGCTTTCCCGACAGCGCACAAGGATTTACGCGTTTCACATCTACATGTGAATTCCCGTCATTAAAAAATCACTTTTGCGTCAATGAAAAATTTTTTATCGGCATGTGAGCTGAAAGCACCGATACGCTAAAGCGAGTTCCGAACAGCTGAAAACAAAAAAATCATATTTCAATTGCATTAAGAAACACAGAAATGTTAAACGGCAAAAAGCATTTATTTTTACTATTTTCTTTTGAAGCTAGATTATGCTTTTGTACACACGCATATTCAGACAGATGTTTCAAGTATAATTTGCATTGCTGATTTGTATTCTGTCTATCGCGTATTGTCGGAGATAAAAAAAAAAAAAAAAACACTGTTCGCAGTAAACAGCTTGTAGGAACTTCACTTGTTTTTATTCGATGAACGTTTGTCTCTCCTAAAATAACAACAGACAACGTCTATAGATTCACAATAGATGTTTTTTGTCCGTCGTGGTATTAGACTCGTCGTGGCAAGTCCACCTCATTATTATTATCGTGTCATTCAGCGTATCATAGCGACATACTTTTGAAATAATAATATTTTCATGAATATCGAGACGCAATATTTTTTTTTTTTTTTTTTTCCAAGATACGTGCCTCTTATATGACACGGAACATTATGTAAAAACTTGACATAAAACTTTCATAAAGACAGACACAGAGGGAAGATAGATACGAAGAGAAGAATAAGTGCCTTGAATTTCGTTCTCTAAACTCATTTTTCATTATTCATCAATATCGACGTACGTATATTATTTCCGCTACATTTTCATAATTTTGTGAATTTACAAAATGAATATTAGGAATGCATAATGAATTTCGACTGTAATTTGAGTTCATGAAATCTTTATAACTTAGTACTTTCCCACGCGAAACAACGTTCTATAGAAACCTCCATTAAATGTTCACTTAGACGTCTAATGGACGTTACGTCTATGCGAAAATTTATACACAGCAATGGTTTTTGTTATCATATCGTCTGCAAAGCCTACAGTCTATTGTCATATGTTGAAAATACAAGAATCATTTCGTTAATACGCGTATATATAAAGAAAATAATATATAAACAAGTATATAATATATAAATAAGGTGAGAAATATAAACTTTATTAAAATTTTATAATATAAAATTTTATATTACTTTATAGTATATATACGAATATGTATACTATTTGAAAGAGGAGGAAAATGATATTAAATTATAATGCTTCAAATATAAGAAACAGACAGAGCAAATAAAAAATAAAATCTTTTTTTATCCTTATTTTTTTTTAAGACATACAATATTTCTATGTTATATAAAACAAAACGAAGACGCATCGAAGACTCATACATGTGTAAAAAAAAAAACGTCAGATATATTCTTATCATATCTGTATATTTTAACATATTTATATATTCTCAATTGTGCGTCGTCTAAAAAAATCGGTTTTTACTTATTTAACTTTTATTTAATCTCTTATCTCGTTTTATTTATTTCACTGTTGCAATCTATTCTATAGATATATTATCACATGTGTTCTTTTATTATCGGTTTTGCTGTTGCGAGCGAACACAAACCGGAGAGGAAGCAAAATATGAATCGTAAAAAATAGTAATGACACAATACTTTTTTTTTGTTCAAGAACAGCATCGTTTTGATTGTGCGTTTATCTTAATAATTAAAATAATATTGTGCAACGCTATCACTACAACAACGATGTACTTAAATCTCACGTGTGTGTTTAACAAGAATGTTCTATTGGCATTCGCATGGAACGACCGAAGAAACCGCGAGTGCCATCGGGTCCTGACGGCATTCTCGTCACGTTTTCGGGCAAATGAGTCATCGCGATGTTGTTACCTCTCGATCGGCAAAATCCGTTCTGTTCCGAGTTGGAAGAACACAAAGACATCCTCCTGACGTTTACATTGTAACCGGAATCGCGGCTACACGTGGACAATCTTCTCACAAATGGGCCGTAGTCGGCCGAACCACGACGATCCGCGACGCAGCCCCTTCCGCACTCTATGGGAGAACCTGTGCGCATGATAAATAATTAATTTATATAAGTAAAAACATTTTCATATGAAAATAAAATAAAAATGAAAAAAAAACAATTTTAAAAACATTAGAAAATAAAAGGAAAAGTTAAAATACAAAATTACGAACCGGTGGTAGAGCAACAAGAGTAACGGCGATTGTCGTGATGATAGAAGTTGTTCGAGTAGCCCGGATGGAAGAAAGCTGCCTCGGAGCCGGATGAACTTGTGGAATAGCGCCTGCCGGAGTCCGAACTGGACCCGGAACACGATGACAGACGCCGGAACATGAAACCGTTTTCGGAACTGGATATAGAGCAGGAAGAGAACTTGCGCGATAACCACGCATCTGATGGTGATCCTATTATTATAAAAATAAATAACACTTTTTTTAAATAAAATTCAGCTTTTTTTTCTAATGTATTTCGCGAGTTGTAAAATAACTAAGAAATTTTAGTGTATCTTCTGTGAAAAAAGAAAGAACCCGGTACCTTGGAAGGGATAACCCGTATGAATGTGATACATCGGACATCCTTGAACGCTTTTCCTGTGTTTTACTCTTCCATCCTCAGGTTCGGAACCACTGGGGCAACTGGACGAATTATAATTTTCCTCCTTCGTCACTTTACCGAGAACACCTTTCTTCGTTTGGTACTTCTTCTTTTTGTCAGCCGACTGATGTAATTCGAATATTTTGGCGTTGCTCAAAGCCATTTGCGTGGCGATACGTGCGGAAGTCGAATCGGTAAACTCGATCAGGGCGCACTCCTCGCTGGATGACAGTTCCGGTCTTTTGGAAATCGCTTGTCGCACCTAATCGTAAGTAAACACTCTTGTCTCTTGTTTCAATATTTTAAATGTATATGTTTTAGATTCGTTGCCAAAAAAGTATCAGAAATATTGCGCTAGGTATTTATTAATATATTTAAAAAATAAGCCACACGAGTCATTAATATTAAATAATTAATGACTAGTAAATTAAATAATTAAATAATGAAATTAAATAATTAATTGCTAATTAATTAAAAATTAATAATATATTCTCAATTGATAACAGTTAAGTTAATTTACCAGATCTAATACACCTGGTTGATCAATCATGAAATCATACAAATTACAGGCCTTGCGATCCAAATTGTACCCACTTAGAAAGTGAGTTGTCACGTGTAAGCGAGATTACAACTCGAAAACAATTACGTCAAAATGGAAATTTTTGCGATGGAAAATTTCGTGAGTAAGAACCGAATCGTAAGACGTAGTAAACGGTCATTATCCAAGTCGTACTAGTTATCATCAATGGATTTATGCAGTGTTCTGCTCCGTTGAATCGACGATAGTAATTGCCAAGTTGTGAATCACAACTTGTCGTGTAATCCCGATGATAACACGATACGCTAACGTTTGACCGATATCGGTATTTATGTTGTTTTCGATATAATTTTTTAATTTGATACAAGTTTCTTGTTGAGTTTAACATCCAAATCTGTGCAATTTATATATTTGCCTAATATTGCCGTTATTATTTTACGTTTTTCAAGAGATAACTCGTTTAGTTTTTACATTAGTAAAAATTTCACGAAGATTTATACATACAGAGTTTGATCGATATGATTTCTATCGATATAATTTCTTGGCTAATATAAATTTGCAGTTGTAATTAATTTATTAATTAATAAAATTATTTATCAAACTTACCTCAGAAGGAACGGGATGTCCGGGTCGGAGAACTCTTATGAACGCTATTTCGCCGCAGGTCTTAAAAATTTCGGCGACAGATTCGATCGTAAGCTTCTCTATTGGCAGCCTGGCCGCCAAGATTGTTCTGGAAGGCGCCGTTTGGTCGAAAGGAGGCAAGGGATCCACTCTGCGCAGTTTCGTTCCTTCCGGATTGACTTTGATTTTTTTAGATCTCGCTAAGGCCGCTCCAACTACCTTCCAATCCTTGCTGAGATGTTTCACCCTCTTGAAGCTGGATATCAACTTTAAGGACACGTAGCCCTCCTTGTTTCTCCTCACGTGTTTCAGCAGAAAGGCATCCTTCAGGATATTCTCGTCGGAGAAGTAAAATTCTACCTGTGCGCATATCTTGTCGGCCAACTCGTCAGTCAACTCAACGGAATTGGTTGTTTTGTCATCAACTGTCGGAGTTTCGGACGCGAATACGTCTGCTTCTTTTTGCTTCTCGTCTCCGATGTCCGCGCCAGAATCCTGATCGATATCGACGTCCTTCACGGGCTTGATCTCGCTGTCGTAATCGGACAAATCGGCCTCTTCGCTTTTCGATCCTCTCCTGTCAAACGAAAGGCTGACGTCACTGTCGACCGAGGAGATGCTGTCCCTCGTATCGGATTTCTTCATGATCGGAGGCGAGAACGGCGGTGGACTGCCGATCTCTTCCTTCAATTGTTGCTGGACCTCCATTTGAAAAAAGCAGCTGTCTCCCAAAGATATTAGAAGATATTAGTACAACTGGGGCTACTTCAATTATTGCAATCTTCATTCAATTTGTTTTACGTCCTTTTTTTGCGGACAAAGTTTTTTTTGTCAAGAATACGTCACTAAAAACCGTCTTCCTTTTCGCAGCGATATCTTCACATGTCGCTTGTGATGATTATCCCTCGTCCTGTTGCTAGTCCTTATAAAAGTCGAATCATCTAAAAAAAAGCGCAAAGAAAAGCAAAACTAAGTCGTTTGATTAAACTATAGTTTTTAATTATTTTAGCGTTTACATAATATAAATAGAAAAAGATCAAATGACAAGATGTGACATCGAACTTTAAACGGATTGAAAAAAACTCAGTTAGATTGTGAAATAATTACGAGAGAGAAAGAAACAATTCAGGAAGAGACGCAGGACGAATGCAAGAGATATGAAACTTTTATATATACGCGGAGCGAACTCGTTCGCGCACTGACCTTCCATGTTGCACGCGGATCCTTTTTATAGCCGCGGTTGGACAAACGGTGTGCGGTGCGCGCCGGAGATATAATATATAGTCTCGTGGCCTTCTTAAATCTGGTCAAGAGTGAGGCATTCGATGAACAACTGAAGGGCACTCGAATCGCGAGCCTTGAAGCAAACGAAAGGGAGTTTGAGATGCACATTGGGTTTGCGGAAAAAGTCCCATCTGACCTAGGAGACAAATAAATTAAAGCACAACACAAACCAAGGTACAATATAAAATTTGTAATCTTGTACGTTTTCTTACCGACCTTCACCTTGACACGCGTTGTCGAGGTCAGCGTCCTTTGAAAAGATGAGTTACAATAATCGATCGATCGAGTATATCGATCGGAATGATAAACGCACGTGTTCTATGTTTTTTTTTTTTTTTTTAGGGCAAAATTTCGCCATCCGCGATTAAATTAATCGGCCGATTGTGCCATCGGAATTGATCAATCGCGTTGATTGATTAGCCGAATCGACTGGTTGATTGATTTAATCAGAAATGACGAAACTGTTCCTCTCAAAAACAATCACTGATCGCACACTGATCTCTTGTACAAGATATGTCTACATTTAAAGTTTCACTATATCACTTTTCTTTTGATTATTAATATTGATTGTTATTTTTATCACTTATTGCGCTAACAGTTATGAAATAATTAAAAACAAACGTTACGCGCAAGAGAAGGTTGTGTTGATATCGGATTTCTGTCAACGACTGTTGTCCGCTTAGTCAAGAAATTTAGACGTTTAGTTCGTTTCAGGATTAATGCAGGAAGCGTGATTAAGTTTATAGTCAAAAAACCTCGGTAAGGCCCTGCGGGCGTATTCACAAACATACGCTGCATTTGAACGTTACAAGCATAACAATATATAGGTCAAGTGCGGCTGGTACCACGTATGGCTATACGAAGGACGAAACGATCTGCGAGTCATCGAAAGGATTCGGTTTCTTAACTGAAATCCCTTTAGGCGTCGAAACAAGTTGTTGATATAGGTTTTGAAAATTAACGCGATCGTTTCGTCAATCTCGGCCAAACAAGTATAATAAAAGAGATGCGAGAAAAAAAAAAAAACTATATTATCTTCGAGTATCACGAAGGATGTAATTTAGCATGTGGGAAACACACATATCTCGGAAATAGATATATAGCATTAAAAAAAAAAAAACAAGAACGATAGATTTGTGAGTGTATGTGGGAGTTTTCTTCGATATGTAACTTCGTCAATTATAGTTTTTCTCGCAGGTTCTTTCCGTAATTCTTACGGAGAATCTCAAGACACTATAATTGAATATTCGAACGTTGCTTACTCACATGTAGATTTATAAGCGCAAAATTTATTCACACATATTTTTCTCACACGTTTTTAGAGATTACTCGATTTATAGTTTTTTTATATTTCTTATATAATATTATAATAAATATACAATACATGAATATATATAAATATAATAAATGTATAAATATATATTTCATGTATATTTTTTTGTACTTGAGAAAATTTTTGAAAAGAACCGTACGAGTAATTACTCGCTCTCTTACGTAATTTGGAAAATAATTGTTATCGTCAGTATATACGCAATATGTAATGTGATTGGAATTGATGGGAATCTTTTTTACACGCATATAGGAAGCGATATTATCGATCATACGTGTCAAGAGGATTTTCTTAGCGTCGCACGCCGAACACGGCGATCCACACGGTGAATCGCGTGAAAAATAAGCGTGAGACTGGAATCCTTCGACTTGGCAGTTTACAATTTTATTTATTTTTTTTTTGTACACGATTTTTTTTTGTATAATTTATCATAAAATACACACATACACATCAGTTCACACATTGTTCGGTATTAAAAATTTCGTTACTTCGTTGCGCAACTATTTCGTAACGTTTCGTCCGCGCGGAGATTTTCGATAACTGTAACGCGCGTGTTAATAACAAAGTTACAGAATAGACTAGCCAACGTATCTTCGCGCAAATTTCATTTTGCTTCGACGTCTTCCTCGCATTCCTTCTTCGATTCGATAAGCTCCTGGTTTGGCAAATGTTCTCAGGATTTTCGTAACATACGGGACAGCGTGGTGCACTTCAAACATCTGGACGAATCGTTGCCCACTATCAATGGACAAAACATGTGTCTCCATTTCAGTCCGTCCGTGCATACAACTTTAGCTATGTCGTCATCCTCGTACTCGTTGAAATCGTATATGCCTGTTTTGAGACAAAAAAAGAAAAAAGAAGTTTATTATTGAAATGCAATTGTAAGCCAATTGTAAGGATCTCTCGAAACGAAAACATTTGTAATTCGCACCTTGACAAATCACTCGCTGGTCAAACTTGTTAATAAGCATTTCTACGTCCGACAAACTTTTCACTTTGTTGTGCTTTCTCTCTTTTACAAGACTGTGCTCGAGCGGATCGATTTCTTTATTGACCGCGACGAAGTGCGCGATCATGTCGCTTCTTAAAAAAACTTGTTTCTCTACAAATGGCAGTCCGTTGTCTGTTATGTTCATACAGAGATAGACGACAGTTGTACTGTGACCTCTCGATGTCACTAGACACGACCAGCCATGCGGAATAGACACTTCTGTGCAAACATCGAGAAAATCTTCGAATAGCATGTTGCTGTCGTCGCTACACAACTCGCTGTCCCACGAATCTAAAGCGGCGTAATTTTCAGTAAGCGACACTTCGTTATCCATGTACATGCCGGTAAGTGGCTGTAGGCTACTGTCTGTGGTTTTACTGTGTCCACTCGTTTCTACTGCCGTTTCGCTCCTGTCAGAGAAACTGTGCTCGTTGATGGAAAAATCCTTCGTTCTATCGAGTACATTTACACCGGACATGTTGCATACTTTTCTCTTCTTATTTCTTTTCTCTGCAACGTTATTCATAAGCTCTAAATTAGAACTTGTTTCACACTCGAGTGCTTCGCTCGTTTCTTTCTTTCTGCATCTTGACTCTTTCGCGTTACTTACACAAGCGTTTGAATTTTCCCTATTCGTGTCTCTCACATGCGACAACTGGATGTTATTGAAATCGTTATTTTCCTCACCAGTGTAATCTTGCGACTTGGAATAACCGCAATAGTAGGCATTTCTGTTCTCATCACTTGCGCTTCTCTCTCTCCTAGGTATTAAGAAAGTTTCTTCTGACATTTTTCCCTTTCTCAATGTTAAAACATTTTCATTTATTTTACATACATCCGCGGTATCAGTGTCTGAACTAGCAGCTGAATGAAGATTTCTACTTGGCACAGCTCCTGGACGCAGTCGACACTTCTTGTACTCAATCTGTGTGACAATATTGATGATAACATCAATACAACAATATATGGATTTAATGCAAATTACTGTCTACCGCAAGGAACATTTTTGTACAAGAAACAATCTCAATGTGTTACACAAAACTGGGGATTAAGTTCGAACACTTAATAATTGACTGTATTGTACAAATTACATTTTGCGTGTAATGAAAATTAAACACTTGCCGTTACTACATGAGGCGGCACTCCGCTAACCCAGTGCGTAATAATGTCGTCCTTGTCAAAATGTCTGCTACACACAAACGTGTCGTCTGTGACAGTAACATTTCTTCTGGCGCGATACAAAGCATTTTGCCACTTTTTGCGCAAATCCGCATTCTTTGGCGCCGAGAAGAAGCTGAATTTATTTTTGTAATTGGTGTCCTTACACAAAGCGCACTTGCGAGTCATGACGGAGCTGAAAATTGAGTAATGCGTTTGAAAAATACATTTAAATATTATTTAAATTACAAATTACAAAACAAACGTAATATCAGTTATTACACATTCTATTTGTTTATGTATTCCTCATATTGTTGGCGGACAAAAAACCAACATCGCGTACAGGTTATTCTGACATAAAATGTTTTCAAATGTTTTCGTTACATTCGAAGATTGTATTTTTTTTATGTACTAATTACGAGCGATTGAATGAACGAGTTTGCTTTCTCTTCCGACGCTTTTACATCTCAAAAAGTTCTTAAACAACATGAAAAACACGAGCAGACAAATGTTGAAAATACACAACGTATACAACGGACATGTGCGCGTACACATGAAGTCATTTTGTTTTGATAAGTTTCATAGATCATCTCACGATAGGATTGGTCTATTCGGCGAAAAGGGTAAATAACAAAAACCAATCGTCTCGCAAGATCAGAGCCCCACTATTATTATTCACGGTTTCCTATTACAAAATCAATTGGTTCTTTAGGGCTTGTGCACGAGGCTGGGAATTGATCGAGATCTCGGTTCAGAAATGCCAATCGCATTGCTCGGTCGCGGATCAACGCCGATTGCTCAATTTCACGAGTTATGTTTTATTCCATGAGATGCGCCCTCTGATGTCGCTGATAAATATATTTATATCTTTATCTAACTTTATCGTTCGTCGATACTCACAGCTGTTTAATTAAGTTTGCTTATTGCAGCAAACTTCGAGGAAGCTTGTTTTATCGTTTTCACACCAATATTGAATTTATCTGTAAATAAGATTTACATGTTTTTATTGTTCCAGATTTTTCACAGCTGTGTCACATGTCACATGTACTCTTGTCTGCTATGTAAAGAGACTCTGTAAAATAGTAGTTTTTTATTTTGTCAATTATATTTTTGTAATACGTAATAATTTTTCTACATATAATATAAATAAATTCTAACAAAATCAATGGACATGGAAAATGATAATCCTGTCATATATGGACTTGAATTTCAAGTATGAACCTTTACTGTATAACTTGTCACACTATCTACATGTATAGTATTTTACCTGAGAAAATAAAATTGTAAACAATAAAATATATAGCTGCACATTGCTGTTTTTATATTTTAGACCAGAGCACTGTCCGCCCAAACTGCCGAAACCGATATCGTACGATTTCTGGTGGGAACACAGTCTTTAGAATTTAGCAACAATCAAGTTCACCTAGTGGAACTCAATGAGGAAACGGGAAATTTGAAGACTCAAGTGTTCCAGCACCAAATAGGAGAAATTTGGTCTCTACAAGCTTCTCCAGTCGAACCTGATATATTTATTACATGTTACAATAGTTTGAGCGGTAAATATCACATTTGTATATTTGACTTCCTTTCGGGAAATAATTTTTTTTTTTGCTCATATGTACAAATTAAAACACAAATTAAATTTTCCTAACAGTTGTGCTTATTTAAAAATTATATTCTCTCAATTTGTAAAATGTTTGTATTTTTAGAAGATGGCATCTGCCAAATGAAAGGAGCGATCTGGCGGTTTCCTGAGACAAACGAGTCCACCGACATTTTACATCTTCAGAAACTGGCAGACATTGACACAATCCCGTACGGCGCTGATCTCAAGACCATCGCCTACCATCCTACGGACAGTAAGAAAGTGTGCTCCGTTGTAGATAATAATTTTGTTTTGTGGGATCTGGCGAGCGAAACACCAAAGGTGCGATCTTCTCGTTTGCACGAGAGAACCGTTTCACTTAAAATCTTTCTTCGATCCGGATTTCTACGTTACTTTTGTAACTCAATAATTATTCTTCGCTTGATTCAGGTTGCGGTATCGGGTACCTTGACGGGCAAGGGTCAGCCGCGATTCACGAACGGCAAATGGAATCCTCACAACGGCGCCAATCAGTTCGTAACACTGAACGAGAACAATGTACGCGGATGGGACTTCAGAAGTCCAGCGAGCGAAGCGTGGTCTATTTTATCCGCGCATTCGCAAATTATCAGGTAACAATACGGTGTAAAAATTGAGATTATCTTTAATACCAAGATTTCAATGCGTTAATAAACATTTAGATTCGTTTTCTAGGGATTTAGATTTCAATGCAAATCGCCAATATTTTTTGTCCACCTGCGGTGACGACGGATACATGAAGTTCTGGGATATTCGATTGCCCACAGAACCGGTGTTGTCGCGCATGGAACACTCGCACTGGGTGTGGAACATAAGGATCAACCGTTTTCACGATCAGCTAGTTTTAACGTCTAGCAGCGATTCCCGAGTGATACTGTGCAATATCGCGTCCATCTCGTCTGAACCATTCGGACACATAGTGTCGGCCGAAGACGAATCTTCGCAAAACGAAGAATCCTGCAGTAAAAAAAAGTAAACTAAGAACATTTGCAGCAAAAGTAGCTAATATTTATCAAAAATATAAACCTTTTGACGTGTTTATATAAACGTTTCAGATTGGAAGACAGTCTTATAGGCAGGTACGAAGAGCACGAAGATAGCGTATACGCGGTAGAATGGTCATCTGCTGATCCCTGGACATTCGCATCTCTCAGTTACGACGGTAAATTAGTTCTGAACAAGGTGCCGCGTAAGCACAAGTTCCAAATTATGAACCTTTTATAAACTTATCATTCTTGGGATAAAAGACGAGCAGTAAACACTTGAAGTGAATTTTTCACGTGAATTTAACAGAACGAAACTAACTCCTTAAGTTAAAGAGCATTGCAGAAAGAAACATTAGAAACATTAGCTTAGTATTACAAATTTTTATGATCACACGTGTACATTACGTCTTTTATATACATCCATATCAAATTTCATTTTCAATCCCAATCATTAATATCTATATCTTGAACAATATCTGTATTTTCTCTTGGTAGTTCTTCATCCTTAGCGTTGTTGGCTAACTTCTTTTTCTTTTTAATCTTCTTCTTTTTCGTAATATTATGTGATGATTCTTCTATTTCTTCTTCACTGCCTTTTATCCGAAGTTCAAACTCGCTCTCGCTGTCGCTATCCTCCGCATTTTCCTCAAGCTTGTGTTTCTTCGATTTTCGTACTGCGGGCACTACGATCTCTTCTTCGCTCTTCTTCGCAAGATGTTTAAGTTTCTGCGACTCGTAAATCTTGATCCACGAAGCGTAAGATTTGGCGAGTTTCGTACCGTCCGTTTTTATCCTATTCTCCCAATTTGCAATCTCTGCCGTATCCTTCAAACTCATCACCGTTCTGGAACGCTCCGTTTCGATGTATTTCCTATTTTCTTCGATCATGCGGAGTAGTTTTTTCATCTCGTTGCAAAAAGTGGCTATCTTGCATTTCTTCAGAAAAACTCTCACCTAGAAAACATGTGCGTTTTTAATTTTTAACACATCTGTTAATGCATTTATACGAAAAGTTTTCGACTGTTATAAATTTTTTGCGCGTACCTGTATTGTGCAAAAGATAAATAAATCTGGGAAATATATATGATGACTTTCATTCGCAGCGTACTCGAACAAAAGTTTGTGAATGGTCTCAAAAACACTGTTTTTAAATCCATTTTCCACAAGTTGCGATTTCGACGCCCTTAACGTATACATAAATAGTAGAGGTCGCATCGAGACCGTTTTGTGTTTCTTGTTGAAGTCGTACGAATTCAGTACCTAAAACAGAATATTTGTTATACATTCTCACGTATATATGATCAGATAAATACAAACATAACAGAAAATGATCGATACCTCGAGCAGAAAAGGCAAAATAGGTATAAAACTTCCTATTTCTTTGGAAATGTTTATTAACATTTCCACGCAATGGAATCGCAAGGGGTAGTACTGCGCGGTTGGAATCAATTTTATGGTTCCAGTAATAATCTGTATTAAACATTAATTTCGATTAATGATGCATCTGATTAAATGCGAAATTAGATTTTTTCGCTCACTTGCGAACTTCAGTACCTGAACTAACGGATATACCAGAGATCGTAACATCGAGTTTTCTTTTGATTTTATCAGCAGATTCATCCAAAAGCGTAAAGAATTTATGTACTGCCAATTGTATACAGTTTGAAAGTTTTCCTGAAACAAACAAAAATAAAATATATAAAAATGCAAATTACATATCATAAATGTTTATTTCCAATTAATTAATTACCTTTTTCTTCAGTGTTATGGCGTTTCTCAAATGTATTGCTAATTGTCGTATAAAAACAAAGGCGTAGCTATACGAAAGATTAGGATCGATCAGATAAATCTCGACCAAGGAATGCATCATAAAGTTAATGCCCGGCAAAGAATTTGGTGACACAAACTTGGCATTTTGCACGTATTTTATATACATAATCTGCAGGAGGAAAGAACGACACCGTAATTGATCATCCTGAATAAATTCTTTTAATCACAAATTCATTACCTTTAACAACTTCTCGAGTTCCTTACGCCGGGAAGCGATATAGAACGTATTTAAAAAAGCTGTGACGCGTACAGCGTCATCATCGGTTACGGCCCACAACTGTAAAAGAATCTTCAGCAGTGGTTTTGTTAAAGATGAAAATGCTTGCGCATAAGGCATCATTTCACGAAGATGCTTGAGAAGTATCACTTGACTGCTGGGCGATCCGACACATTGCAATAGCTACGACAAAGACACGCTCTTAGAATAATTAATAAATTTTTAATTTGCAAAAACTCACTCAGAATAACATACTTTAATTAAATCTGCCAGATATGATTTTAAAATTCCTCGTATTTTTCTAAATCTCTTGGATTTGTGTATTTCGTCAATTTTTGGGTCACACTTTAAGTAGTCTTTAAATGCGGTGGGTAAATATGTAACGCAGAGTTGTATCACACCATTAAATACTACAAATAAAAGTAGAATTTTTCAATAACATTATTATTTTCCGAGATAAAAACAGAATTCTTCAAAACGCAGTAATTTGATATGTGCAAAAAAGTTTAACTTTACCTTTACTTCCTTCTACTACATATTCATCAGGTACTGTATCATTTTTATCTGCCGGTAATACTTGAACGCTGTTTAACGCTGCGTGAAAAGCATCCACAGCACACTTAATAACAGTAGATGATCTACAAATTAAAGGCAGATTGTACGGTTACTATAAACTTAAATATACATATACATACATATACATGTACATACTATATTTAAATACATATTAACTGAATGCAAATAATTAACATACTTATGTGTTTGTAATTGTTCTTGCCAAGTTTTCAGTAATTGCAATGTGACTTTCTTTTTAGACACATTTTCAGTTTCTCCGTCAAAGTCGCTATCGTCACTAGCAATCTATAATTTAACAAAAAAGATCAAATATGCTACAAGCATTTAAATGGACAAAACTTAAAAATAAATTTATATACAGTACATACCTCCAAATTTTCATTTGGAATATGTCTGTCATTATTTTGATCATCATCATCTTCTTCATCATCAGATATGTTGAAGTCCAAGAGATTTTGGTCATTTTCTTGAAGATACTCATAAAATTCAGGATCAAGATCTTTCAATTTCATTAATACTTTTTTATGCTCCACAGGATCCAAATTGCCTTCATCGCTATCTGAATTAGATTCACTATCATCCTGCTTGCTGTTTTTATCTAAATAAAAAAAATGTAAAAATATTGAGAAAAAAAGTACAAAACTTAAAATATATTGTGTAATTAACACACACATACTTAAATATACATGTAAAAATTATACCTATATTTTTATCATTACGTATAGACGCATTGTTTGGTTTCTTAATTATCTCATTTTCACTATCATCTGTATTATCTTCAAAATTCTGTTCAAAAAATTCTGCAGTAGTTACTTTACTCAAATGTTTTTTTTGTTTTTTAATATTTGTTGTTTTTTTTCCTTTTACAGACTTACGAGGTTTTTCATTTACTTTCTTTATCTTCATGATTATAATAAGCCTGTATTTTTACTTATATGAATAAAATAACGAGCTAGCAAATAAACCTAGAAAAAAAAAGTTTAAGGTTAAACATAAAACATATCAAACAACAACATACGTAACACTCTCTTTATTTTTTTCTTTTCATAATTGAGAGAAAGAGAAATAAGTATTTTTTGTTTTTACCTCAAAAAATTACTAGTGTATAACAAATTAAATATAATCTTACATTAAAAACAAGAACTTTTTGCACGTTTCACAGTTCTAGCTCACCACGTGACGATGGTTTCGAGTTTCTTCTTCTTCTTCTTCTTTGCATGTATGGCGCACGCACGTTCCTGCACGCTGCACGTGAGGAGCAAAAGCCAGTTTCGAGTTTCAATTTCAACGCCATATTTCTGCTAAATCGAAGATTAACAGCGCCTCTATAGCCTAAGTGGCAATTTCCAATACTAAAGTGGCATGTTTTTATTACAGTCATATGGCCTTGGCGGCTGGCTCCAGTTTTCTCTCTGTGTGTACATACAATTTGTGACTGTTTTGAGTGTCTAATAATTTATATTAATAAAGTGACCGCGCAATGGTGGTTTATTGTTTTATAGAAGGTTGTAAATCAACCAAATACAAAAGTGTTAAAGAGAAGTGTAAGAAAGTCTTAACATTTTTTGGGTAAGTTATTAGGTTATTTTATTGTAATTTGAAATGTGTCACAGTCAATTGTAATCAAACACATTTTATAAGATTATTTAGCTCGTAGAAATAATTATAGACATTTGTTAGATGTAATATTGTTTTTTTTCTTATTTTTAATATTAGTATTTGAAATATATGGTGATATGTTAATTTGACATTTGTAACTAAATAGATTTCCAACAAACTCAATTTTGCGAGAGAAGTGGATACAAGCCCTTATTAATTCCGGTCATAAAAAAGAACATGTGGCAAGGATTACAAAATGTAGCCGAATATGCAGCCTACATTTTGCTCAAGATTGCATCGAAACCATTGGTTTTTCAAGTGGTCGTTTAAAACCAAACTCTGTGCCAACAATATTTCCAAATGCACCAGAAGAAAGGCAATAATACTGATATTTTGTACATGATTAAATATTAGTTGAAATCTTTTGTAAAAACTCGTTATTTAGTTGGTAAACTATTTATACATTTTCATTGTTATCTGTTTAGTATAACTGATAATGAGAATCCTGGACCATCAAATAAGTCATCCATGGAAATAGAAACTGTTGCTCAATGTGAAGATGAGATTTGTCAAACTCCTCCTATAAAACAAATTTACTATATAGTTGATGTAAATTCTGGAAACATCAAAAACATGTCGTCAAAAATGTTGGTGAGAACACTGAATATGTTGAAGAAATCCTGCGAAAAGAAAGACAAAATAATTAATCGATTGAGGGTACAGCACTTTCGCCAAAAGAGAAAAATAGAGAGCTTAGAGGCTTTATTAGCTGCACTTCGTGAAAGAAATCTCCTTCCTCCGGTTTCATCAGACACTGTACAGGTATAAAAAAAAAAAAAAAGTGAAAAACAACTGTTCTACCAATAATTATTCTACAAAATTGTTTTACCAATCGTGAAAGAGTGAAAAAGTTGATCATATGAAAAGAATTGATTTCAATTCTATTGAAAACTCATTACACAAGAATATTTTCTAACAAATACAAAATAAATAAAAAACACTTGCATTGTATATTTAATACATATTCCAGTCAGTTTCACATATTGAATAATAAAATTTTTATATAAAGTTGAATATTTTGTATTTACTTCATTCCTTTTTAATTTATTAAAATTAGTTTTTTTTTTTATCATGGAAATATAGCAGCTGGAAATAACACTGCTTACATAAAATATGTTTGTAAGATTATTTTTGTCTTTGTGTTGATTTTATATAAAATTTATATTATGAGTTTTCGGATGCGAAACAGACACAGCCAATCATAAGCGATGTTTCGTGAGGGTCACGTTATATTGGCTGCGTTCTTTTGTGTCTGCGCACATCCAAGATTTGTTCTAGAAAAAGATCTCTCTGCTATTGGTCAGATTTGGACAAAATCAAATTTGATAGAAACTGAGCTTTGTGTTATATAATCGAGAGAGAGAGAGAGAGAGAGAGAGAGAGAGAGAGAGAGAAAGAGACGATTATTTCAACGATTTACTATTTATACATTATTATGTGGTCAGAAATTAATTCAGATTAGACAAGAGCTGATGGGGACCGTTGAGTGAAGGTTCGTTGAGGGAGATTTGACAAAGTACATAATGTGAAAAAGAGCGTTAGTTATCGACAACGCGACTCGGGTCTCGGGTATGCGTCATTGATGTGAATCGAGGTCGATGCGTGTGCGTGCAACGCAAGCGAGGACTTCCCTCAGTGCGCAGAACAGTGAGACAGCTGACCGATGTGACGGACGCTCGTACCTCGGCGTCATCGCGTGCGCTTGTACTCAGTTTGCACCGAGTGTACTGTGTTCGCGACGTTTTCACAACAATATTGGATCGAACGAACGGTGAGTGTGTGTGGCGATAAGGGAAATCCATTGCCCTCGGATAAAGAAAAAACTTGATTTCTCTCGCCGTTTACACAACGCGCACAATGGTTATTATTACTCGTTATCAGTGTGTGCATCGCGTTTAGCTGGGTTCTCCTCTAATGAGCGAATCTAAATATACGCGATATCTAGGAGTACGCGAATCGATATCATTGTTATCACAACGAGCGCGTTTATGCCGTTCGATACTATTGGATATGCTTTTTAACATTCGTTTTTGCGTATGAGGAATAGATACAGACACGATATTTATCGTGTTGTGGGATTCTTTTGTCAATAACTGGTGACACAAGTAATTTATTGCATGTAGGAGAGTTGTCGGGTCTCTCCCTCGCGTAATCGCAAACAGTATGTTTCTCCGTTCGAGATTCGAATACGCTGTGTTGCTCGCTTAGTTTTTAACGATTTCGAAAATGTTAGGTGGGTCTGTCTCACCTTTCGATGCGTAGTGTTTGACACCAATATAATGACGGTGTAACATATGCAAAATTAACGACTCAATTTTTAATTAATTGAGAAAAATTGATTCATGTGTTTTCAAATAGTTTTCAGAAAACTACATTAGAGCATTTGCTCTACATCTCGCGATCATGGAACAAATGATCGCTCTGAGCACGCAAAATCCATTGTCTCTACTCGTTAAGTTTGGCATGATGGCTTGGAATAACAGTTGCGGAATCGAAAACTGTTCCGGCCATGGAGAATGTCATAACGGGACTTGTCTATGCGAGGTAACGCTGTTTGTTTTTGGCAATGTCTCACTTTTTGTATTTTTGTTTTTTTTTTTGTTTTTTTTTTTGTTTTTTTTTGTTTTGTTTCCAAACAAATATCAAAACTGTCTGTTTCGTTGTAGATCCAATTTGATGGACCTGAATGCCATATCCCGAATCTAAGTTATTACATCGCCTTTTCCACAATCTTCTTTCTCTTGGCATTTGTTTGCTTGATACAACTGGTAATGTGTATCGTCGCCGAATGGCAGAGAATGAAGGCGCCTTCGTTTCTGAGAGCGTGTCGAGTTACCACTCAGAAGGTGTTGTATTTTGTGGTGTTCCTCGCATCGGTTATAAGAGGCGCATATTTCACATCACCAGTAAGTAAAAAAAAATTTGTATTCAAAGATATTTCGATCGAAGATATATCTTAATGTATTTTTTGTTCTTTTTAGACCGCTTTTAAAGGAGGATGGTCCAGAAGTTTACTGTCGGCGTATTATCCACTGCTTTTAAGTGGATCATCATTAATTGTCTGTTTTTGGGCTGAGGTGGTTCATCTGAGAGACATTCGATGGGACAAACCTCAGTTTTTATCAAAGTCTTTTCTGGCCTTTGTTGTCTTCAATATAATAACGTATTCCCTCCTGCTCGCGGAATTTATCACAGCTCAGACATACTCGCAAGAAGATCAAGTAAGGAAAAAGAGTGAAAATAATTTTTATATATCTGATCAAATTGTAATTTTCTGACGAAATGTGTTTGTGATCTTTCAGAGTTTTTATACACATGTATTCAACGGTTGTTACGCAGTGCTCTTATTCATTGTGGTAATTTTCTTCTTAATATACGGAGTGGAAGTATTCTTCAAAGTATGTTTTATTCATATCCATAAATATATGTACATGTTTAATACAGTCTTTAGTATCCATGTTTTTAAATGTATGATGATATTTTCTAACAGGTTCGCGGTGGATTTTTGAACGAATATCAAGTTACTTCCATCGCAACGAACAAACGTATAGCCGATGAAATGAAAGTTCACGCCGAAGATCAGGCAACGGCAAAGCTATTCGCCCCATCTTCATCTGCATCCACAGTTGATCCTTTGCAGCAAGTGAACACGTCTCAGTTGCATCAGTCGAGATTTGGATTGCTCTCGCAAGCTTTCATGCTGTTTATAGTAGTGGGCTTTTTGTTTAGTGAGACTCTCAGTGAATTTTGGAAAACAAAGTAAGATTGCAAAAAAAAAAAAAAATCTTGAAGTGTTGCGAAAGTATATTTTTCTTTATCTTTCAGAGTACCATTGTATAGCAGGAATTGGCATGATGTAGTATTTCGTGTTATCGAAGTCGGTGTGGCATTGTGGTTTCCGTGCGTTTTATGGAACTGTATAAGGTACGTTGTACATTTACATACGTTTTTGTGTAAACACGCATAAATTTTCTTTTGTAATATACATTTGTGCCTACAACCGTTTCGTTATTTTGTTCATCAGTCCGGAGCAACTATGGATTCTAAACCCGAAACGCATACTGAAGAGACTCGATCTCGATCAGGGAAAGCACATCAAGGAAATCGAACTGCAAGAGAAAAATGCGTCCCAAGACACCGCGTTTCTTTCCGCGGATACGGCATCGATTAACAGTAAAGATTGTTGGATTTGTTACGACAGCGAGCGACAGGATGCGGGCCCGTTGATACAGCCATGCCACTGCAGAGGCGACGTGAGCGCTGTGCATCACGATTGCCTGCGTCGTTGGCTCGTTGAGGTGAGTCAATCGCCCATATAATTTTTTTGCTACGTGTATTAATTGTCGGTGCGATGTACCGTTGTTTCATGCGTTAATCGTTGACCTTCAGAGCTCCGTGAATGCTGACAGCCTTATCTGCAAAGTTTGCAACACACAATACAACGTCGAACACGCCAGTCGATTGGATTGGCAAAACAGTTTGACTCCGCGCCATTGTTTGCAAACTATCGCTATTGTTACCACGATGTGCGCGTCTTCCGCCGCCGCGTGGATAGTCATTCAACTTGTGGAAGGGCCAATTATCAGAATGTTCGCAGCCGGAACCGCGTTGCTGATCATGTACGTCTGCATAAGGTGAGCGAACGCTGATTTACCGAATAACAAATATCATCGGCATTCCTTTGTTACTCATTGAATCGCTTGTTTCAGATTTTTGAGCATGAACACCGTCGTGGCGTATCAGCGAGCAAAAATTGCTTCTTTGAACATCGCCAACAGCGGCGAGAGCAGCGGAAGTGCGCACGTCGCGACGATCAGTCACACGATTTCCGTAGACTTGACGAAATCGGACATGGCTACGATATAAATTTGTACTTGCCGCGATATAACACAGATATATCTTCCTGCTTGAGATCAATTCAAGGTAGAGAGGGTAGATATAATGTATAGATGTACATTCTCTTTTCGACCCCATGTGTATATAGCGCGCGATAGTGATTATAAGGCGCGGTGTGTTTTTAGGTCAAAGTTTTATGTTTTTTTTTATGTTTTTTTTTATTTTTTTTTATTTTTTTTTATTTTTTTTTTTTTTATGTATCTCTTTTTTGTGAGATAACGGAGCTTCGCGAAAATAAATAATACGGCTGGAAGGAAAACACACCGCGCCTGCTGTTTCACTAAGAGTTTACATTGAAGTTGCCAAACAATTCATATTTTACGTCTTGATTAGGTCGTTACATAAGTATATAACTCGCGAAGATCGATTTTTTGTATAGGATTTTACTCGTATTTTACATTGCATAAATACTTCACGTCTAACATTTCATAAAAAGTTTTTCATAAAATGCGAACGATACGCAATTACACGTACCTTGATTGCGTTCGTATTAAATTTTAATAAATTTCTCATTTGCACACTTGTAAGTATATGTCTAAAAACACTTTGGATATATTCATCAAAATGAAATTGGCATAGTGGTTTTTTTTTTTTTTTCACAATCATTTGCTTCAAAGGAACATTTTCAAAGAGAAGTTTTTCATGAATATAAACATTATATATGTACGTATATATACATAAACAAATATATATAAATATAAATATATATATATATACATACATATACATATCATTAAAATAATCATGTCATTGGTGCAATTACTAACCATTATTTAATACTTTACTGATGATAAATATTTAAGAAGAATGTTACAAAGTATTCTGTTGGTTCTATTAATGATGTCTGCTCACGTAAAGTTGCGTCAATTCTCGAGTCGAATCAGTTCAATTTGTGTGGATGTTCATGCATCGTGAGTTTAGATTTTTATGTTGCTGCGTTCTTGAAAAAACCAGTTACACTCACGACTCATAAATATCTGAACTTAACAAAAATTAATGCAGCTTTATGTGAAAAAATAGTAATAGGACCGATTGTAGTAGAATAGTAATAATAGAGTTATTAGAGAGAGAGTGCATACTAATATAATTATTATATATATATATATATATATGTATATGTATATATATATACTTTATGAGTTAAGATATACATAAATGATTAAGAATAATTGAAATTAATAAATTTCAAAGAATTTGTTTTTTTTTAAATTATTTTATTTTATTTTTTTTATCACATAAACTAAAAGTTCTATATTAATAAGTGCTTGAAGAGGGTGAAATGAACCTTGCTATTACAGATTTATATTGAAAAATTAATTTTGATTTTGCGTCTTCTAGCTGTACACACAGCTAAAAAGTATAATTTTGAAGACATGACTATGTAACATTGTAACATCTGATGCTGTAATAAGTCACATTGAATTTATATAAACTTGCTATGGGTAATATATATATATATATATGTCATTCAATTGTTTTAAATTCTTTTGTCATTAAATTTATATGTAGATTCGACATATCCTGTATTACGTGCAAAGATGTTGATGTTACTTGATGAGATGATGATATTAGTTTCCCTGAAATTCTTCTGCAAGGATAAATAAACAATAATTAACTATGCAGTTAAAACTAATAATTGTAGCAGAGAGGATAAGAGATTATAATTACATATTGGAAGAGTTGATTACTTAGTAGTTATATATGAAAGAATTATTTCATAGAATATTAAATGTCATATTTTTATTCATACGCACTTATATGCGTAAAAGCCATATAGATAATATATTTCATAGTTCACACACTTTGTGTGACGGAAAATTACAAAAGGAAAATATTGCAAAAAAAAATGATAGGAATTCGTTTCTTGTCAAGTAACTAAGTTATTATTTTTATGCGAGAAAGTCTAGAACGTTATACATCACAAAATGTTATTCTGAGAGGAAGTGTCATTGATATATTACTTATAAAGGGACTAAAAAAAAAATATATACTACCAAGTCTTAATAGTGACTAAAGAAAAGGGTTTCAAAAATGTTCAGTGAATTCTTAAAGGACAAAAACACAGCATTCTGTATCTAATAAAATTTATATTGTAAAGCAGTATTGTTTTTTTTTGTGTTCTAAAGCTTCGTAAGTACAATGCAGTATTTAGCAGAGTTAAATTACACCATAAAAGATTGTGCAATAATAGCTCATATCTCTAATAAAAACAAATGAGCGGAAAATTGAATAACTATTATATGGATGATTATATTAATGTGTCAATTGTGTTAAATTGTACCTGTTCATCGTACATATATATAGTACATAAAAATCATACGAAATTGCCCATATAAAGTAGAAGTCATTATCAAAAGCAATATTGATTGATTTCTATTTTATAGAAACGGCAAATTTCATTATTTGCTATTATTGCAAATTAAAAGTTAGACTTGGCTTGTATTAAGCTTAAGTGACGAAACATTGTTGTCTTTATTATATACCGACGTATGTTACATTTATATTTACGAATATCAAATCTAACATATAAATATGTACCGAAAAACTCTTATTAAACAATAATAGTAATATAACCTGTGATAATGTACAATATATGTCCTTATTAATTGCTATATAATAAAGTATGTTACACGTATAAGTGAAATGTAGTCTGTATACATATAATGTTTTGTCTTAAGTTTAAGGTTGAATATTAATGGGTACGTAATAAATGCACTCCGCGTGGTTCAACCTGTGAGAAAGAAACAATCATCAAAACCACATGTAACGAGATAAGAAACTGACAACTTTATCACACATCTGTATTTTATGTAATAATAGCAATATTTCACCTGCGATGCCAGCGATTGCTTCCGAAGCAAAATATTTCACATCTACGTCGCTATCGGTGTTGAGTTTATCGAGAACGGGTTTCACTTGGGTTTGGATTGCCGAAGGCTCGAGGTAAGGTCCAATTCGTTGAAGAGTTTTCGCAACGTTAAATCTTACATTTGCAACGTTATCAGTGGCCATTGTCAGTACAGTTGGAAGCATCACCTTGGTTGTTATCTCTGGACCGCACACTTCGGCCAAAACCTGAATAAAATAGATTTTATAAATGTTAAACTATATCACCGTTGAATACTGTTAATTTTAATATTTTAGCATGCAATATCTTACATTGATGCAGAATAAGCACGTCATCCTGTGAAGATAGTTCTGATCCCTAGACATGGCCAAGACCTTCGGTATCACCGTATTTTGTGCCCAGTCGGGTCCGAACTTCTCTACCAATTTTTTCAGGTTCAATGTAGCCGCTTCCCGTATCGCGTAAACATGATCAACCAGCCAAGTCATACACAAAGAATTCAACTTCTCATCGAAGAATTCTACTCCCAACTGTCCAGCTAACAACGGCATGTATCTAAAAAAAATTGGAATCGTTATTACGAACTTGTTATTCTGTTTTCTGTCATATTGACTCAAATTAAATTAAACAACTGATCGTAATTACTCGATAATAGCCAGTCGCACCCGCCATTTCGAGTCCTCCGCCAATTCTACAATGGCAGGTAAGAGAGACTGCGATAGTTGCTGTATTCCGATGACCTCATTTACACACTCGAGATTGCTGATAATATTCAGTCGTACTTCCGGACATTCATCTCTAAGCTGAGATAAAAATAGAGGTAACAGATGCTCGATTGTGCTGCAAAAATATAGAATATAAAGTTGTTAATTCATTTGTTTACATTATTTCGCTATGTTTCGCATATTGAAATCGCATGTTCTTACTTGTGTTTGCCGAGGATAGGACTCAGTCCCATTATCACGCTCGCCAAAGCGGACTTCACGTGCTGATTGGGGTCTGCCACAAGTTCTTTAACTAGAGGTAAAATACTACTCATTATTATAGATTCTTGATACATCGGGTCCAGATTTTGGCAGAAATCGCGAACTTTATCAGCAGCCGCGGCTCGCACTTCGGCTTCGATATCCTTTAATAACAATTGGAACGCCGGCACGAGATCGGATTTCGTTATTACCGGACCGACGGCTTTTTGAAGCTACAGGGAAAAATATTTATAGAAACATTTTCAGTAAGTAATAAATAAAATAATAAACTTATTCTAAATTTACATAATTCTTCAATCGATTTCGACAATCTTACACACATCCGTAAATTTGTCGGCCACCATATAGCGAACACGCCACGACTGATCGCCAGCGCACTGCCTAAGTGTAGGCATAACCAACTGTTCAACGTCCTCCTGTTGCAGCAATGCTGCAATGCTGACACAAGCTTCGACAGCCAGAAGGCGAACCGAATCCTTAAAAGTAATCTCGTGTTAATTTTATCATTTTTAACTTAAAAATAACAAATTGTTTCGTGATTTCAACACACTCACTTGTTCATCCTGAGCAAGTATAACAAACATGGGTATTATATCAGATTTAAGATACTCGACTTCCACAACTTTTGCAAATTCACCTAGTTTAGAGGCAGCCGACCTTCGTGCCATGGGTGTATCATCCTGGCATAAGCTGCGAAAATGATTTCGCAATTCCGCTGCAAAATAGTTTGAAGACAAATGTTAGGATTTATATTTTTATATTCATTTTATATAAAAATATAGATGCACACTATATAAAATTGCAAGAGCAATTATTGTACAGTTACCTTTGATGGCAGGGCTGACTCTTGGATAACAAACACTGAACAAGCCACATGCTGATGTTCTTGATGTAAACCAGTCTCCTGAAGCTAAGCGTGTTACCAACGGAACAAAGTGTTCCTCTAAATCCGCAGAACTGTGCTGGCTTGCGATATTTCTCAAAGATTCCACAGCTTTGTCGCGAACTACGGTTTCCTCTACAGTAGCAAGAGACTCTAGCGGTGGCTAAAAAAACCAAATCAGAAGAAAATTTATCTGTCAGAAAAGTTAAAAACAAAAAAAAATTGTTAGTAAGTTAACAAAACATTGAATTTTATAATTTATTATTACCAATAAACAATGCACAAATTCTGGACCTCCGACAAGAGGAGTAAATGTACCAAGCTGCTCAGCCAGTGCAAGAAGAACTTCATCCTCGTCGTAGATAGTTTCTGTTAGAAATGGGATTAATTCACTTCTTGTTCGTTCAATGCCCAGTGCGAGCGCAATTGTCGATAACTTCTTGATGGAGTTCAGACGTAACTATAACAAAGTGTCAGATCGAATATTTTATTATATTTGTTGTTACAAGACAAAGAGAATAATAACAGAATATTAACAATATTTTTATCTCTTTGGAATTATAATTAAAATGTTTTTCAACAAAAAGAATGCAGCGCATTTCCTTTATTCTCACGTCGTCGGGATAAACTCGCTCTATTCTCACGCCTCCCGTAATTCCCCGCTTTTTGCAAAAATCTTGCGCAAAACGATACCGCGCATACGGAAGCTCTGTGTTTTGACATGCGCGATTATCAGTTCGAGTGTTCGTAGTAGTCGGAAGTGGGGGGGTCCAAAAGCACGAGAAAAATAGATGAATTGAAAGAGTCGCTTTTCGTGAGAATACGGATCATAAAAATTGAAGGAATGTCTCATGCAAAAATACAAGATACGACGACGATGGTTTCTAAAACAGAGCACGAGAGTCCAGTGTCGCGGAATTGAACGAGTAGTGAAAAAAATTGCGTCAGGTTTTGACTAAATATGATTCATAACACGCGATGAGTTAGAAGATGGAGAAGAAGATTACAGAGATGAAAGAGATGAGATCGCGATTCTGATCTAATGAATAAGAGAAGTCAGGAAAAAGATTTTGTATTTTTTTTTTTTTACAACAGACTCGGAATTTCAATTTCATCTTCACACACACACAGAGTTCTCTTTCCGGCAAACACGTTCCAACAAATATGCATTTATAACTCATATACGTGTTATCTTTCAGCAGACCAGAAACTACGGGAGTTTTTTTTGTGAAAAATCGCTATCTAGCTCGCGTTTAGCGATCAGAAGCGTGAGACCGAGAAAAAAACAAATTTTTTGAGAGACGCGGTGAAGGTTTGCACACATCGTGATCATGTGTCACTGTATCGATTACCTGGACATCTTCATTCTTTAATTCGTCGATCAGCACCGCGATCGGATACAGGCTATCGTCCGTGGTAGGATCGCTCGCTGCCATTTCGCTGCTGGACACACAGGCAAGTCAATGCACCGTACGATCGTGGACTTGCTTTCCGTCCGTCTCCGCTGTTGCTTCGCGTTTATCGTCGTCGATTATATCGAACCGCTGAACAACCGTTGGGCGATGACGCCTGATGCTTGTTGGAGCAAACAATGGTAGCTCGGCAGAATTTCGTTCGTGCGCGTGCGCGCGAACGACTTCGGCAACGAGAGAATCACACTTCGAAGCGTACGCAGCGCGACTTGTTCCTGCTCTTAACTGTCGCGTTTTTATTGCCTGTGATTGGATAATTTTTCTAGATCTACCATGAGAATGTAAAAGCATCCGCCAATCACAGAACCTGAGTGCAAAAGCGGTGTCTCGTCCGCTGATGGTGATAAATGCTACCATTTCTCCACGTTGTCCGTTGATTGTTAAGTAAAACATGAAAGCGAAGAAGATAAGTACGGTGTCAGAAAAGTCGGTTTTGAAAAAAGTCGCCAAGAGCAAAATATCAAAATCTAGTAGTGCAGGAACTAATGTCGAAAAGGCTGTGAAAAATGTTAAAAAAATTTCTAAGGTCGGACATAACCTTCGATAACCATCTGCGTTGTAAATTATTTTCTACTGCACGGTAATTGCCATTTGCCACAGCAGTTTATATAATTTAACTTTTGTTATTTACAGAAAAAAGGAGCAGCAACTAAAACTAAGGAAAAGTCTGTTGTTGGTAAAAAAGAGAAACAGCTGACAAAACCCACACGCAAAGAGAAACAGCTAACAAAACCCACACCCAAAGAGAAACAGCTAACAAAACCCACACCCAAAGAGAAACAGCTAACAAAACCCACACGCAAAGAGAAACAGCTAACAAAACCCACACGCAAATCCAAGAGATTAAGAAAATTTACTGGAAATAAAGGAGTGATTTATTTAGGACACATTCCTCATGGGTTTTATGAGGACCAAATAAAAGACTATTTTAAACAATTTGGAACAGTGACACGAGTAAGAGTTGCACGATCAAAAAAGGTGCGTACTTGTTTAAATAAATTTAATATTAATGTATTATATATATTACAAGCTTTTTAAAATTTTATTTAGACCGGGAAAAGTCGTGGCTATGGCTACATTGAATTCTTAGTCCCAGAAGTTGCTAAAGTTGCTGCAGAATCAATGAATAATTATCTCATGTGTAATCGATTACTGAAAGGTACTGTTCAACTTAATGTTACGTTGTACCAAAAAACTGACTTTTTATTTCATACATTGAATGTGGTTTTCAGCTACTTATATTCCACCTGAAAAACAGCATTCTCGATACTTTTGCGGTTACTCTTGGACAGAACAAAACTGTCCAAAACTAAGAAACAGAAAAAAGGAAAACTTGCACAAAAATGCTCCTCAGAGTGTTGAAAATCATGAAAAGTATGTTAAGCGTTCACTCAAGAAACTTTCTGCGTTAGAAAGTAAATTGCAAGAAAAAGGAATCAGTTTAAACTTTCAGCCTGTTGATGTGCCGGAAACATAATAAATAATTAAAAACATATTATTTGCTTAATTATTTATATATAATTAATCATTATAAATTATTTCTATCGAAGAACATAACAGATGCGTCTTTGGTAATGGATGTGCTTTTGCGTTATTAAAATTTATAAATTACTAGCACAACACACAAGCGCGCTACGCGTACGCTATTGTTATTTTTATTTAACGTGTTGTCAGTGAACACAACCTGTCACCGCGATGACAGATAGTATATATGTCTTATAAACCATATAATACACATATGAGAAATGTCAGAAATAACGCATGAAGATCAAACTCAAAAAATAGTGAGAGAGAGAAGTGGAAAAACAACACATGACTAAAGTCACGTGACAGGGAAAAGGGTAAAAAAGAGAATATTATATATATTATATACCTATATATAATATCATATTCTATATCTATATATAATACACACATACGCATATATATATGTATATATATATACCGTAATCACGTGACCGAAGTCAGTAACACCGCCGCGGTCACGCGGCCGAGGTCAGTGACCCCCCTCCCCCCACCAAGGCCGCGCGACCGAGGTCAGTGCCCTGCCAAGGCCGCGCGGCCGAGGTCAGTGACCCCGCCAAGGCTGCGCGGCCGAGGTCAGTAACCCCGCCAAGGCCGCGCGGCCGAGGTCAATGACCCCGCCAAGGCTGCGCGGCCGAGGTCAGTGACCCCGCCAAGGCCGCGCGCCTGCTGTCAGTGTATCATATTTTGTGTCTTGCAATAGAAAATAACTGTTCAAGATATAATTCAATCCTTAGACGTTGCATGAGGTAACGACGCGTCGGCAACCTTTATGTTTGACAAAAACTATTCGTCTTACTTCAGGGGGAAAATCTACTTGTTTCAAAATCATTCTGTAAACTTTAAAGAATACCAAAATTAAAATCTTGAGTTTTTCTTTTGATACATGCAATATCTCACATTTGACTCAAGAAATATTATATTTCAAAACAAAACAAAAAAAAATGTTACATTAGCAGCATAAAAAGTATGTACTTCAGCTCTCTTCTTCAGCTTCTCTTTTCTTCCATGGTTGTATTTTTGCTTCCGGATATTTTTCGGTCAGGAAACTTTGCAATGCACCGTATTGTGCTCTTAATCTTAATCTCGTCTCGTCGGAGTTCCTGAATCGTTCCACTTTTAACAAATGGTTTTGAAAACTTGGAAGTCTAGTATAAAACGGGGTGTATTTTTTTCTTTTCAATACTATTCTGCCATCCAGTACGTATCGAGTAAAATCGAGGACCTCGTTGGACAGTATTTCTTCTTCCTTTCTCACTTTCGATGGCGAAGCAACTACTATCGGGATATTTTCGGTCTCTGATCTAAACTCAACCAAATGCAATTGTTTTTCGTCCGCTAGTTGTTGATGTGATTTCTGCAAAAAAATGTTTTATATTTCTCTCTTCGATTTAATTAAATTTTAATTACAGGTGAACATACTACATTTTTATGTAAGTACCTGTTGCAACAAGCCTATAAAGAAAGCCTTGACTATATGCTGTACATTTTTAGGTCCTTCCACTTTAGCATACAAATCCTTTATGCCAATTGCCTCGCACATACACTTAATCACACGATGACAAACAAGTCCATATCCTTCGTGCATTTTACTTACAAATATCTTGGTACTTCCAAATTGTGTGTAAAAGTCGTGTAACACTAAAAAACCAACAATAAAATTATCATATATCGTCAAGCGAAAGAAATGTATAATATGTAAGTTTTATGAATAATCTTATTTTTTTTTTTACCAGTGTGTTCCTTGTATCTAGGAATATACATCAATCTTTGACCCGCTCTATTTTTAGCTTTTGTTAAAGCTACTTTGCTCATAGGTGCTTTAGTCAATGAAAAACCAGCCAGTCCATTTCTATTTCCTGTCACAACAAATGCACTAATCCTACTCTTGCGCCCTAAATTTCCAGTCATACAACTTACTAGTTTGTTCTGCAAAATCCAGGTTTCAAAGCCTTCGAAAGTATCTGTAAACAAGATATATCAGTTTTTTTGCGTCAATATTTTAATGCTATCGAGTTAAGAAATGAATCTTCGCGAGTTTATTTATTTATCAATAATGAACATTTTTATAAAGTACAAAAATCACTATTAAAAAGATTAAATAATAACTAAAACTATATTAAATAATTTTGCAATTTGAAAAAATGTACAGAACTAGTGCAATCTTAGCAACCTTCTCCAATGGGATCAGGTGGTCCTATCTTTCTACCACCCATCCCAGCGCTCGTCCAACCGCGTTCCAGTGGCGACAGCTTGATTCGTCTAGATCTACTTTGCATCTCCCTTAACTTTATAAGTTTTTCTTCTCTTTCAGGATCTGGAGGCAGCTTTTGCTGCTTAACCAATTGTTTTCCCCTGAACACGGGAGTGGTCAAACCAGGAAATTGTATCGCAACTTTGCCCACGCCAATAATCTGACCCTTATTCAGATCTTTCTTTCGTGGTAATCCTTTTGCTCTGCCTCTGCGTCTTCCTGCATTACTAACACTGGTCACACCTCTCCACAGCTCGTCCGCACTTTCTGCAGAAGACAACGTGCATTTTTTAACAATAATGTATCATTAGATGCAATTCTAAATGAATATCGCATGTACAAAAGTTGACTTACTTCTGTCAAAGATTGTTGTTGTACCTCTCGTGCTGCTCAATAAAGGAACACATGTTTTCAGCAAGTGTGAATGAGCCAGAGCCAAAACATTAGCTGAAAGTTTTAAAACCTTTCAATAAACATTAAATTAACAAAATAATATCTAAAAACATTAACTTTATAAATATATGTTACCGTACCGTTGCTCATAAGCTGAGTACTTCTAAACGAATTTTCCACGACTTTGACCACTCGTAATAGTTGAGCCATTTTTGAAAATTAACTGAAAAACATGTGAGAAATTAACACATTATAAAAATATTTCATGTGTATCGCCGAAATATCAATAGAAATTCTAGATTATGAACGAAATCCGCGCACGTACATATTAGAGATTATCGAATCATCATAAGTTTACCCTAGAAAACAATCTTTCTCAGATAAATATATGCGGTTGCGCGCGCAGCGCAAACTGCAAATAAATAAATACCCTTCTTCGTAGTTCCTTTACACGCCATGCCGCGCAATGCGCACACGTCATCCGGCTGAACTGTCTCGTGGCAAACCGCGAGCGGTGGCGAGATTCCGAGTCGAATTCGATCAGGATGGTGTCGATTACAATGAAGTTTTTGAATAGGTTATTCTGCCTGCTTTTGGCGTTCGCCGGCGCGAACGCCGGCGGCCCGACCCTCGTCTTGCTCGACAATCTCGCGATCAAGGAGAGCCACTCCATGTTCTTCAAAACGTTGCAAGGTAATTTCCTGTGATAACATTCTCACCCTTCTGTTTACACTGATCATCAGTGATATCGCTGATACTTCGATCGCTCCGAGCGATTTTTTTTGACAACATTTCCCGAAATTTTCCAAATATGTCAATAATATCAATCGTAATATCAATAATATCAATTTAAATACAAAACTCCAGCTGTGTCTGTAAACATTATCAGTCAATAAGAAGAAATGTTTTGATGTACTTCAGTCTCTCCTGTCAAGTAGATTGTTCGCTACTTTTAAGATACTTAAAAATGTATGTTTTATGTCTCTTTGGTGAATTTTAAAATCATGTTGCAGATAGTGGCTACGCGTTGACCTACAAGCTGGCTGATGACGCAAATTTGCAACTTTCCAAATACGGTGAATACTTGTACGAACATCTGATAATATTCGCACCAACGGTCGAAGAGTTCGGCGGTGCTCTGAGCGTGGAAGCGATAACGGAATTTATAGACGGAGGTGGGAACGTTCTGGTCGCTGGCTCCTCACAATCCGGTGATGCTCTGCACGAATTAGCGTCCGAATGCGGCTTGGAAATAGACGAAGAGGGCTCCGCCGTTATCGATCACATGAATTACGACGTTTCCGACAGCGGTCAGCACACCACTATAGTAGCGGATTCGGTGAATCTGATAGACGCTCCGGTTATTATCGGAAGCAAGGATGTTCCTCCGTTACTGTATCAAGGAACCGGGCTGATTGCTGACGCGGACAATCCTTTAATTTTACGCTTACTGTCAGCGTCCAGTTCGGCTTACACTTACAATCCTGACCACCCGGTCAAAGAATATCCGCACAGCGTTGGCAAAAATACGTTGCTTATAGCAGCCCTTCAGGCCAGAAATAACGCGCGAGTTCTGTTCTCGGGTTCGCTATTTTTCTTCAGCGACGAAGCATTCACCAGTCCAGTTCAAAAAGGACAAGGTATAATAAATAACACAATAAAACATGTTTGTGTTAATTCTTCAAAGTGTTTTTTTGTAACACATTTGTTTAAAATTTAATCGATTGCAGGTGGTCAGAAGTATGAGAAATCCGGCAACCAAGTTGTGGCCAAGGCAATGGCGCAGTGGGTGTTCAAGGAAAACGGCGTGATACGCGTGTCGTCCGTTCACCATCACCGAGTCGGCGAGACAGAACCGCCTGCCGCGTACACAATCATGGACGACGTGGTCTACTCGATCGAGGTCGAGCGGCTGTTGGACGGCAAGTGGATACCCTACGAGACGAATGATTTGCAGTTGGAGTTTGTGCGTATCGATCCGTTTGTACGCATGACCATGAAGCCGGTAGGAAACGGCCGTTACGAAGGCAGATTCAAGATCCCCGACGTATACGGTGTATATCAGTTTAAAGTGGATTATACGCGCATCGGATTGACGCATCTCTACAGCACCACGCAGGTCTCCGTTCGTCCGCTGCAGCACACACAGTACGAACGCTTCATACCGAGCGCATTCCCGTACTACGTGAGCGCGTTCTCCATGATGGGTGGCGTGTTCCTGTTCTCGCTTGTATTCTTGCATTACAAGGAGGACGCAAAGGTTAAATCCGAATGATGTGCACGAACAGTGTCGTTCTTCATTTCTCTTTTTTTTCCTTCGCGGATCATATTATCGAAATAAAAGTGCATAGCGTTGCGTCTCTTTGCTTTGGAAAAACATGCAAATTGAAAAAATCCGCGAAAGTAAGTGTGAATAATACGTAATGCGCACTGAGTCCGCAAGTTTGACATTTGATAGTAATATATTTTCTCCGTACCAGCGCACTCAACTGAATAACTTAATTGAAAGCTGTAAAAAGCAAATAGAAGTTTTTATTTTGTACATGTACGTTACGTATAAGAGAATAAAATAGTATATATTGTAAGTATATTACAAGTTCGTTATAATTGTGGTTTTTCTTGTTGAGAATGATGGTTACTTTTTTTTAAAAATCTTGAGAGAAAGCTCGCGAGTGAACTACCGTATATTCTTGTACTGTAAACTTGGATAAGGTCGCGCTACAAAAATGCTTTATTCTCTTTTCTCTATTCCTCCTTAAATGTAGACAAAGATAAGAATTTTAGTAAAATTATTTTTATGTATTCGTTGTTTTGTGATTTCTAAGAAATTTCTTTCAATTTTGCAAAATTTTATTTACGAATATAATTGTTTATTAATATATTTGCACACAGTTCATTAAATATATAATAAAATTGTTGTGTGATTCGATATCTTTCATAAACATGTCAAAAATGTCAATTAAATAAATAATTCAGTAATATTTTGTATCATGTTGTTTTCCTAAATAAACTTTTACATGCAATAAATTTATTGATTTAGTATCCAAGTCAGAAAATAACTCTGATACGGGGTATTTAAAGGAAATGATTTTTTTCCCGCAAATACATAGTATAAAAAATCACAGATAAAAGTAGATAGATTCTTAATAATCTAAACATGAAAAAAGACAAAATACAGTTTTGAGTACAAAAAAATTGTTTAATCAATATAATCAATACAATAAACGTTTTGAGCCCATGTTCGGATTCTCGTCAATAAAAAAAATAGACAATAAAGATTATGAAACTATAAAAAATCTGTATTCGATCAAACTGCATATTAGCGAAAATAACCTATTTTCACAGAAAATATGAAGATCTTTGGTTGTGCTCAAATATTTTTATACAAAAACTTACAGTGTTAAATCACCTACAAGTAATAATAACACGGCTAATAAGTGCAGACATTCGGACATTCGATTTCTGATCATGTTTTATTTTCCGCAATAGCGACTGATTTCTTTCAACACAATTTGTGATTTTTTTCTACACAAATCAAGCATCAGATGTAAAATTCAAATAAAAAAATTCGTGTAATGTATCTCTTACTATTAGCCGAATTATTGCTTCTTGCAGATTTACAAAAAGTCATTTATAAGGGCAGTCTTTAGGCTGAGTTACTTAGCATCCTGTACAAAATCTTACAATTTTTTTTCTTTTTTTAACATAAAGATATTTGTACTAATATTGAGCAGGAAAGGCAGACTGAGTATTTCTTTTTCCACTGTCGAAGAAACATGTGGAAAACAATCACAACGCTTAACTTCATCCCGGACGGTAAAAAGGCATAATACATATCAATGTATGCGCGCAATATGTCGCGTCATCATTGATTATGTATTAATATATCACAAATTAATTGATTATGTATTAATATATCACAAATTAATAATCATTGCAAATATATACATATAACTCTTGCAATCGATTCATTGTTTAAATTGCAATCTGTGTTACTTACATTTAAAACAGTCATTGATTGCTCTATTCGTATTGATCCTCGAACAGATATTTTGTGTGTTACTATATACTAAACATAATATATTCATCTTCTATATCCTATATTTTTTTGGCCATGGTAGGCAATGGCAACGAATTTTTGCTTGTAACAAGGATAATACTGTTGGTTTTTCTGCTTATGGGGAAATATTGCGTATTGTTTCTGATACTTATTAGACGTAAATGGCTGAAACTTTTCCTGCTTCAATATATTCGCAAATATCACGGAGGATTCGTCCCTTGTGAGCAGAGGCGACACGCCAGGACCATTTGCGAATTCTTGTGCGGTCAAACTCAAAAATCTTATTTTAGAAAGCGCATTTCCGACAACAGACTTCATCGACTTTTCATTGGTCGGATCGAGAGACTTTCTACGACATTCTGATTTCGCCCATCGCTCCACCGCACGAAATAATTCTATCTCCGAACTGATTTGCAACTCGTTCTGCTCCAAAATCGTGAGAACTGTAGTCAATTGCACATCTTCCCAGCTTGGATCCCTGAATATCGTCACCGTATTCGTGCGTATGACGTACATACACTTGTCCATTATTACGGAATCGTCGAAAAGCCTGGCGAATTCGTATATCCTGCAGGCATTCTCCGGCAAGATTTTGGAATGCACATATTTCATACATTCTTCCACCAGCAACGTCACTATGTATTTTTGAGCGCAGTAACATAATTCAAAAGCCAACTCCAAAGAGTCCAACTCGACTTTGTCTGTGTACATGTACTTCAAAAAGATCTTGAACACCTCAGGCTGTATATCTTTTATTGGTATCAAACTACTTGTCTCAGCCATGACACCAAAGAACATGGCCTCAAATACTGGACTGAACTTTGCCAGATACACTTTGTGACATTTAACAATTTCCTGCTGAGGTTCTTCTCCTAGAACAAACTGGCAATCTGACCACTGTCCAGTCTTCAACAGTACCTCACCATGTCCCAAGAGCTTGTCTATGCTCCAACAGTCAAGAGGAGACTCCATATTGCACACAATGCAGTAACTAGATATTTGTGTATATACACCTCCCACTGTGAAAGAAACAGAGAGTTATTCAAGTGAACTTGGAAATATGTGGAAAACATAAGGCAGATCAATTTTTTAGATTTTAAATGACGCTTCTAATTGAAAAAAAAAAAAATGCTTCAATGAAAAACTTTGTTTTATGGCTATTGCACACAACATCAACGCTCGCCACGCGGTCGAAAAATTGGTTAAAGAAAATAACGCAGTGGTCATACATTAACGACTCGTTTCTTTGAAAATAAATAGCATATGCTCTCGAAAAAAAAACGAGATGATTGATCGCGTTATTTCCTAATTATTAACTTGAGAGACGTGCGGCAAACATTGCCAAGCGTCGCGTTCTGTGTGCAGGAGCCATTACTGTCGCGCGAGTCAGAAACGTTCTCGGTCAATTGGAATTTCAATTTGTTGTAATAAATTTTATAAATAAAGTAAGCAAATAATCATTGACTCGCATCATTAAAAAAATTACATCCGTACACGCATTATCCGAGACAACGCACGTGGTCGCGTGTGTGCAAATAAGATACTCACCTATTTTCAAATAGAGTACAGGCCGTTATGTGTAAATAGCAACGCGCAAGAAATTCCTACGCTCTGGAGAAGCAAAAGCACGTTTTTCTAAGGAAACAAAAAAACTTTCTCGAAATTTCGAAGATGCTCCGAAACTTTCGGACACTCCTACTTGCTTCTGCTCCTACAAGAATTACGCTGGTACTGCAGCTGATGAATGAAACAAGTTTTGGTTGGGCAACAATCCCCACCACGAGCGTAGTAGTAGTCGACCGAGCTGGCCGGCTCCACAATGTCCCATTCAATTGTCCGAATTGACAAATGTGATTGGTTGCGAGCATCAAGTTGATTACTATTTCTCAATCGCGAAAAGCTAGCGTTTTTCATTCGCTGCAGCACGAATTGGCTCGTGTAGTTCACGTGCGCAAAATGTGGACATCGTAGCGCTCTGGGGCGAAAAAGGATGAGAAACGCGCGTCCACGGAGGTCGCTCTCAGGCTTCTCTCTGCGCGTACTCCGTTGTCCGGTTTTAACCATAGACGTATAATATATAGANTGCGCGTTTGGCTGAAAAGATGTCTTCAACGTTGAGAGAGACAACATACTTTGAATAGTAACTCTTTCTCTGTCTATCACTTACCTCACTACTTTGCTAGACTAAGATGAGGCTACTATTCAACACCAGCTGTCTCTCTCTCAACGTTGAAGACATTTTCTTAACATGGCAAAGGTAGGGAACGCGCAGTCTATATATTATACGTCTATGGTTTTAACAAAACCGTGAGTCGCGCTGACGTGCCTACGTACTCGTGTGTCCGTGTGTCCCCCCCCTTCGGAGTTAGTGGTGGTCGCTAGTGATTGGTAGTGATGTGGAACTTTGCAATAGTGAAAATATGATGAAAATAATCCGAATTGCACACGTGTTTTCGCTCCTCGCAATAATTCTATGCACGATAACGCAATGCCTGGCCGCACTGTCCGACAAACAATTATGTTATGACCCCGATTGCTCGAGTAAGTGAAGCCCTACACTATGCCACTAAACTCTCCATATAACACGTTTTTTCCATTTGTCATTCCCAATCGCATATGCGTTACAAATTTTGTTGCTTGTTTTGTTATTCAGAACCCATTTCAATGGCCAGGACTATACTCTCTTACAGACCGATTGATCCCGAGTTGATGGCGTTTGGCCTTAATGTAGATGTTAAAGTTTTTAGTAAGGGGGCTGGAAAGAGAACGGATTTGTGGGGTGTCGAGGTATGTTTTACACGCTATATATCTGTATTGAGCATTTATTAAACATACTGTATTTCTACCGATAATATTTTTACATTTGTATGCATTTTAAATGTTTACTTGTACACATACATGTCGTGTACAGATTGATGTTTTTTTTTTAAATATTATAACAAGATATTTTCTCTATGTGTATATGAATCTCTGAATTTTTTTAATCATAGATAAGCGGTAAACGTGGATTTGTACCAAAAACATTTTTAAAAGAATACAAAGTCTTGCAACATAAATTGTCATACGAAGTGCCTGTTTATAAGTTTACTGGCGAGGTAAACAAAGTACAAACCACCACACTTGATTCAATAGAAAAACCACATCCTCCATTGAAAGATGAGGCGCTAAACAATAAAGAGACATCATCGATCAAATCCGTAGACGAAAATGGCGATCAGGAATCAAAGGCGATCAATCCGGACAGCACATTATCTCCCTACGAAGTAATAGATGGTACTACAGTTTATATGGACGTGCCATCTGTATCGTCCAGTTCTGTATCCGATGTTGCACAGCCTAACAGATTAGCGAATGAACAAGATGCTGTTTTAGAATCAGTTACTGATACTAAAACAGATACTAGTCACAATGAACCATTGTCTAACAAGAATTCATTTGTCAATGATAAAGAATTTCAAGCAGACGCAGAAGATGCTAGTATTGAAGTAATTAAAACAACGAATACTGCTGAAGAGGACAGTAGTGAAGTACACTTAGAAAGTTCAGAAGCAATAGAAGATGCAATTTTGAGTACAGAAAGTAAAGATGATATTTTAACACTTAATGGGAACAGCAAGTCTGTAGAAGATGAACCGTCTGAGATTGCGGAACAGGAAGAAAAATCGGATAACAATGCTGAGGAAAGTATAGCGGAAGATAAGAAAGAAGAAGTTACAGAAGACAGTGCGAAAAATGAAGGTATATTTGCGTCACTGACCAACACGTTCAAAATGTTGTCTAGTTCCGATACAACTGCGGAAGATACTCAAAGCAGCGATAGCAGTTTACCTGCCACTGAAGTTACCACAGAGAACAATTCACCAAAGGAAGTAGCAAAAGATAAAAGTGAAGATGTAACTGACACAATTCCAACTGTTCAAGAGGTAGATACAAATCTTGATTCAGATTTTACAAACAAAGAGAAAGTAGAGATAGAGCAAGAAGTCAAACACGAGAATGTAGATAAAGAAGCATCTTCAGTTCCATCGGAAACTACTGAATCTTCAAGCAATGTGCCTTCTGATAATTTTTTACATGTAGATGCTGATAAGCACTCTAACGAACCGGCTTTGATTTCAAATGATACTTCAACTTTTGCGAAAACCGATAATAGTCACGTGAATATTCAAGTACAGGAAGTAAATGAGAAACAAATTACAGGTAGTATTGTAGAAGAATCGATCGTTTCAGATACTCGAGAAACTGTAACGGAAGAAAGTGGCACTGATCAGAAGAGTAATGACATTGACCAGAAGCTACCACAAAATATTGATAAAGTTCCAGAAATTAACAAATTTTCGTCTCTTGAGGAAACCACGGAAAGTAACAAAATTGAGTCACTTCCTGAGAGTCACACCGTTGAGGAGAATACAGAGATTGCGGACGAGACATTGAGTCATAGCGCCGCGAATAGCCAGCCAAACGAAAACGTAATTGTACATACCAATGTAAATAAAAACGATAATTTAATTACCGAATCTATCTCTGACAATGTTCCTAAACAACCGAACGAGTTCTCCGACGGCACGAAGTTCAGCAGTGTGGAGCGATCCGTAGATTCTAGTCACGAGAGTGTGATCTCGGAGAAAACAACGACTTTCAATCAGGATCCTCAGAATCAAAATTTATTCAACATTGAAGGAGACTCGGAACGTACAGACAGTAAGTTAAATTAACGAAACGATTAATGATATGGAAAAACTTTAAATTAAATGATATCAAGTGTAGCATATAGGTATGTCTAAATTTAGACGCTTTGTATGTTTAGTTGAGAGTCAAATAGTCAGCTCTGTGAAAAATGAAGAAACCTTGCTTCATGATGATCACAGAGAGGAGAAGGTTGCGTATAAAGACGAAGATGATGCTGAGAGATTAGAATCAAAATCTGTATCTGTAGATCAAGGTGTGAACTGTTGCTGTCTAAATGTATAATGCTGCTTTTCTTAAACATGTACAATGACAATAGTTTTGCTCAATTTCAGATGAAGCTTGTTTGCTCGATGACAAGTGTACAACTGAAAGTATAGCAACCGAGTTGCCAGAACAAGTAAGTCTCACAGAATTATATTTTCGTGATAATCATATTCCAACTGATTTACTTAATGTACATGATAATCTACAGCACGTGGAAGAATCTAAGGTTGAAGAAGATGACTTCGGAGTGAACGTAACAAACTTGGATTACAATTATTGGAAAACATTGATATATCTGTGCGTAACAGCTTTCACAACACTCGTCTTTACTCTCGGATATTATTACATTGAGGTACATAATATGATATTCTACTTTTACATAACAAGATCGTAAAATGATCGCTCTGATTACACATGATATACTGTAACGTTTCGTGACGAACACTGTGATAGTCAAAAACACAATTAAGTAAATTAAGTCAAGATGATTGCACACAAGTAAACTTTGTTGACAAATTTTTTTTCTTTTAAAAATTCCGTCGAGCAGAATACAAGGAGAGACGGGCAACTCATAGCGAGAATCAACGAACTCGAGAAAAAACTTTTGGTCTCGACAAAAGAGTGCGAGGTACTTAGCGAAAATCTGAAGACCACCGAGAAGAAGGTGAGCAAATTAATTCCGAACCATTTTTTTTTTTTTTTGTTATTTAAATTGGAATATATACGTCATTGTGCTAAAATATAAATATTTCAGTTGAATTGGCTCACAGATGATTCACTCGGTTCTAACGAGATGGTTGCGTCGCTGAAAGCTGAATTAGAAGCGTCACAGGTATATGTGCAGCTATTGTTTGTTTATATACGCGTACAAGTTATAAAAATATTATATTCTCCTACATGCGAATCTTTCTCTCTTGTAGATCATGAGGACAGAGTTGGAAGAACAAGTGGCCATGTTGGAGAAGGATTTGGAAAATGCAACAGAAGCTGGATTGGAACTTGAGAAGATGTTAAGCGCAGTTATATCGTCGAACAATGAAGTCAGTCCATTGGCTAAGTCGATCGAAGATTTGCAAGCACGATTAGATGCTCAACAAACTGCAAACGAATCCCTATCAAACGCGTTGAATCTTAAAGCTCAAGAGGTAAAAGTTCAATTTGCTCACTTTATTTGCGCACGTAAAATATTTATACGTAGATAAGTTTCTTTTTTATTTTGATTTCAAGAAAATACTTTTCGTCCTTTTATTTACAATTTTTAGTTTTTCTCATTTATTTGCTTTTAATGGTTAACAGATAAATTTTTACGTAAACAACTGGGGATAAATAAAAGAGATGTATATTTTGTTGCAGATCGAAAGCCTATCTACGGAGCTCGCTTCTTTTAAGAGAAAGTGTAACGCACTTGAGATAAAACTTTCAGAAACGCAGAATAAACTGGCGACTCAGAGTGAACTCATGAATAACATAGAAGAAACACTAACGGATAAAATACACGATTTAGAGGAGCAAGTTAATGGAGTAAGTTTGGAGTGTTCTCTTTCTCTTTAGAAAAAAATCACTTGTTGCAAAAGTTGTGTGTATAACTTCGGAGAAAGACATATGAATCTAGAAAATATTTGTTTTCAGCTAAGTATTGAAAAATCGTCGTTGTACAAGGAGTTGAAAGCGAAAGAAATAGAAATGAAAGAACTGACGGAAATGATCAGTCAAATCAAGTCAAACAACTTGGATTTGGAAAAGTTGTACGACGTGTCTCGCGTTAAGACCGAGGCGGCGTTGCTGCGCGACGAAAGGGACGAATTAAAAATGCGATTAAACGACGTCGAGGGCGCTCATCAATTATTAGAAGGTATTTTTTTTTTTTTTTTTGAAAATAACAACCAGCTTAAATTTTGTCTGTCATAATGAAGACTCTTGATGAGAAATTAAATTTTGTCGCACTAAAGATATATATTTCTATATTGCAGAACACATGCAGCTTGTTAAGGAGGAGATAGTTGCGCTAAGCGATCAATGTAAAATGGCTGAGAATCAGTGTAAAATAGCTGAGAAAGACAAAAAAGATGCGGAAACACGGCTCGAAGTGTTAACGAAGTTCTTCCAAGAGAAAGAAAATGAGCGCCAGAAGTGAGGATTAATTTTTTAATTAAAAAAACTGCGTTGCGCCCTCAACTGAGTGATTTAACACATTGCAAATAATTCTTCTAGGGAAGAGGCTATCTGGTTAGAGAAACAAGGAGAAGTTGTCTCGACAGTCGAAAGAATACACACGATGCAAAATGAGATACAAGGTTATAAGTAAGTACAAAATTTGTCAGAGTAGAATTGTGTGGCTTAGAAATGGGAATCAAATAAGTATGTCAAAAAAAAGGACCAAGTGGGATCCAAACGTTAATACGTACTTCGATTTGTTTACTTTAACAGTTTTTTAAGAAAGTTTTTATTTTAGACAACAAATAGAAATGTTAAAACGAGAAATCGTCGATCAGGAAAGAGAATACAAGAATCAAATATCTGCCTTGGATAAGAAAGCGCATGAACAATGGGTATGTGTGTTTGTATGCTAGTGTTCGAATTGTATATGTTAGTTTGTGAAAATTCTTACGTGAAATCTTTTTTCTTCATAAGATTGCTGCCCGGCAGAACGAGCGCCGTTTGGTAGAATCGAAAGCCGAAGCTGGTCAGTTACGTAATCGCCTCACACTGGTAGAAAAGAATTTAAACGATTCCGATGCCGAGGCGAAGTTGCATCGTAAGTATTTTCGTAAAAAATCTCATCATGTGTTTACGTATTTGATAAGAAATTCAGTAAAGAGAAATTTCTAGCACAATACCTAGTTTGAGTCAAACTGTATAATTAGAAACACGTGTATTCGTTACTTTTCGTAAAAAAAATGTACGTATAATTCGTAAAAATCTTATGAAGATCACAATGTACAGTAATGTTGCAATCAGTAGAATAGCGAGAGTAAGGTAGTAGTTTCTTAGAGAGAGTAGTTCAAATTTTTACTAATATTATCCTCTCAGACAATTAGCGCGTCAGAAATGTTCGGGTTCATCTGCAAACTGGTGGATAACGCGAGTTATTGCCACTATAATTTCGAGACTTTCTAGTTTTTTGAATTAATTTCCGAACACAGGCCTGGAAGCGAATGGAGACACAACGACCTCGCCGTCGTTGTTTATCGGAGCGGAAACGTCCGGTTCTCCCGTAATGTTTAGCGGTTCCTCGACTGTTCCACCGCCCCCGCCACCTTACTATCTACCTTGTTTCACGCCATACATGCCGCCTCTGCCACCAGTCCCGCCCGGTTTACCACCTTACGACATCAGTCAACGTCCTCCACCTCTGGGCGGCCGATTATCATCACCCCCGCCGCCGTTGCCACCATTGCATCCCCCTCCCGCTTCCGGCGACAGGTACGAGAACGCCGGTTCTCCGCCGCTGCTGATGTCTCCGCCGCATTTACTTCCTCCGTTCGGCCGTCACAGATCACCGCCGCCTCCTCCTTCCTTTGGCGGTGACCACATCCCACCTCCTCCTCCACCCGGCTCTATATTACCTCCTCCACCACCCCTCGGAACGACGCATCCATGGGGGGAAAAATCACTGCCGCTCCCGCGCAATTCTGGTTTCCATCCTCATCAACGAGAGCAGCGTGCACGCAATCACAAAGGTTTGTAAAAGAAAAACAATCACGTGATTGAGAGTAACACGTGTCACTACATGTTCTTTTACTTGGATGTCGCACACATTGTTATAAATATCTAACTTTCCGCTTCCGTCTGTTCAAAGAACTAATCTGTTTTTGTTGTTATTACTGTCTGTCTGTTTTTGTTTTTTGTGCATGCAAGGACGCAAACGTTTCTCTAAAGTGAGACAATTTTGGAATACTATGGAAGGAAATAATCCCAAATAGATGCGAATAGATTATATATATCTGCATATATATATATATATACATATATATATATATACGTATATGTGTGTGTATATATATAATTTCGGTAAAAACTACTTATTTCTCTCTCTTCTGTCTCTTTTTCTATAATTTGTAATGTGTTAATATATTTCTCGCTCGCGCGTATATACTTTACGTCTCTTTCTTTTTCTCTCTCTCTCTCTCTCTCTCTTTCATAATAATTCTAAAAACTAATTAAAGGTATGTAATTTACTTATATAATAAAAATACCTTATTTACAGGTTCGTTACATTCTTCAGGAGAATCATTAGACAAGGCACATCACGGGAAAGTTTAAGTTTTGTACCATGCTATTCATATTTCATACTTGTACAAAGGCCAAATCTATCACTGTAACAGTGACGGACTCATTGTATAAGAATTTCAAGTAAATATGAATATCTGATGCTGCAATGTTTTTACGTTAAGCGTCACCTGTCGAACCGTCTTTAACATCAGTGCGGCCTGTAGCTTTATATTTCTTAGTTTTCCTTATAACACAGATATTTTCGTAATTCTGTAACAAAACATCTGTAAAATATGCCAGAAATTCCGCTCTTCGCTGTAACTGAGTTTCCGGCATATTTTACACTTTCGAGTATGATGATGATATTAACTATCTAGGCAAAAAACTGAAGTATTAGTATAAAGCTATAGAACGCAAGAATTGTGTCATTTCTTGCTTCTGACATTTATAAAAACCATTATAATGGCTGTTCGACGGGTAGCTCGATCTTTTTGTGTCAATGTCAAATTGATTCAGTAGACAAAAAAAAAAAAAAAAAAAATCACGTCTGTCAGCGCGCGTTCTTACGTCTGTGATTATTATATATGATAAAATGCAAAGTATTGTTTCAATTTCATATTATTTTCACACTGTTTAGGGAAAGCAACTTATCGTTAATTATATATCGTGTAAAATAGTATAACGTGACGACTCTTTTGTATTATTCTGAGAAATGGAGTATATTATGTATAATATATATACATATATATATATTATATATATATATGTGATGAATTATTTGTAAAAACTTCGTACTGTAAAAAATATTTATACGTTTTAATTGAATTGTGTGCAACAAAAAAAAAGGGAAAGAAAACTTGAAAGGCACACAATACACACTTGTAGGTAAAATTATACATACATTTTTCTGATAATAACATGCGCATACTCTAAACATCAGATGCTCGAGTATATACTAGCGGATAAAGGAATATTGTAATACAATTCTTATAACCCATTGTAGAGAATCAAAAATACAACTGTTATATGGTTTTAAAAATTGAAATAAATTGTAATTTATTATGATTTGGTGTGTATTTCATCCGAAATTTTATCGTTAGACAAAAACAATTTATAGTTTTCAAACATGAAACTATTTGCTTTATATAAATTTTACTTATTTATTATTATAGAAAGATTTCTTTTTTACAATTTATATTCAGCAACATGCGCGACGCGTTATATATATGTATATATAATATAATATGTATATATAATATGTATATATATATATATATATATAACATATATACATATATTATATATATACATATAAATTGTATTTAAACAGTACTTACAATATTCACAATTGAAGGAAACAGGAATGCACAGAATATCTCTCATTTAGTCTATGTTACATGTGTCGTAGCCTTGTAAAAATCCTTTTTTTTTTGCAACTCTATCACAAATAACGGATATGGATGATGAAGTAATGATATATATGAACAATTATTTTTGTGTGTAGTTATGACAAGAACACTATAAAAAATATGAAGAAAAATATCAGAACCCCGAATATTTTGATCATCAGCCATCTATTGCCCGTCACAGATTGAAAGTATTTTAATATCTCGGTGTGTGCCGCTACCACATTCATTTCGGTTTCCTCTATGTTGCTGTCTATTCTGTGAAGCAATCATAAGAAATTCAATATTTATGCGTAAATAATATTTATATGTAGAAGATAATGTTTTAAAGTAACTTTACCTTTCAACCATTTCTTCTTGCTCTTTAACCATATGCGCCAATTGTTGGAAAATGCCACCTAATTCAACTATAGTGGATTCTATATTCTGCATTGTTTCAGTTCTTGATTGAACGTACGCATCCTTGAAAATACAAACATGCATATGTATGATGTAAAGATCGACTTGAATGGTTGACATTGTTATAACAATGGATCTTCTTCAATAATGCTTTTTTGTTTCCACTTACTGTGTCATCTTGTATAGCTTGTTGCATAGTTGTTAACTGATGGTTCATTATTGGTTCCATCACTGAATTACTAGAAGCTTCTTCTTGCAGTAACAAAGAACCTTGTCGACCCGAAACAACACTTGGGGGAAGCATGGTGGACAGAGACCCTTGAGTAAATTGCTGTCTTCTGCTCTGTTCTTCCCTCATATTCTGTATAAATTTGTACATTAACATAAAACTGTATCTATTTTTCTATAAATTTTCACAATTATTACATACACTTTCTTTTTCTCATTAACATTAATCAACTGTGCAAATCCATTAGCAGCAAAATATAAAATGCCAACAAATATGTATACACATATGTATGCACATGTGTGGCTTCTAATTCTTTTAATTTACATACATAAATACAATACAAACCTCAGAACGAACTTCCAAAACACTTTTAAAGTGATTAGACATGTTTGCCAGTTTTGATTGTAACGTCATCACAATCGAGGAGGAATGCGAAGCAATGTGACGACTCTGAGAAGAACCGAAAAATTCTCTTTGGCTCTTCCCGAGATCTTGCAACTTTCCAATTTGATTGTTCAAACTCTTCAGATCCGTTTTTATAATAGTCGTAAGCTCGTCGATTTCCGTCTGTCTGTCATTGAATATGGACTTTTTCTTGGCCACTGAAACATAAAATTAATATTACACACAACGTAACATATTTCGCATTTTTTCGACCGGATTCGCACACACACTGAATCCTTACATAAAGCGAGTTTATCCAGTTTGGTATACGTGCTGGCGATATTTTTGCTAATATTCTTGGCGATCATCATAAAATTCGAATAACTCTGCACTTGGTGCCTGCGAAGCGGATTCTTCTGGTTCACCATGGTGGTTTGCGTGGTGATGGCTCGGCTCTGCATCGAGCGGATCGCGTTGACGAATTCGTTGGTTCTGTCGCGAGACGTCATGGTCATCGTTGTTGCGGATCGTTCGTTTGACAGGTCGACGTTTTCCTCGCTCAACAATCTGCCCGCCGCGTTGTCGTCATCGTGACGATACAACGAACCATATGATCTCGCGCCTGCAAAATCGCGTTCTACCTCGCTCCCACCGACGTGACGTCTGCGTGCTGACATCGCAGCATCCTCCTTTCAGATTTTACCACGTGCGCGTATATCACGAGAATCCCGACCTAGACGCGGTTCGAAATCGCATCAGCGAGATTTTGACGAGCGCGTCTGCTATAGCATAATTTCTCGACACCCAACACCAATCGGGAACACCAAGCGGGATATGTCACGATTCAGCAGACGTGTAAAAGTGCCAAGTGTCAGTTTTGCTTTTTTTTTTTATCAAAAAGAGAACGGCTACGAGCGCATCTTGTGGGTTTCCGTTCGCGAGCGCCGCGATCGGTATTCCGCGCGCTTACTTACGAACCAACTCGGTGAATAAAAAAGCTTACTTTATCGATTGATTCGGTTCTTTTCCGCGTTATGTGCGCGCGCATCGATTCGATAAGTTTCGATAATTTTCGAGACTTTTGTTGTTTCGCAGAGCGGCATTGCACTTTTCCGGATTTTCTTTTTTTTTTTTTTTTTTTCGCAAAACCGCATCGATTGACGTAATTTACGCCCAACGCCGATGAGATGTGGTTGAAGGTAAACTAAATTATATAAATAATTAACAAAAATACACTATTCAATCAGTGTTTTTTTATTGAGTATTCGTGGAGGTAACGTCGCGACGGTAATAAAACCCGTATGGCCGGGTAACGAGTGAATGTGAGCGGCTGTGAGGAGTTTCTCTTCTTGTTTCTCCCCCTTTTCATTTTTTGTCTCTACATCGTCGTTCGTGTGCTAAAATTAATTAAAACAATCATATCAATCTTGCAGATTTTGAACAACACATCCCTATGTGTACAAAAAATACCAAGTCTTCAACAAACAACAAATTGTACATACTTTGTACTTGAGACTTTCCAAATCTAGTACCGACAAAAATCTGTACTGAACATTAACTTCTCTTTGTAAACATTCATACGTGCTCAAGTCTGTAAATCCCTCGTAAGTCAGTGTCGAACAGGTGCGCTGAACCTGCTCGATACAAGGAGAAAAGGAACAGAGTTTTCCACCTGTTAAAAATCGAACGAGGCATTGTTTACACACATTTATTAAGCTACAAAGAGAGAAGATATTAATGTTTAAAATTAACGCTCGATAAGTAGAATGAATTCTCACCCGTGTTTTTTAAGGCAACAACAGCGTGCTTTATGGCGAACCACGGATGTGGAAGATCTAAGAAGACGGCGTCAACTGTGTGCTTCAAGTTCTCGCCAAATCCTTCCGTGTAAACGTCCCGTTTTTGCACGGTGACAAAATCGCTCAGGCCGTGTCTCTCGAATTCCGCGCTAACTTGGGACACGCGTTGCTCGTGAAAATCAAAAGTGTACAAGTATCCGTGCGGACGTATCGTTCGAATCAGCGAGTGGGACAGGGAGCCGCTGCCGGTACCTAAATTGCGAGAACAACTTTGTGAAAACACAATAGGATTGTCATTGTTTCGATGGATTTACCTGTTTCGATAATTATACTTCCAGGTCTGAGATCCATGAGATACGTTATGAGACTGATATCCGGACTGTAAACAATCTGGGTTCTGTGCGGTAACGTCAGCGTCCACAACTCCGGTGTGGGTTGCAACACGTAAGCCCAGCCACGGGTAAGCTTCACTTTCGAGCCGTACTTCTGTCCGACAAGTGAAATGACTTTCAACGCGCCGTACACGGTTTGAAACACATTGTTTACAATCTCTCCTTTCTTGTTTGAAACTTTTGCTTTCACTTCCAAGGAATGCATGCTCTTGGGATTCAAGTACAGAATAACCACATCTCCTTCTTCTATAACTTCCTTGGTTTTGTTGAAACTCATCTTTTTCTCAGAAAATTGTTGTTGATGTTTAAATCCCAAAGATCAGGTTAGGTGGTTTACCCTTTAAACAAACTATCCCTTCACCCACGTGACACGTTGTTTGCGCTGGACAACTGACGTTGGGTCATCGATCGATGTTCCAACGAGAAGTCGGTCCGACGATCGCGAGAAGGGAGAGAAGAGAATTGACCGATCGCAGTGATCAATTGGCCGAATTGTTTGAAATTCGATTGGTCAACTATCTTTCTTTGTTGGAAATCCTGATCTTCGAGCACCGTGAATACAGGGTTTAAGGAAAGGTTCAAGCGAAGTGTTTCAAGGGCAGTTGCTGCGCATGTCAAGCGTCACTCGTCACTGTTCGGGGCGCTGCCCATTTTTTTTACCTTAATGCTAGCGTTCTTAACCTTATCATCAGGAAACAACGCGAGAGAGCGCAGCGCAAATATGGGTAAGTTGATCCCAATTTGAAATGAATGTTGTTTCTTACTTCGCACGATTTCGCGCGTTAAATGTAAATCGACGTGATTGTTCGTTGTGCGACAAAGATCGGTATTCGGTGAAAACCCCCAAGCGAACGGGTGTCAATGACAACAAGGAGATTCCACGATCCATACGGTTGTAAACACAAAAGTCAAAAGCGACGTTCAACTTGTATAAAAAAGAGCCGATCCTTGATCGATAATTGACGATCCCGATTGCGCACCCGATGCAATTGACTCGTGTTGCGAGAGAAGAGTGACTCAAAAGACGAGAATTTATTCAGCTTTAACAGTTATATCGAGCCCGTAATTACGGGAGTCGAGACAATAATAAAACGTCACGCGCTAATTATTTCCGTCGACGCGAACGACACGCTACCGAGTTTGTGAATGAAAAAGAAGATCGTATATACGTGCGCGTATATGTGCGTGCTTGTTGTTAATGAAAAAACGAGATTGTGTGCGCGTGTTTATACTTGGAAGTGTTGCGTTATCTGACGAGTCTTCGGATAAACGCGATTAGTCATCAGTTAGCGGATTATGACACTGCGAGTTAGTCACTGATAATTCGTTTTCGGCGATTGTGCACGATCGCATCGCGCTCGTTTTGTTTTTCATATTTTTGTTCGATCGTCCGTCGTCTTCGTACGATTGTTATAAGATGGTAAGAGTAAGCGAAATACGTTCCGCCAACGAAGGTTTACTGATGCGTAGCAGATGCGCGAATGGCAGTTTGGATAGTATAGATAGATATTCCGAACATAGTTTCTACGGGATTGATACGAGGGAACGTAGCTGCAGTAAGTGCAAACAAATAACTTAAGATTAAATCATGTAACTACAGTTACATTTTTTGCACTAAAAAAAAAAACAAAGTCGAAACGATACAACTTGTTGCTATTAATGTTATCTGACTTCTTATTACCTATCTCTATATAAATTACGCAACTCAAACTAACTGCAAAAAATATTAACTTTTTCTATTTTAAGACTTGTTGAAGATCAGATGTTTATCAAGTTTTTCCGATTTAAACTGAACTATTGAAACTGTTTTGCTAATTATGTTTTTTTGTATATTTAATTTTTGATTATAAGTACGCAATAAAATGTATTTTTTATGAAAAAATATGATAAATATACTGAATAAATTTTCTCTTTATCAGGGAACATGTGTAACGATTGTATGGCCAGAGTGCCATACGCAACTCTCATAGCAACAATCATGTGTTGCTTGGGAGTTGGCATTTTTTGTGGAACAATGTACAGAGGAGCAACATTGTGTGCTCTTATGATGGACCAGGTACGTCAGTTCAGTAAAATATATTTTTGAAAATGGTTTGAGGATTATGCAATTTTTTAAATAATAAAATTGATTAGGTGTTCCACTTACATCTCGGATGGTTGGAAGCTGTGCAACTTGTGTTCGCATCAATTGGTGCTTGTATGGCAGCTTTGGGATTTATGATTCTTTGTGTTGGTTGCCTCGCAACCGGTGCCACAAGACACAAAGTCTATCGAGCTTGGAGATCCAGAGTAGGTGGACGTATCTCCTGTGCTGTTGTAAGTAATAAAACTTTTGTTTTCATTATCATAAGTCTATTTGATAACTAAAATTATTCTGTCTCTTAATTGAAATATTGTTATTTTTTCAGTTTATGACTATCATCTACATTCTGCAAATAGCTTGGCTTCTGATATTTGCATTTTTAGTTATCACAACACTGATATTCACAATATTCTGGGGTTTGTGCAACAACCCGCGTGTTCAGTCTCTCGACGAGTGCATTGATTTCACTCAGTTCGGTGAGTTCTCAATAATTTGAATCAAAACCTTTGATAAGTTAAAGTTTTTTAGGAACTGATAAAGTACATCTGCATTTTCTCTCTTTGGTTGCGTGAAAACTGAAAATCACTTTATGCCATTTCAGGTTTCTTGTTTCCAAACAACACGCGAGTGCAAGATATGCAGGTATGCGGAGCTCAGGAGGTCAAGCTCTTTTGCAAGGACTTTGTCGAAAAGGCCGAGGTGATGTTTATCTTGGCAACCGCGGCTGCCATGCTGGTCATTCTGAGTTTGATACACTACCTGATGTGCTTGTCTGCCAATTACGCGCACATACGGGATCACGAGAAGTTCCAGGATCTGCAGGAGTTGCAGTATATACAGGTCGCGGCCGATCCGGACTCACCCCAGCCGGGGATGGGCACTTTGGGCTCCTCCCGCGGCAAAGACAGATTCTAGGATACGGCCCGCGAGATCTTCACTCTGAATCCTTTGTAAGGAGCCTACTTACCAGGAATATGTAGGAAATCCTTATGCTCGATTGGAAATTTCTTCCGAGTACAATAGACTCTTGATACAAGTTAGTCTACTGTGCGCAATAAGTGAAACATGGAAGGTGATCGAACTAGTGCAGGTAAAAATATGTGTGAGTAGGAGGAGTAACTTATTCGGTGGATCTATATTCTGTAACTTGTAACGTACGAGTTACGAATCTTTGTCTTCAGACAAAATGTTTTGCAACGTACGTACATTAACGATCACGAATTTATCGTTACAAGTTACAAGTATAAGGAAGCTGGACTAACTTACATCGAGGGTTTATTTTCCTCTCTTCTCTGTGTACCTTGAACTCGGTATTCTGCTAGTTTACCGATATGAGGATCTTGCGGGAACCAACTCTATGCCGTCCATTTTATCTGCGACTGTCATGCGTAAGCATTTACTTTATTTTATATATAAAGGAGATTTATTACGGTGTACCATTTCATTTGTCGCGCAACAAATAGAACATACCAATTGGCTGCCGGTCGGATATGGTCTTTTTTGTGGTAACATTTGTTGTATATGTTTCGCGTACCTGCATATGTAATGTATAACTCTCCAGCCTATCTGTGTCAATAAAGACATTGTAGTTGTTTGCGGCCATATGATTGAAAGACTGTATCTCGTAGAAACTAAGTATCAATTAGAATACGGATAATATATATAAATTCCCTTTCACTATTTATCGGCCATCCGAAGACGATGGCTTTATAAAATCGAAATCTTAGTTTTTATTATGTAAACAAATCTAACAACTACGCGACGAAAGTTCTCTGTTTGTGTATTTGTCGGCAACCAATCGGTACGTTTCGTACGTCGTATAAATGAAATGGTAATTTTAGAGTAGAACATATATATATTATATATATATATATATATATATGAAGTGACCCGTGTCTCTGCTATAATCCGAGACTGATAATCAAAAGATCATGAATCCGATTGAGGGTCGTTCCTTTTCTATCAGGCAGTGTCGAAGTTACAACTTTATGTGTTAAAGACGTTTACGCCACTGCCTATACGCTGGCAACTCCACTGCTGTTACTTCACCACGGAATTTTTCCCTAAGAATAAAAATGTGTTCAGGCGCTTCTGTGGTTCGTACTATTCGCTTTAAAAGTTGTAGACGTCTTTAACGCGCTCGTGAAGATTTTAAAAGCTCGCTTTTCGAGCTTGGACTTGAATATTTAAGATTGTCCACATATCTCGCGTCTGTTTCTTCGTTCGTTTCTTATTTGAGTTGACATTTTGATTATCGAGCAAGAATTAGCACACTGTCTGTTCCCAGATACAATAATTTTCTGTTATTTTTCACTTTTACATGTCGGCTCATACGTAAGATTTTTTTTTTTTCACAGTGATTTAAATCCGTAAATTTGCAAACTTTTTTTGTGATCTCGGACGTATGTAAGTTATGTTTAGATGACATTTTGTAAACTCTTGCGCACATAGCTACAAATACGTGAAATCCTGACGTGTACGTGGTTTAAACGCACACAGAATGCAGCGCACAAAGAATTTTTTGTTTTTTTTAATTTTGTTTTTTATTTTGTTTTTCCGATATTACCGCCTAACGAGATTCAACAACGATTTAAAATCGTCACCGGTCTAATAGTTTTCGGTATTAGGTACTAATTGTTCTTGAACTTGTACGTGTACGTACAAACGGTATTCTAAATGTCTTCAGTACTGAGATTTTTTTACAAGGTATTTTTTATACATATACATATATGTTTACATACCGAACAAAGCATATGTATATTTTCGTTACATTCCGAATATTTAGAGTATGTTGGAAAAATGTGTGGGAGCTAAAATCGCGAACGTTAACAAAAAGAATAATTATTACTAACATTGTTTATATAACATTGTAATTAGGAGAGTAATTCATATTTGTTCTAAACGTTGTTGTTGCGAATTAAAGTTGCGTTGAATAATTTTTTTCCAACATATTCGATATATTTATGTCACTTGTGCAATTATACATAGGAAGCTCAGTTTTTTATAATTAAATAAGAAATTTGTCCTGAAAATTAAGTGTGACAAAACAAAAAAAAAAAAACGTAAAAATGTGCACGCGGAAGAATATATATCTCTAGATTGATAGATTCTGATAAGAAATCAAAATCTCTCTGCTACCTGTGCATGTGTATATCGACTCTTGTTGTGAAAAAAGCACAAACACAAATAAAAAAAATTTATATTTTTCCGAATAAAAGAATTTCTATTAAATGTATAAAAAGAAAAGATTGAATTCTTCTATGCACGTTAGTTGTGCCAAAAATTGAAAGAAGAAAAGACTTTGGCTCTGAACAATCGCGAGTTCTTCGAGAACTTCTTGTTTATATGTTATTACTTGCTCAAATCTTTATACAATTAAATTTTCGTGAAATGTGCAGGCAATAATTCTCGTGTTTTTTTTGTGAATAATTTGTTTTTTTGTTTTTTTTTAAATCTACGATATGTAATTGTAGATTTATATAAATTAAGTATTATACACACCTGATAAGTACATATCAAATGACAAATTTTGTGACAATTTTGTGACATTTGGACTTATATATATATTATTAATTATTACAAGTACGAATGGTTGTGTACAATATCAATATATATATATATAGAGAGAAAATAGAACATTATATATAATATCGAGGAAAAAAAAAACAAAGAAAGTCGATTTACTGTTCTCGTTCGGAAACAACTTTACGATGTATATTCTATTATAGCACTGAATAAAAAAATATTTCCCGCTTATAAAAAAGTTACGTTTACATGCGTGTATATTTTAAAATCTCGATATACTCTTTTGTGTGTTACAATATTTGTTTTATGCACTTTATACGTATTAGCTAAGATAGCGATAGTTAATAGATAAATTATGTACAGTTTAATTGTTAAATTACACATTTTTTTTTGTTTTTGTACAATTCTTCGTTCTTTACACGACGCTCAGTCCTCGTCAAACTGGAGATCCAGCTCCAGATCGAGGGCATTGACCTCTTGGAGGGTATTGATAAATGTATATCGTGAAAAAATCATGTACAACTTTCGAAACCAGACGTACTGGGACTTGTGCGCGGCCATAGCACTCTGCAAGAAAGACAATCACAGAGAGAAAGAGAGAAGAAAGTCAAACGGAGATATAAGACTTATCGTGAAATGATATATCCTCTTAGAACGCTTTGACTTACTTTGATTGTTTGTTTCTGCTCATATGTCACGAGATACCAGTACGAGGCTGAGAGCAAACTGATAGGCAAATCTAGGAACTGAACATACTTCCTGATTATATTAACGGACTCTAGGATATATAATTTACAATCTGAAACATGACAAATTGAAATATATCGCGACAGCTTCTACGCGCTACGTGTTGGCGCATAAATTGACCAGACCGAGAGACTCACAAGGAGGTACTTTCTTCTCTATACACAGTGCGGCGACCGCAAAGTACAGAGAGACGTGATTCTTGTGTCCGCTCACTCCGTACTTGTCGAACGTCACGACGGCATTGATTTTATACATCTCTATGTATTGCAATACACTCTCCGCCACAGTATCTGTTGGCCATTGCACGCTTTGGTCATCTGGTAACTCGCTACTCCTGTGCATTCATTGATTGGACTATATCACTCGGGAGATTAATACCTCTATTTTCGTTACATCCTCTCTGCATATTTAGTACCAAATGAAAAATTTATATAGTCCAATTCTTGTTTTTTTTTTTTTTTTTAAAAAGAGAAATTGAACAATTACATTTAGCATTAAATATGCAAGTAGAATAGAGAGATTTTTATACCTTCAGACATGTAAGCGATCTAAGTGAGAGTGTTATCAAGAGTACTTTGCGCAACACTCACATGATAATAGTTACATTAGCCTCTGGAATGCCCAGCACCTTTGTACATGCCCATAGCTCGTCTATTCGCTTTCTGTCCCCACCTGCAAACACACTGGTAAACATCAATAGACACAGCGTTCGCGTGAGTTATCCTGGAGCCTGCCTGGTTTTATACTCTCCGGATCGTTGCTCGCGATCTCGAACAGTAAAACACAGGTCGCCAGTGACATGTACCCATGGACAAGCAGAGCAGGTAGACCTCGCTGGTCTTGGCGCGCGCCAGCCAGTACACCAACGGCCCGAAGAACATCACCTCGTCGTCCGGATGAGCGATGACCAGAAGCAATCGTCCAGGCGGACCTGGTAGCTGCCAAGCGGCATGGCTCACCCGTTTCAAGACCGCGTAGAGGAAGACGCAGACGCAGAGATACGCCACCAGGGCGATCAGCAACTGCCACGAGATCTCCCTGATGTAGTACCACCACCAGCAGATCGCCTCGTTGATCTGCAGACCGAGGTAACGCCACGCGTAATCCAGGTCGAGTAACATCATCCTTTGGAAGATCCGCGTGGAAAAACACGCGCGTTCGTCGACACGAACTCTCGTCACGGATTAGCCATGTCGCGCCGCGGGTTTTATCGTGCGAGAACGCGCGCTCCCGCCATCGTCGCGATGCAATCGTCGCGTTTTGAGGTTACGTCCGCTCCAATCGGGTTAGGTTAGGGTGGATGATCGGACCAGTCGCCATTCTGCTCGCAAAGATGCACGGCGGAACGAAAAGAAAAAAAAAAGACCGAAAGAAAGAAATTTGTGGAAAGAAAAAGAGATACGAAATGAGAGATTAGGGAGAGGTACGCGAAAATAAGAAATATGATAAACAGCAGTTGTTATTGTTTATTAATCTCTAGACATGTGTGACATAATGAGAGACAAAAATAATTTTTTTTTTTTAATTTAATTCGAGAATTTGAAATTTGTATATGTAAAATCTACACTAAAAAATATACTTCACACATCTAACGTTGGCTCCTATTTATTGTATTATTATTATTATTATTATTTTTTTAATACTGAAAGTTCGTTTATTTGTGTAATTATCAAAAATAATTTTCTTGTCATATTTTATCTTAACTCTTTTATAATTTTGCGCGTTAACGTGATGATATATGGATTAGATTTGCACGTTGTCGCGCGCGTTTTACAAGTTAAACAAGTTTTAAATAAATTGTATAAAAATTTTATAAACTTCACATACGTAAGTGAACACAGCAGATAGAAATAAGAAAAGCTTTGAATATCGATACACATTGATATCTCGATGCATAATATATCGATGCGTATATATCGAAATGCAACCGCGTGTGCTTATCGATTTATTGAAGTTCCTTGGAATTTGGATCACAGATTCTGTACGGTTTGTAAATTGCGTTACAACGATGTGTTTCTTTAGTCAATTTTTCGCTCAATATAAACAATTGCGCTTGTTTTAAGAATTTTCGCGCGTATCTAGAAGAGACTTTAGTGAGTGTATGCATAATGTAGTATCTGACGTGTCTACGCCAATGTGTCGAAAATTGTTTTGGCATTGAGCGTTGTGAAATGTCATTCCGGCAAATTGCCACAGGTTATGTCATATGCGCGACGGTCGAATAGTTGAGCATTTCTGAAATGGAGAACAGTAAGAAAGAGGTGGATTTTTATCGGGACACATACGTGAGATATTTAGGTTAGCACAAGCAGAATGTTAATTGCTGTCATTGAAATTTTCTGTCATGTTTTTCTTGTTATGTGTCTTATGTCTCTCTGCAATCTCTAAAACGTAAACATGTTCAAAGCATAACAATACCATAACAACGAGACAATAAAAATTGTGTATTGAACATTAAAACACAGGTTTTACATAAACTGATAAAGTAAATTTGTGTTTTTTAGGTTATGCGAACGAGGTTGGCGAAGCATTCAGAAGCTTAGTACCAAAGACTGTGGTTTGGTTTAGTTACGTACTAGCCAGCGGATATGTTGTCGCAGACACGATGCACAGAGGTGCAAAAGTTTATCGAGTAAGTGACAATAATGAGATTCCAATTGGGTCAATCAATCTTACAAAAATAATTAATTGACGATTAACAAAAACTATGTATTTTATTGTACACAGACGGATACTAGTGCGGAGAAAATCAAAAATGTTTTATTGTCCACATCGGACACCCTGATATGGCAGTCATTTGCATCTGTGATAGTTCCTGGTTTCACCATAAATAGAATATGCGCGGCAGTTCTATTCGCACAGAAGAAAAGTACAAATGTGGCTTTGAAAAAGCCTTGGATCGCAACGCTTATCGGTTTGGTGTCCATTCCCTTGATAATACATCCCATAGACCACGCTGTGGAAGATGTGATGGATGTTACATACAGGAAATGGACGGGATACCATCCGAACGCGCCTTTATGTGGAGTAAAACATGAGTAATTGAAGCACATAGCTTATTAAAATTATAGTACGCAATTACAACCTGAGAGAGGTCACATGTATTTAAATCATTTACTAATTAACGAATTTAAAAAAGGTTTTCTTATATTTATAATGGAATATATAATATAAAGAGACCCTGTGCGCGAGCGTAATTAAATTTATATATAACGTAATGGAAAAATATAATTATATTTTTTCATGACGAACTATGTGTATAAAAAAACAATAATGGTTAAATTTGTCCGAAAGTGCTACTGAAATTATTAACTACTATAAATGTAAATTAACGCAAATGTAATTAAATTCCTGCTTACTATCCGAGATAAGTAAAATACGAAGTAAGTAATATGGAAAGATATTTATTAAGATATAAATATGAGGAAAGAGAAAAAGAGAGAGAGAGAGAAAGACGAAGCTTTATACTAAAATCTACCGAAACATTCCAAAGAAATATAAGACTGGCCTTAACTTCGTACGTGACCTCTCCTGGTTTAGAAAAAAAAAAAGCGAAATACTTTTACTGCCGATTATATATTCTAAAATAGTACAACAATAGTGTTCTTAGAAAATTGTTAAATATTTTTGTTATGACGCGCACATATATTGTGGAATATTGTATGTATGTATGTCAGAAGATTTCAGGTTGCGTTATAATATATATTGTTAAGTTGTTGAATAAAGTTACGATCCTACATATACACACTTCCTGCATCACCCCGCCGTTGTCTGATCATACACGATCATTCTCCACTATACGCGTAACACCATTATGTCACATTGCTGATTTTGATTTTATTTAACAACTTGTCCTTCATTTATTTGTTTCTTTTTTTTTTTTTTTTACTCAATGTTACAATATTACATCAGAACAAAAACAGCTCACGTTTGCATTTCGTTGTACATGCTAAAGTAGTAAAATGTGCTTGTGATTTCAGAAAGAATTTACGTTTCCGCGAAGTAGAAATATACATAGTTTCGTAAGTAACGAGAGAAAGAGACACGGCGAAAGGTTTCTGCGGCGCTCGACGGTTAATAACTCCGCGCGACGTGGGCAACACCCGTTCCATGAAAATGCATCATGCAAAAAAAAGGAAAAAAAAAAAAAAAAAGAATGATACCCAAGACGTGGCGGCGTTATAATTATACGTAAGTAGCACTGATATTACGAGATATTATCTCTCCGTACTGCACAATTTTCCCCGCTATCGCGCGCTAAAATCTAAAATCCGCGCTTGTGATAAATGCGATTATAATCGACGCGCATTTTTTAACAGCCGACCCCGAGCGAGTTCCGCATTAAGACATCAATGGCACCGACTAGGTGTTTCCGCGCGTTGCTATTTTCGCGATCGGAGATAACGACCCGCGCGTGAGTTTTCCGCAAAAATACACAATTTATAAGAGCGATCGACGTGTGCGCCCATTGTAGGGAATTGATCTCCGTGAAATCTATCTGATTTCGTGAGAAATCATTTCTCTGGAATCTAAGACCGCTCTTTTTTCCCGTCTATTCTTTGTATAGACAGCGCGATATGTTGTGAGAATAATTTGAACTGAATTTTAATTCATTTATAAAAAAACAGGAATTTTTATGTGAAAATAAAAATATCAAATTTTTTTTTATTTTATATGGCGCTATATTTTTTTTAGTTACATCGCGGCAACTTGGCGTGATTTGCAAATCACGACGCGATGTTGGCTAGAAACGGAAAAATCGAATAATATCGCTTTTTTAAAAACGTTTTTAAAAACGTTGCAATTGAATTTCCGTGTTCTCGTGATTACAATTTCTTGTAGTCCTTGCGCAAAGGACGAATATAATTTTTCAATCAACCAGTGCGCGTTTATTGTCCTTGCGTCGTGTTACTCGCTGAATGACGTTACCACGAAGAAACGAATAGCCTGTCACAATTTTTTTTGTTCGGTTTGTGTGTACGTGCGCATGGCGCAATGTTTGTCGCGTCAGTCAGAAGAAGCGATCGTATTTCTTCGTTCGCGCAAAAGTCCCGTGGTTCACAATCTTTCTCTGAAAGAGAACAACTCGTCTCGGAAAACGGCTGGGAAATTCCGCGCAATTTGCGACACGATGAGAAAGGACATTCCGCTTCCTCGAGGATAATGTCCCTTGCGTTATTATCGTTCCACAAACACGCGTTACGCTGTTATTTTTCTCCCGTTGATAAAATACGATCGATAAAATGCGTGTCGCAACTTGAGGCAACGCGCGAGGAAGTTTTCTAGGAAGTGACCTCAAGAAAATACGGAAGTTTATGATAAAAGAGATTTAATAGCAAAATATAATCAGAAAGTCACTCTCAAAAAAGTTTTACGTTGTTTAAATTAAAAATTTGCTTTTATGTTTGTGTTTTTAAACAAATATATTTTGCGGCCACGTGACAAAGCAATTCTTAACCCGGTGACGAGCTCGGGAGAGGAGAGGGGAAGCTTGCTCTCGGCTCTTAAACGACACGTCGCACGTTCGATAATTAATAATTAACCCTGTCTCGGCGTGGGTATATACCTCGTCTTTTACGCTTGCGCGGAATATTACGCGGGGCGCGCGCGTAAAGAATCTCAATGGCTATCGGCGATAATATATACCGGCGAGAACCGGGGGCTCGTAATCGTATAATTCTAACTACGCGATTACGGGGCGCCGCTACGGCCGTAAATGAGGCAGCTAGCTCTAGCCGTAAAGTTTTAACCGCGCTAATAACGCAAGGGCCCTTACTATAAATACCCGCGGCACACTCTCGCGCGACTCTCACCATAATACCCCTACGGGCGTGCAATTGCAATGAAGTCGTTCGTTCGCCCGCGCGCGAACACGGCGAACCGTAAATATCATCAATAGACAGAAGCCTTTTGATAATCCCCCGGAATAAATATGTTCGAGTTATAATAGGTAGCCGCGTCTCAGAAGCTTTCCAGGTGGTCGAAAACCTTTGCGTTTCCGTCCTCCTCTTCCTCTCTTCCCTTCTGCATATTGATCTTGCGTTACATTGTTAATTACAACCGTCTGTGTTAATTTAAGAATTTTTTAAATCTATTTTCTATAATACAGGGAATGTTTAATTGCAAGTAATGCGCGAACAATGAGATTTTTGATTAACATAGCAATAATAATATATGATTTGATCTACTATCAGTTTAAAAAATATATTTATTTTATATATTTATATTTAAATTTTCTATTTTTCGGGAGGAGGGGAAGCAGAATATGTGCGAAGAAGAATAAATTTGTTTTTTTACTGAACCATCAAGTAGCTTCTTCAGTCGCGTATAAAGAACGACGTGTGTGACGACCGATGATGATATTTGTCCCACCGTCACGAATTGACACTTTCAAACCGAGCGAAACGATTTTTCACGGCGAGTCTTCCTCTCCGCAATAATCTCGAATTAACTTTTCGGTAGTCTCGTGTGGCCCCTCGACCCTCATAATAAGCTTAACCGAGCGCAACAATATAATTTATAGAAGTCACTTCTTTACGGCTAATTATGGCGAATTACGGTCGTGCGAGGAGAAGAGAGCCCATTAAGTCGCGCTGGTCCTGATTAAGAGAAGAAGACGAAACGCGCGGTAAAGCGAACACGATGTCCGCCAGTTTATCTCCGATCCCCGCACTTCTATCTCGCGTGAAACATCCTCCGTTATACGTCCAGCTGTATCTCGCGCGTTTACTCTCTTTTTCGGACGAGTATATTAAGTCCTGTCCCGGTTAGAAATATTTTATTTGTTAATATTGAGCAATGTTGAGAACAAACAAAGTATAAAAACATCCTCCGATTCGGTAAAATCACAAAACACACCAATATTCATCAAGGGGATTTACGAATCCGGGCAGGATATGTTTTTATCAAGTAAATAACTAGTTTAAGGTTGAACGTTCTCTCTTCGGCAAAAATATCTTACAATATAAGATGTTAAGATAAAAGATAAAAATGACCGAACGAAATACACGCGCGAAAACATGTCATACAATAATTTCGTATTCCACCAAAATAACAATATGTGATACGTATATTGTTGTCAATAAAGGAAATAACAACTACACACGTATGTGAGACACTGTATTATTGTCAACGATGTAAAATGGATTAGATCGATAATGTAATCTTGTTGGGATACAGTCGGTGTAAGTTACTGTGTAGCAAAAACAAATAAAAATGACAAATCAAATACGCAACTACACGTAACAATTAATTTACTGGAATAACTTGAACTGTACAACGTCGTATGATTATCGATCGCGCACATTCCCGATAGGGGGATGAAAGCAAATAAAAGGCACAGTTTTTTAATATTATAAATTTTTTTATACGTTTCAAAAGTGTGATGTTGAGGAGAAGAGATAATTATCAAACGAAAACGGTAGCGGTAGCAAATTTCCAATTAAATATTCGAACCTCACGAATATAGAGGTAACTTTAATCGACGAAGATGGAAGCGCGCACAATGTGCTTTAATCTACTTAATGAATTACGAGACTCAAAATGTCACACTGTTGACGCGTTAATCAATCCCGACCGAGTTAAAACAAACACGTCCACTCGGGTGGTGTTTAACTTCGGTCGATTCGTTGATTCCGTTCCTCGGGAAAAGGAGGCTGTCGCCAGCAAGCGGCAGTAACATTCGGCCACTCGGTTAATGGCACGTGGAGTCCTTTAATCGATAGAAAGGAACGCGTAGTGGTGCTCGGCAAGTCTGTGCGATAACGCACCGCGTTTCGAGAGCTGAAATATTCACGCGCGTTTTGTATTCCTGCGCGTAGTGAATAATGAAACATGAACAAGTGGAATAAGACAGCGTGAAAAATAGAAAATGGAAGAAGATATGAAGATGTACGAAAGAACATCTTTGTATATTCTGAAGATTGTAGAAAAAATGGAAGATAATCTGGCAAACAAAAGAGAGAGACTCCGGAGAAAAGAGAAGCGGAGAAACATGGGCGAAAGAAGATAGGAAGAAAAAGGAAAAGGACGATGAAAGGATACAGAAGACAGAGAAAAAAAAGAAGATCGCGACGATGACGATGAAGGAAGCGAGAGAGTGAGGCTGTGTGTACGAAAGAACGGACATGATCGACAGGCGGAGGAGGACAAAGAAGAGCGTCCGAAGAGCGAGAAGGAGGAAGAAAGGATGATGGAGTGATAAAAGAAGGGGGATAAAGAACTGCGGACGCTGAAGGAAAGAGAAAAAAATGATAAGGCACACCTGAACAAGGAAGAGAAGCATTAAAAAAAGTGAGGTGAAAAAAGTCGATGCAAAAGAAGAGACGGAAGAATAAAAATGCAATGAATCGTCGACAAACGACTAACTAAGAGCCGTACACTCGCTTCGCTCACGAATGACAGAACGTTAAAGCGTCAGAAGAGGAAAACTAATAAGATGCCTGAAAAGCGACGTGCGAATATAGACCGACGCAGATACAGCCAGAGAAAACAGAGAAGAAAACAGGAATCACCGGCGACAACGACGAGAGGCCGAAAAAGAGAAGAGGAGGAGAGAAGCAAACTGTGGAAGTCGGTGGATGTTCATAGGCAAAACTGCGATATCGAGTCTGACAGAGGAGAGAAAGAGAAAGAGAGAGAGAGAAGACAACGGGAACGACTCCTACAGAAATATAGACAAAGAACAGAGGGAGGCATGTAGATGCAGAAAAGCAGATAGAACAGACAAGGTGGAAACGACGCGGTGGGCGGAGGACAGGGGGCGGACGGGACGGAGGGGGAGGGAAAACGAGGAGGTGGAACACACTTGGCGGGCGCGAAAGGTAAAGATTCCCTGAAACCTGTGGCATTTCGCGAAGCAGTCTCTTCTACCCTCTCGTCTCTCGCGACGCCGCGGGATCGATAGCGTGTCAGGACCGAAGAGAGAAGCAAGCAAGCAGGCTGCGGCGGTGGCGGCGGCGGCGGCGGCGGCGGCGGCAGCACCAGCCTATTTCCAGCAACAACACACAGCAGCCAGCCAAGCAGCAGCAGCGCCGGCAGAAGCAGCAGTAGCAACGACAGAAGCGCCTCTCCGCAAGCCGATGCAGCACCGCAGCCATTCCACGGCCATGTCTGGCGGCGCAACCGCTTGGCTACGCCCGTGCCACTCGTCGACGGCCAATCCGGCACCGGCGTGCAACGTCGGCCACGGTGGTCGTGGCCAATGGGCGTAGCTGGCTCGCGTCGGCTTGCGCGACTTCAGGAGCGGACTCGGCGATACGAGGGGAGGGGGGGCACATTCGACGACGCCGCAGGTGCAGCCAGTTGGCTGGCGAACTCGAGGCGAGCGTGCTCGCGTCATCGTCGTGTTCGCTCCGCCGCTGCCGTGACGTGACGTATCGCGCCGGCATCTTCGGTCCCACCTCGGCGAAGAGAAAGAGAAAGAGAGAAAGAGAGAGACAGAGAGAAAGACAGAGAGCGTCATTGGCCGGCGGCTCGCGATTACAAGTCGCCGCGACAAACACTCGGGAATCGCACCTGGAGTGCGCGAAACGGACGCGACGGAAGCACCCAAAGCCGCTGTTCTCTCATTTCCGGGATTGATTCGCCGGCGTGGTCAATTGTGTCGAAACGAGAATCCGAGAAAGAAATCGCCTTTCGCGGCAATCTGAGTTTCGAGAGTTTTTGTTTGTATCTTACAAGTATCTTGAGCAAAGAGATAATCCACTGAAGGACACGCATCTCCTGGATCAAGGTCGTTCGTCGTCGCGCGGTTGTGTTTGAGACAAACGTTTCGAGCGAGCGAAACGTCATGGTGTTTAAGATTTTCGGAGCGAGAGCGTGAGCGAGAGGGTGTTGTGCTCCACAGAAGAGACACCTGAAAAAGATCCGCGAGAGGAACGGAGCAGGATCGGCCATGAGGACGGCGAGGCGCTTTCAGGACGACAGCTGAGAGAACACGCGTTGTATTTTCGAGAAAGTGCAAGTTTGTCTTCAGTGAACAACTTCAAAGCACGAGTTGCAGAATTGTGCCGCGCCGAAGGGTGCTGAGAAAAAGAAAACACCAAAGCAAACCGCGGCGGGAATTTTGCAGTGAGTGCCGAGGGGAAGTTTTAAAGGAAACGCTGGCATTACTGGTATCGGGGGGGAAAGTGTGAGAAGTGCAATTTAACGGCCGTTGGGATAACAACGCAGTAAAAGTGGGTGCACTGGGGCCCTCGGGACCGTTCGGCCGGTACGGGCCCGTCGAAGGTGGGCCTGGTGGTGGTCCCGGGCCCGGCGAGGGAGTGGGGGCAGGGGTGGCCGCTGTCGCGGCTGGGGAGGTGGAGGGCTACGGGG